CGGATTTTAGGGCACTTACCCTCTTTACATCTGGCTAATTTTTGGCATGTTTATAGGTAAATGGCTTGGCCGTAGGGCAGACCTGTCGGTCTCACTCAAAGCCCTCGACGAGGGCTAAAAAGTGACCGCGAGTGAAATTCTCTTTATATGAGCTCTATTACGAAAAAAAATTTCCTCCGACGACCCCACTTGAAATTTTGTGAGGTGGTAGGAAAACGCCTTGGGGTGTTACAAAAAACTCGCCATGTCCGGGAAAAATCGGGAAATGGGTCAAAACTGACCAGTCGTATTTCCCTATATAATCTTTGTATTTTATGGGAAAAACAGAGGGTCATTTCAAAACGGATTTTAGGGCACTTACCCTCTTTACATCTGGCTAATTTTTGGCATGTTTATAGGTAAATGGCTTGGCCGTAGGGCAGACCTGTCGGTCTCACTCAAAGCCCTCGACGAGGGCTAAAAAGTGACCGCGAGTGAAATTCTCTTTATATGAGCTCTATTACGAAAAAAAATTTCCTCCGACGACCCCACTTGAAATTTTGTGAGGTGGTAGGAAAACGCCTTGGCGTGTTACAAAAAACTCGCCATGTCCGGGAAAAATCGGGAAATGGGTCAAAACTGACCAGTCGTATTTCCCTATATAATCTTTGTATTTTATGGGAAAAACAGAGGGTCATTTCAACGCAGACTTTAGGGTTCTTAAACTCAGTATATCTGGCTAATGTTTTGCATACTCTTAGGTAAATGGCTTGACCTTTAGGGAAAACTGTCGGTTACACTCAAAGCCCTCGACGAGGGCTAAAATGTGACCGCGAGTGAAATTCTCTTTATATGAGCTCTATTACGAAAAAAAATTTCCTCCGACGACCCCCCTTGATATTTTGTGAGGTGGTAGAAGAACACCTAGGGGTGTCACAAAAAACTCGGCATATCTGGGAAAACTTCGTAAAGGGGTCAAAACTGACCAGTCGTATTTCCCTATATAATCTTTGTATTTTATGGGAAAAACAGCGTAATTTCAACACAATTTTTACGTTACTTAACCTCTGTACATCATGCTAATGTTTTGCATACACTTCTATAGATGACTAGGCCGTATGGAAAAACTGTTGGTCAGACTCAAAGCCCTCGACCAGTGCTAAAAGATGACCGCGAGTGAAATTCTCCTTATATGAGATATATATAAATAAATTGACGATCGATCCCCTTAATATTATTTGAGGTCGTAGACCGACCCTGGAGGGTAACAAAAAAACTTTATTCCCGTCGGAAAAAGCCATTGTAGTCGTTAAATATGTTTATGTGTCGTATTTTCTTATACAAGCATATTAACTGTTTGTTTAAAAGAAAAGTAAACACAAACATACGTCATTCGGTTAATTTTCAAGGGAGGTAACCTTTTTAAATAATTATTTTTCAAATAATTGTATACTATTTTAAACAGAAACAGAAAACGACAAAGTATAGCATTTGTTTTAGAAAAAAATAAGTAGTTATTTAAGCGACGTATCATAATAAAATAAAAATTAATTTTAAAAGTCAATGTAATATAAATTATGAGATATACTGTTCATGGAACCTCTGTAGTTCTATTTCCATTTTAGTTATAAATTGCGTACTTTCGAATACTTTTTCCGAAAGCAGATGTTGAAAAACATACATCGTCTCTAAAATTGGCATTACTGTTTAGATTTAAGCACTCCACACCTCATCCATCACCAAATAATTAGTATTCAAATTATCAAATGCTTTTGAAAACCTAAGCGAAGCTAGGCAGTATGCCTAGTATGTTATATATAAGTTAAGTAACTTAAGAGCAAAGACCCTTGATCTACCTAGTAAAAGCTCTAGTAGTAGTTACTTCTTACTAAGTTCTTCATAATAGTAGTTACTAGTTAAGTTACACAATATACTTCTATTAAAGCCTTGACAATGAGGTAACTTTTTTGCACATTACTAGCTAGCAGTGTTCCCTCTAAGCTGCGCGGCCGCGCAGTAGTTTTGAGCTGCCGCGCAGTGATTTTGTAAAATACTTATATCCTTGTATAAGACTTTTAGAACACCGGGCACACAAAATACAAGTTGCGCACTTACTTTTTTTCCCTTAGAGGGAACATTGATTACTAGCCGCGGGTGATTTTACGTACCTAAAACGATAGATTACTACGAAAAAGTTACCTCATTGTCAAGGCTTTAATTAATAGAAGTATATTGTGATATATTTGTGTCAAATATTATAGATAAATGAATAATAAACAAAAACCAATGGCTAAATATATAAATATAGGCAAGAAATTTAACTTTAAACAGCAGTGTTTGCGAGCAGGATTTGCTATATAAAAAGCGGCCATCTGTAAGTTAGAGTGGCTTCCCCTGAATGTGCTTTAAGTTTATAAAAAAAACAAGATGGCTGCTATAGTAAATGTTGCATTTGTTGGAAATATCTCTAGTTTTCATTTATTACTGAAAAGTTTTAATTCAATTGTTTAAAAACAGGTACATAAATGAAACAGGGAAACATTTTTGTATTTTTCAAAACATAAATCCTCCTCAAAACGTGAAATAATTATTAAAATTTAAGGAGTCACCTGTTTTTCACATTACTAGTTGCGGGCGATTTTACATACCTAAAACCATAGATTACCAAAATAAAATAGGGTTAGAGTTTTTAATAGTTTATCAATAGTAGTTTTATTTTAATATTTTTAGGTAGATCTAGATCTACGTAAAATCGGCCGAGGCTAGTAATGTGAAAAAAAGGGTGCCTCGTCAAATTTTTGTAATTATTTCACATATCTAAAACTTTAGCCTTACCATAGGCCATAGGCATTTGTGTTAAGTTAGTAGTAGGGCCACAGTAGGAAAAAAACAACTTTAAAAAAAGTCGGTTTTTGCCAGAAAAAAGTCTCAAAGGAAAAGTTTTATTGGAAATATAATAGATGCTACTTTGCTAGTCACAGAAAAGAGTCACAAAAGTCAGTCGGATGATCTTAGATACAGATCTCCAATAATAGTCTCTTCCATAAAATAGGTGTGTAGGGTTGTTATTAGTGTTAGGCTAGGACAAGGGTTGGGGTTAGGGTTAGTATTGACATTAGACAGCCATGTGTGTATTTAGTTAACTACCAGTAACCTAACATCCCTTTTTTAAAGAAGATTCTATTATCGGACACTTAAATAAAAATTCTCCCATGTCTTCTAAGAAATATTTCGATTTAGGCTAATTGTTCAAAACTATAAAATGTTTGGTTTTATTAATGTGGGTGGTGTTTTTTATTTTGGTTTAGGCTATAACAGTAATAATTGTGTTTTAGATGTTTTTGTTGTAGGCATTACCGTGGTTGGATTTGTCCATCCATTGTGTGTTGTTAACGTTTTGGGGCAATAACAGTCTTTGTACTGTGTCAGCTTTCTGTTTGTTCCCATGCTTTGTTATGTTAGGAGTGTGATAAATGTGTGCATCACAGGTGGCTGAAGTATTGTTTAGATTAGTTGAGAACATCAAGTCACATTAACTACATCTTTATGCCATTTCACTCTAACTTGATGTTAGTATTTTAAAAAAAAAAAATGAAAACCAAGCATATAGTCTTTAGCACAATGCACCTAAAAATATGTATTTGTACAAGATGCTTTTGAAAGATGTTCTGTTTAAGCTGACATTCAAGGTAGCCTGTCGCTTGACCTACTTTTTTTACCATCATCATGGTAATGATGGCTGCCAAAATGACAAGACTGTGTTTCCGTTTTTTAACAATACTTCATGGTCATTTCAGAAATACATACTTAAAATTGTTATTTTTGCGTATTATTCAATTATGCCACTAGTTTTAACAATGTGCGATTAGTGTTTGAAGCAAACTTGCCATTTGTACATTTTTTTGTCTCATCGCTGAGAATATTGAGCAGAACATAATAAAAGTAAGCAAAACATGAATTGCTTTAAAATTGTTCTAACCATACTGAAAATTATAACTTGCTTTTTACTAAACTTCTTTCTTCTTCTTCGTTCTTAATTATTAGTGTTGAAGGGGATCGAGATTTATCTGCCAGTGGGTTTGAACTCGAGACTTTGTTCGAATTTATCAACCATGAGCTTTTTGCCGACTCGACCACGCCTCCAACACAATTAAGCGTTACGTGTCAACTGGTTATGCGCCATTGAGGCCATTGACTCCGATTTCAGCCTGCTTTTCTTTTTGGATTTGCTTCCATAGCCTTTGTCCAACCAAGAACAAACTACAAGGCAGCAGTTGTTTAATTTTGGAGTTGTCTCTCCTAGAAGAGTGGCTGTCCCCAGCTAATGAGCATCATCTGCCCGAGGGTTCGAACTCGAGACTTTTCGGTTTAGCAACCATGCGCTTTACCGACTCGACCACGCCGATTAATGTCATTAATGTTTTTAAAATCATGCAGGGTAAAAACAAAACCTATAAAAAATAACTTGATTGAGACAACAGCTAACTAAGCCCGCCCATTTTGGCAGCCATATATTTTAATGGGGAGACATCTAGCAGGTGTCAAATTTATGCTGAACGGCAGTGGACAGTCGCGCCACAACAACACTCCTTAAAAAAACAAACCCACAGTATCACTGAAAATCAGTAATATCACCATTTAAAAACAAATGCGTTTTTTCACAAATCATTTTCTAGGCTACCTATTATTTTATTAAATTTGTTAAATAAAATTGGTATGAAATTAAAGGTAAATAAATGTAGTTTTTTATTGTTGAAGTCATCTTGAACTATAATGAAGTTTAAAATCTTAGGCGTCTCCCTATTCAAGGGCCCTGCAATTTCACTTCCTTCTAGTATTGGTATAAATCAGCAAAATCTTATTCTATGGGGCACAATTTATATAAACAATTAATCTATGTCTCTAGACTGATCTATTTTAATTCTAATTTTAGATGTTATTTGAAGAAAAAAAATTTGTAAGAAAAGGTTATATTAAATAATAAAGAAATGTTTGATGTTATCATAATTAAAATTAAACAGAGAAGAAGCCAGGCACCTAGTCAAAGAGACTCTGTGTTTGTTAAAAGGAAAAGTTCAGAAGATGAGGATTGGTGTGTTAAAAAAACGGTAAGATGTTTAAATTTTTTTATAAAATTTAGGCCTATATCACTCACAAAGTTGAAGAAAAAAATAATTTTATGCTAATAATCTGTGTCCTTTTTTTCATGTGTTGATTCCTTGTAAAGTATGTATGCTTTCTTTTTTTTCCCATTTATGTTTAGACTTTACTAGACGGTCAACTAGATAATTTCTTATCTCTAGATGTGAATTATATTGTTTTTGCAACATTACTCTTTTGTCAAATTGCTTGTGTCTCAAAGCAAGCAATTTTCTCCATTAAAATTAACTTAAATAATGACACCCCGTTTGTTTTTATACATGTTTTTTTTAAATAGGAAAGTTATTAATAATGATGATTAATATTGTTTTAAAACATAATATAGAATAATGCAAATTAATAACCTGGTTTTCTTTGTGTGTCTAAAATAAGATAAATCAGATATATTAATTATAAACATAAAACAATGAATTTGAGTGCTGAAGAAATTGTGAACTTTGATATACATTGAATTTAATGTCATACAGGAATGTGTTCAACTGTACTAATTATTTTTATTTTATTTATCAAATTTAAGCAATACTTTTTTTATACAGGCAAAGAGACACAAAACAAGTCCACCTTGTAATCAGCTAGAACACAGATCTCCTTACAGGCAACCTCTCACAATATTGGTTGAGCCTTCATTTAAAAGTACAGATAATCAGATTTTATCACATGTAAGCTGCATCCTGTTAAACCACTTTGTATTAATTTGTATAGAACTGTATAGAAATAGTTTAACTCAGAATTTCCTCGCAGCTTTTTTCTTTAATGATTTGCTTCATGAATTAAAGTTAATGTCTGTCTAACAGGAAGACCTTATTAAAAAAATTCTTTCAAGGCCTTTCAAAATTCCTATTCCAAATTATCAAGGTAATTTTATAGATTTACTTCACTTGGAATAGTTAAGAATGTTACTTCACATATACTGGGCTAATAATCAGATATTTTTAATTTAAACAACAACCTGTGTTAATGTATGCGTTGGATAATGCTGTGCCTTGATAAGAGCACCTATACCCACACCTGCACCATACCATATCAACCCCTTTCCTATATCCCTGCCTACTGCCTCAGCAAGTTGTATCATATATGCCATACCATTAAAATTCATTTACCCATTAGAAAAGCCTGCTTTCTGCAGGAAAGCAAATACAAAAGTATTTCACATCCCCACCATTGTTACCCATCTACATATCCCCACATAGGATCTAGCTGTTAATACTATAGTAAGGTAAATGTGGGTACAAAATAATGTCACTGGTATTCAAGACAAAAATTTAATAATAGGTCACTCTGGCTGAGGTCAGTATTGGAAAAGCACAACTGCCCCTGCCTTTCTACATGAAATACACAACTTGCAAGCATTTAAAAGCTTTTATAGTAAAGTGGGTCACAGCTGATTGGCGAATTAATAATATAGTTTTTTAAAACTTGCTTCAAAATAATTAAGTTTTTAATCTTTTTCCTACTTTTTTAACTAGATCAATATCAATAATTAATGATGTCCATTAAAAATACACACAAAAAATGTGTTAACGTCTGATAAAATTTTGTAACAAATTCATTTTAATAGCAACATGCTTTTATATAATATTAAGGAAGTGGTCTAAACAAAGCTTTGGGTGTTCGTCGACAAGGAGCCCGGCAACCACTTCATGATCCTTATGAAGAAGGGGCGCTTGTCCTGTATTCACCTCCAGAACTATCTGCTCATGAACTGATGAAAATAGATACGTAAGTTGCACAGAAACTTACAAAAAGAAATATTGATGAACATTCTTGTTAAATGGTTTCCATTTTATTTTTTGAGTAATGACAGTGTCTTACAATTTATTATTTCATTTACAAAATCCAGATTTCATTTCAGCCAATTTCTGTTTTCTTTCCCAGAGAAAAATTGCCAGTTCATGTAGTGGTGGATCCAGTTTTATGTAAGATTCTTCGTCCTCATCAGAGAGAGGTATAATAAAAATTAATTCATTCTTGTGTGTATTTAACCCTTTATTTACGGAATTAGGTTCTGAATGACATTTTTTCTTAAGCAATGTGTTATCATATTGCTTTTGGCACATTTAAAGCATATGTCGAAGGAAATTTTGTTTCATTAATTTTTAAGGGCCCAAACATATATTGGTACTTATAAGTACCGTCAGGAATGTAGGACATTTTTTCCAAAAATTAAAAAATTTACAAAACAGGAAAAAACGATACAACTTATTAACTAATAACATGGCAATCATTATAACAATCATTTTTTGTAATTTTCACTCATAAACCCAGCACAAAAGTATATTTTGAGTACGATTTTTACTGGATTTTCTATCGGAACATATCTTAGACCTCAAACACAGCAAAAGGTGCCGACATGTCATGCTCCCTCATTCCTCATTCCTGAGCCATTCTTGTATGTCGTCTTTCTGGTGTGGCAACAGTTGCCGGACTGAACATGCTTTTGCATTATATAGCCATTATATTGAGGCGCATAAACAAATATTTTGAAAACGAAATCCTAGTCATTCAGTACACTACTACTAGTAATGCTAGTATAATTGTAGCCTACTAGAATGTTGTGACAAGTCTACACTGCAGTATAAAGTTCATAAATAGAAGTGAGCTCAATGTGTTTAGAATAGCCGTAGTGGCCTACTGTTTTGTGTTTACTGATTCAAAATTACAAAACGATCTATACTACATGCAGATGTATGGACTATTACTAGTCTACATGTATACATTACGTACACGCTAGCTATTGTAGGCAAGACAGTTTTTTGCAACAAATATAACTTACTTATATAACTTATAATCTTACTTCTAGAACTAGACTTTGGTATACAAATAACATATACTAAACCTAGTAAACGAGCCTGCAACTGCCACCTCTATTATTGTTATTCTTTTACTACTAGAAATCTGCAATTAATTACAATATTTCTGAGGAAAACTCTATGCTAACCTTCTTATAAATGCATAAATATATTTTTTTAAATACATTTCGATAAATAATTAACAAAATAATATTTTTGTCACTCCAAATCGAAAATCTGCAATTTCCAAGAAATCCTAAAAAAATGACCGTGTGCCCTGACGGTACTTATAAGTCCACTTGTAAACTTCGATCTAATACAAAGACAATTTGATTAATATTGTATAACTAGAAGTTAAACGCATTTGCCTGACTATTGACGATGCCAATAAAAAATATTCGGTATTGAAAACTTGAAGAATAAGGTAAAACAAAGGGAAATCAGGAACATGTGTGAGATTTGTACAGAACGATTGTAAACTACCGATATAGGTAGAGTTTGAAAATGGCGCCACAGCAGAAATTTTCAAAAACACATCGATCCCTCCACCTACCTGTGACTCAGGGGAGATAATAATATTAATTACATCAATAATTTTTTAAATTCGTCTTAAATTAAAAATAATACAGACACTTAGTTAAAGTGGTACTTATAAGTACCGTCAGTAGATAAAGGGTTAAAATTATATGAATTAATAATGCCCACTATTTTTTAAATTTCATTTTCAGGGTGTTAAGTTTATGTATGACTGTGTAACAGGAAATCAAATTGAGAATAACTATGGGTGCATCATGGCTGATGAAATGGTTGGTAAATATTTATTACATTTAGTCCATTTATGAACTTATATATAATTCTTCTTTGATTAGAACTCAAACATGACAAAACTTACTTATATCCAGGGCCTAGGAAAAACGCTACAATGTGTTACCTTGGTGTGGACTCTGCTGGTAAAGTTTTATTATATTTACAATATCTATTGATCTAAGAGGGCTTTTTGCCAGTTTATGATGGATGTGGTTATTTACCTAAAGGTGTATTCTCAGTAAAAACCATTTGTATCTCATATTATTAGCGGCAAAGTCCAGACTGCTGCCCAACTTTGACTAAGGTTATCATTGTTTGCCCAAGCAGCCTTGTTAAGGTAAATAAATCTTAGCTTTTTCTCACTTCCAACCTTGCATAAGTAAAAAAACATTATTTTTCTTATAGAAATAATTCATGTTTGTAATGCTCTTTAGAACTGGCATAATGAGCTTGGTAAATGGTTGGGTACAAGAATCCAAGCATTGGCTATTGACTCTGGTACTAAAAGTGAAATTGACAGAAATTTGGGTATGGGTCAATTTTTCATTACTAGTTTGTAAGTCAAGGTTAATACTTGAAGATGGTGCAAAATGTAACTATTCAAACATTTTATTTAAATCATTTAACGTTTATTAATACTGTACTTTTAACATTTAAATTTTTTTTAAATTGTTTCCAGTTTTCTCAATTATTTACCTATTTTTTACATTTTAAAAATGACTGCCACTTATCCTTTTTAAGTTATAGTGTATATAGCCCTCTGTAATATGGAATAGAAAAAGTTGGTGTAGACTCCCTAGTATTAATATTCAGGACCATTATTGTGTTTTTAAAAAATAATTGTTACATTTCAGTTCATTTCATGCAGCAGCAAGGAAGAAGAATACAGTTTCCAGTTCTAATTATATCATATGAAACTTTTCGACTCCATGCATCAGTATTACACAAAGGTGAAGTTGGCTTAATTATATGTGATGAGGTATTTACCAAAAGGCTCTTTTTTTCCCTAAAAAATTATTTTTGTACAACATTAGTTATTAGTAGTTATAGTTTTAGAAAGACATTTGAATGAAAATATTGTTATTCTAAACCCTTTAACAATATTGTCTGCTCAATGGTCAATTCCCTATACCTTGGGAAAGGGGCATAACTATGTAAAATTAAAAGCATACTGTCTGAAATTGAATGTAAAAATTAAGTTTTTTTTTAAGTTGAAACCCATATCATAAATATCTCAAAGAGCTAGTTGCCTGAAAAATACTGTCACACAGAATGAAAGTTCTGAAACATAGCACTGTTTTTTAAATTGTGAACATGTTAGCTAAAAAAATTTAAAATGTTATGGGTTTCTGAGAATTGTGATTGAATTATTATAATTCTCTTAAGTTAGTATTATAATTAAAATAATCAGTTAAATAAAACAACACTGTTGAAATCAAAGCGACACAATCTATCTGTAGAAGTGACCCACTACATCTGAAGTTGTGAAAGGGTTAATGTTTACATTCATTCATATCAGCTTTAAAATTATTGATCACTGATCTATAAAAAATTTTTTATTAAAGCACCTTTTGACATTAATTTTGGTCTGTTTTAGTCATATTTTAAATGTATGACCTATTTCTTTAACCAAATTTCAAAGTTTGACTGTAAGTGTTACTTTTGAGCACAGGGTCACAGGTTAAAGAACTCAGAAAACCAAACCTACCAAGCACTAACTCAACTGAATGCAAAGCGACGAATCCTATTATCAGGAACGCCTATCCAGAATGATTTGTTAGAGTATTTCAGTCTATTGCATTTTGTCAACAAGGGTATTCTAGGTGAGAATGCAATGTTGCAGTTGTTTTGTTCATTATTTGTTTAATGACCTTTAATAAGATATAAACTTATAAGAAATTATTAACAGATTTGGATTAAGTAATTAAAAATTGTTTATGCTGACAGATTAAGCAGTGTAGTCCTTCAACTGAGTTTATTATAACTAATCAGTCAATTAGAATCCCTTGGTTACACTCAACCTTGATGTAATGGACTTTTGAAAGTACCTATAGCGTAGCAAATATTTGTCACACTATTTCCTCATTTTCTGATGCCATAGAAATAAATGTATTCTAACTTATCTGCCCAATCGACCATAAGTTAATTTAAGAAATCACTACAGATTAAAAAGTGCCCATTTTAATGGTGAAATTCTTGTCGGTGTCAAGGTTATGTATTCTTTATTCTTTTTTTTTAATAGGAACTGCTCAAGAGTTCAAGAAACGGTTTGAAACTCCCATACTAAGAGGTAGAGATGCTGATGCAACAGATGAAGACCATAGAAAAGGAGAAGAAAAACTCCAAGAGGTTTCCTTTCCTTGTTTTCATTTTTAAAAATAATTTTATATTGTAACCATTATAATTCTGTAGGTTAATTCTTTTTTTTTTCCTTCGCTAGTTATTGTCTATTGTAAACAAGTGTATTATAAGAAGAACTCAAGCACTGCTTACAAAATACTTACCTGTGAAAGGTAGGGAAATTGAATAGAAAACTACCATATTAGTTAAAAACCATTTTAGCTTTCTCTTTTTGAAAACAGGACAGGTAATAATATTGTGCTGTATTCTCTTACTAGTTGAACATGTCATCTGCTGTAAACTAAGTGCATTACAAGAAACTCTCTACACTAAATTTATTTCATCAAAGTTGGCTGAAAATTTAGTTTCTGGAAAAGCAACATTTAGTAGTCTCTCTGCTATCACACAATTGAAGAAACTGTGCAATCGTGAGTACTTTTATTTTTAACCTTTATAAAACCCTTTTCCATGTTGGTTCCCAGCCTCTGTAAAGTGGTTGCCATAAGATTTTATCAAACATTTTGACCTAATAACACCAAATACATATATATTACTTTTAGATCCAGATTTAATTTATGACAAATGTGTGGAAGGAACTGATGGATTTGAAGATACATTATCTCATTTTCCATCTGATTACTCAACCAAAATTGTCAAACCAGAACTTTCAGGTAAGAAAAACAATGATAGACAGAATAGTTTAATATTTGATAAGTACCCTGCCATGATTATCAGTATAACTAGAGCTTTGAAATATTATTTTTTACATTTTTACAAGCTTTAATTTTTAACTAGCTTTCTCTGTCGTGCTTTTGTTATTATTGACCCCTTTACTGGACCGATAATTTTCAAACTTAGCACGCGCACGTTAAGATCTGATAATAATTCAATATGATATAAAATTTGACTTTATTATAGGCTTAGTAGACATTTTTTTAAAAAGCGTGGGTCACTAAATTTTATAAGCAACTCGCGCTGTTCTATTTAGGTACCAGGTATTTAAATGTGGGTTTATTATAATTATTCATTTTAAAGAAAATAATTTATTTTTTAGTGTTTATTTAGAGAAAATCTTATTAATGGAACGTTTTTAATAGTTTATTTTTTTCAAATGTAGGTAAAGTTGTGGTTCTCGATACTCTTCTGGCTCTTATTAAGATGACTACTGATGATAAAGTAGTACTTGTCTCTAATTATACTCAGACATTAGATCTCTTTGAGAAATTGTGTAGACAAAGAAAGTAAGTTGTTTTTTTTGCCCTGCTTTTTAGTCAGTGAGACATAAAAAGTATTATCACAGTTAGTTATTTCATAAATGTTTATCTTAACAGTTACTTGTATGTTCGTTTGGATGGTACGATGTCAATCAAAAAACGTGCCAAAATAGTTGAAAGATTCAACAACCCCTCTGTAAGTATGTCTGATACTTTAATAAATTCATATTTTGGATAAGTTTGAAAAAATAGGTTGAAGCCCTTTGTATTAATAATAATATCTGTTGTTGAAATTTTGTGCTTATATATTTTACAATATAAAAGTTGTATTAACTTTGTGTTCTCCTCTGCTTTTAGTGTCCAGAATTTATTTTCATGTTAAGTAGCAAAGCTGGAGGATGTGGCTTAAATTTGATTGGTGCCAACAGACTAGTTATGTTTGATCCAGACTGGAATCCAGCTAATGATGAGCAGGCTATGGCACGTTGTTGGAGAGATGGTCAAAAAAAACAATGTTATATATATCGACTCATAGCAGTAAGCATATAATCATATAAGGAAATTTGTATGTAGCTCAAACAACAAAATATGTTCATTCTCTACATTGACATTTTTATGACAAAATAGTGCTTATTTTACACTTTGGAGGTGCAGTAAACAGAAAATAAATGTAGATTTTCAGTTTGATCAATGCAACACCAAATTGAATAATAGATTGTACTACCTTCTTGAAGATTTTTAATTGCTACTAGTCAATTATAAGCTTTTATTTAGTTCACAATGTCTGTTGTTTTTTGTGTTTTTTTTTTTGTGAGATATGGCATATCTCAAAACCTAATTTTGACTCATTACTAATGCAGTGATTTCATTCCAAATCCATGTATGTCCTTAGAAATTTAAATATCTATTTTTTCAAACTAACTAGTCAATTAGTCATTAAAATTAAATATAACATAATTTAAAAGCTTATTATTAATGTTATACAATTTATTTGGGGGGGAGGGTCCATTTTTAACGACTAAGTTGATTTTTACATATTAAAATGTGTAATGCACGTTTATCAGATATTGATCGACTGTCTGAAATAATTGCTCCTGCACTGGTCTAAAACAAGTTACAAAATTAACCATTAACAACCATTTATACTTAATACAATGTGAAAACCACACTTATAAATACTGGTAAAAAAATATTGGCTACTTTAAATTTATTTCAGACAGGTACTATTGAAGAAAAAATATTTCAACGCCAGGCTCACAAGAAAGCACTTAGTAGTTGTGTTGTGGACAATGAACAAGATGTAGAAAGACATTTTAGTCTAGGAGAACTAAGAGAACTTTTTACTTTAAATAAAGATACTATCAGCGACACTCATGATAAGTAAGTAGGCTTTAAATGTATTACATATTTACCACTAATTTTTAAATTACAACAGTAGGTAGATTTTACTTAGTGCTTGGCTTCTTTGTGCAGAAGTGTTCTGAGACACGAGTTTTGTCAAAAAATCAGTTTAAAATGTATTCAACTTTTTTATATTAAAACTTTTTTATATACTCTCTTTAGGTTTAAATGCAAAAGATGTGTGAATAACATTCAGGTAAAGCCTCCACCTGAGGACAGCGACTGCACCTGTGATTTGTCTCAGTGGAATCATTCAGCTGATAAAAAAGGGCTGATTGATGTTATACTTAAAGGAGCATGGCATTCTTCTGTTACATTTACTTTTCATCACAAGTCCCATGAAGAGCAACGCATAACTGTGTAGCATTAAACTTTCTTTAATTTCTAAGTATGGATGGGGTTTCTTTTTAAAATTAAAATGTGTACACTTTTTTTGATATTTTTATATTAATAATTTTAAAAAGACATTATTTAGGTATACCGCATCAAGGTACACCTACCCTCTATTGGTACTGCTTACATATCTGATCAGCAGCATGAACCAGCTGTCAATTAAGAAAACTACAACACAAACGGGCTTAAGAAAAAAAAGTATGCAATGACTGTATCATTTTATTTGGCAAATCCCAATGGAAGATTTTCAAATACAATAGCACCAACTAATTTAATTTACTTCAATTACTCACTAAGTTATGCAGGCTATGCTAAGTTAAGTTATTTTTATTTTTAAAAAATTCCAACTAATATGGGAATATTGAAGAAGCATCAATAGTGGTTAAATTGCCTAAACATTCTTTGGAATAAGTTTTGGTTAAAAAGTAAAGCAAGCACCTTAGCACAAGTGATAATTTATTAAAATAATATAGGTAGATACTTTCTATTGAATTTAATGAAATTGTAAATTAATCATATACTAATAGCCTATAAAGAGGTTTGGTTCACACTTGCTACTGTACAAAGTTTAATAAAACCACAAACATCAGATTTGAGGTTAAAAACTGTACACAAAAAAAAATCAAAATATGAAAGACAATGGACATATTTTACATAATCTAAACAATTATAATGATATATGATCAGCACTGAATTTTTACAATACATAGGCCTACTAACTAAAATAGAAAGAAAAAAAAACTAAAGACGTCTGGCCCATATCTCGACCAGTGAAAGTTACTTTAAAATATTTAGTCATTTAAATGTAATAAGAAATAGGCCTACAATGTGTCAAATTTAAATCAGTTAACTTCCAAAATGTTTATATCACTTCTGTAATTAATATATAGGAGAATATATTATTCAGTTCACAATACAGTTTTGCATGCATACTTATTGTTCTAACCTAAAACATTCAAACAAAACCACAAATTAAATATGTACAACTCACTCTTAAATAGTATGTACAAAAATACAGTTTCAAGTCCTTTCTGATTGTTCATACTAAGATTGAGGAATAAGGTCCTTAAGTATATCTTTTGTATTTGTTGATATACTGTTAGGAAAGATAACATTAAATTCTACAATAAGGTCACCTCGTTGTGTTGGTGTCTTTGGAACTGGAAGACCTTCTCCCTGTATTCTCTTTGTAGAATTTGGTTTGATGACCTCATTCAAAGCTAGTGGAATTTTTCTGTTTGTGAGTGTTGGCACTTGAATAGTTGTACCACACAATGCATCACGGAGAGAAATGTTAGCCTTGTAGCGGATATCACTTCCGTCTCTGGTAAATAACAGATGTGGTTTATCTTTAATCACAAAAACAATATCTGCTGGTACATTGTGTGGCGTTTGATCACCCTCTTTAGGAAAAGTTATTTTTGTACCAGCTTTCCATCCTGGCTTAATGTCAATAGTTAATATTTTATCCTCACTTCGGGTAGTTCTGCCATCAGAATTCAACACTTTACGAGTAATTTTAAGTTTTTTGGTTGTACCAGATAAGACTTCTTCAAGAGAAACTTGCAATTCTCTGATAACAGCTGGGTCTTGATGTTTTCTTCGACCATGTCCACCAAACTGATGGTGCTGGGCAAACGGATCATCAATGTCCATATCTTCATCCACACCAAGTCCTCCACTTTGAAACTGAAAAAATGGTGATCTTCCCATGCCACCCATTCCAGCTGGACCACCTGAGCTGAAGAAACTTTCAAATGGATTTTCGTTGCCGAAAAACATCCGAAAGGTTTCATGGGGATCGCCGTGAAAAGTATATGTGAAATTACCGCTTCTTCCTCCAGTGGAGCCACCACCCATTCCTCCTTTCAATCCATCTTCTCCATATTTATCAAATATCTCCTTTTTGTTTGGGTCACTGAGAACATCATATGCTTCAGCTATTTCCTTAAACTTTTCTTCAGCACCAGGAGATTTGTTTTTATCCGGATGATATTTCAAGGCCATTTTACGATAGGCCTTCTTGATTTCATCGTCAGAAGCACCTTTAGTTATCCCCAGAATTTTATAATAATCCTTGCCCATTGTTTATTTAGTAAGCTGAACACGGTGTTAATAAATCACTTACACAAAATAAAATGAAATCTTCACGATAACACTTTGAGACTGCTCGCTCCAACTCAGTTTTCATCAACTGTCGAAGCGCAATTCTTCCTCTGTTTTATAGACTATCCAAACTTGGTCGTGGAGCAACACGAAGATTAACGAATAGTGGCGATTTTCCCCGAACATTCGAGAACTATTCTGACTTCCGCTACAAGAACTGAGTTTTGTTTTGTTATGGGCTATTAATAGTGTCAGTAATTGGGTTATTTGTCACGTGATTATCTATGTTGCCAATTTTTAATAAAATATTTACAATTACAATGACTTTACTATTCGTTTTTATAAGTATTAATATCTAGATCTAGAATCTAGGTAAAATTGTGCATAGTTGTTTTTTTTTGCAAATAAATCTAGATCTACATGTAAAACGTTGACCGTTGATCAATGATACACATTATTTTTTAACTTCAGTTCTAGATCTATTCTAGATCTATCTATCTAGATCTAGATACTGACTAAAAAACTAATGTTAATTTTGTTATCTTGCTATGTAGCCCAAATTGCAGATCTATCTCACGTTTTAAGTCAGTAGCACATGATTTATTATTTTTAAATTACCTAGATAATCTATATACTATAGGCCTATATTATAATTCTCTTCTGGGAGACGCTAGAAAACAAGCTGTAAACGCGCTCCCTACCACCCCCACCCCTACATGGTCTGGTGAGCTGTGGTTCACTCTAAATGTTTACAAACAGAGCCGGGTTTAGTGACGACTATAAGGGACAGATAATTTAGTTTTAAACATAGGGGGGGGGGGGGGTAACTAAGTGGAGTTTACTTTAACGGAGGGAGGGGGGGGGGTTATCGTCCTTAAGGAGCAAATTGTAGTGTTTTAAAGAAATATTTTAGTGGCAGCGTTGGTAGTGTCAAATTCACAAATTATGAATCACTGAAAAGTAGAAAAAATAACAACTAAATAGAGGCGTATGATATGCCGCGGGTCGGCTCGTAATATTATAATAGGAAATGCACGTAGATCTAAATCTAGTTTCTTAGATGTAGGCCTAGTGTATTCTAAAGGATAGTTAAATTAAATACGTTTCCCTTGCAACTTTGTGTAATTACTCATATTATTATTAACTAAGTCTCCATTATAAATTTTTTTCTTAGAATCTTATCTACAAGATGATGGCTTAACACACTGGAAGGGTTTCATTTATAAAATACTAGTGTGCACGTCCACGCGCGTTGCCGCGGTCTGAGAAGTAAGTCGGACGTCTGGTCACAGGATAGCTCGAGGCAAATCGCACCCTACCGGGGCACAGTTGGACGCGCCCGATTCAAATATAGCGCCCCGTCTTCTCATAGTCTATCGTACTGTTTAAAACGAACGTATAAGCGCCATATCGCTCACGGACCCCGGGGCGTTGCACACTCCCGGGGCGCCGCCAGTGCGAAATTGAAATCTTTTTCCCCCGCAGAAACATCCCCAGGAGTATTCACAACAACTTCCCGGGAGTGATCTCCCCTAAACTTTTTCGAATATTCTTATATAACACTATGGGAGATGGTTACTCAGGATATAGACATGATTTTTAATACATTTTTTTCTCGTATACGAAGTATAGAGGAAATATTGTAATCGTGCAAAAAAAAAAATCGAGATTTTCACATATCTCGACGTTTTACACCCCCTTGAGTCGGAAAAACATAGATCTAGTTCCAAAACAGAAAAATAAATATTGATAGCAGCGCTCGAATTTCAACGGTTGATAAAAGGTTGAAAGAGCACACCATAAATTAGTATTTGTGACGCAACGCTCAGAATCTCTCTTTTTTTAAAGTATAATAAAACACAGTTTTTTTCTAATATTATTAGTTTTGGATTTCATCATCTTTGGTTTTTATTAAATAGTCCTCATTTTATTTTTTTTGTCCGGGGGGGGGGGGGGGGGGGGGGGGGAAGAGAGATTATGTCAAGATTGTTGTTTTTTTTACCGGACACCAAATCATAGGCAGGGCAGCCGGTGTCACTACCTACGTGCAACAGAGCGGGGTACGCCCAAGAGACAATTCGAGACGTATCCAAGATACGACGACGTAAAAAATATAGAGAGATAAGACCTCCATAAATTATTTGGCCAACAGATAGAGAATACCTACTGAAATTGGCCCATCAATGGTGGCGGTCAATGAATCTTTTCCAGTTAAGCCCCGCCACTAATGCAAAAATTGCACGGGCGAATAGTTAAGCCCCCGCCACTTTTTGCAAGCTCCAATTTACCGAACTCACGCAACCAGGACCTATTTCTGATGAATATTTAAACGCGCGCCATTAAAAAAAACTTCTTATCCGCCTCTAGAGCCATGGTAAAAACTAAAAGTACAAGTTTCATAAAATCCTCTTGTAATCTATTGACATCTAGTCCTACACGCCGACGCAACATTTTAGGTTTTCCTTAACGCGAAAATACTTGAGTATTTTTTGAACATCGTTGGCGTTACTTATACATTTATTGAATCTTACCAAACGAAATGGAAATTTATATAGAAAATATATACTTTTACCAATGTCCACCCCCCCCCCTCCCGGAGAAAAATGAAACGCTGCTGGGGTGCGGGTTTGTCCACCCTACCGCCCAAGGGTATGCGGTATGGTAATTTAAAACGAACGTCGATCGCCCTCCTCAAAGATGAGGGTGAACACCAGAGGCGTAGCGAGGGGGGGGGGGGCATATGTCCCCGGGCACCGACCTTAGGGGGGGCGCCAAATTGCAAGTTTGAGGGGGGTGCAAATGAAAAGTTCGAAGGGGGGGGGGCAAATCGAAAGTTTGTCCCCGGGAAGGGTCGCTACGTCTCTGGTGAACACTCCTCTGTGACGCCTTCATGTCGGGGCGTTACACCACGATCGTTGTTTGATTTAGTCGTCGATTGTTGTAGTAGCTCTGAGTATTTCTAGTGTCGGGCGATCTTTAAAACTGAAGTGCTCGTGGGAGAGACCGAGATACTCCAGGTCACACGACCGCCGGAAGAAGACGCCTGTGCAGTTTGACCGTTATTCATCGACTACCCTCAAATACTTCTCAAAGGTAAAAAAGACAAGATATATTTTCTTTTATATATAGGCCCTACCTATACAGATAATCGTTTTTCTTCAAGCGCTTGGTTTGAATCCTTGTTACGATTGTGTGTGTTAATGAAGAGCTATGGTTACTCAATAGTTTTAACTACCTTTTCCCTTGTAGAATTGGAATAGCAATATGAGAATATAGATCTACGTCTCATGTTGTGAAACCTTCTGAAGGGAATATGCTAATTATACTCTTTGTAAAATTCTGTTAGGTATTCTACAAGATGGCCTGGCAACATTTAAAATCAATTTTCATACCTACCTTGCTCATTTTGAGCTTAGACTTAAGACTTTCTACGGAATGATGGACTTCTATTATGTTGCCCTAATGGTCTTAATGAATGACTGAACCAGATTTCTAATGTGCAGTGTACCATTTGAATTTCGCCAATATACAATTTTGTTAGCTTTTAATAGTTTTTAATTGAATCAATATTTAGCGTCAGAAAATAAATATTCTTGATCTTTGGGTGGTTCTTGCCAATGGTAAATTAGTTTGGTCCATTTTTATTGTTACTAGCCATGGGTACCCCTTTCACGTGAATTACAGGACTTGTATTTTTACTGTTATTCTTAGTTTGAAAAAAAAATTATAAAATAGTTATTGGTCAAAACGCTATGTGCTTTACTACACATTGAACAATATTATTAGGGACAAAGCAAAGAAATAACTAAATAGCTAAAAATCCGACACATTTAAAATAACATAGGCTACCAATATCAATTAGAAAAATTAAAACCAAATTATATACATAATTAGTCAACACAACACCATTTTAAATGCACAAACTGATTAAGAGACTTAAATGATTCCATTAAAAACCCGGCTGTTCAATCGTCATTAATAATTTTTTTTAAGTAATTTGTATTAGTGTAATGATAAGTAGATTTATAGAATCTAGATACAAATCAACTTTGAATAAAATAGTTCATTTCTTCATATTCTAAAATTGGTGTTGTGTTCTTTCTGTAGTTGAAACATGTGGCATGTGACGTCATTGTCTATTGTGTTCTTGTCACAACCATGAACAATTTTCCAGTTGCATAATTAAAAATGTGTTTCTTCATTTGAATATAGCTTTATTTTTATTTTATTTTTTTTTAAATAAAATTTATAATAAATATTTAAAAACATCCACCATATTATTTTCAACTGAAGTCCATATCTTTAAGATCTCCATATATCGCTGAAGATACTGATCTCTTATGCTCGGGACATGCGGACACAGAGAGAGAGTACTTGGGTACTTGGACTTTTATATAGTAAGAACAAATTCAGTCTTGGCTTAACGTTTCCACCTTTTATACTATTAAAAGTTTAACAGAACATTATATCATTAAATGTATTTTTTTAAAATCATGATTTTTACTTATTTCTATTAAAAATAACTACATCAAGAAGTTGAATATAAAAACATGCCATATGATCAAGAACTTACATTTGATGTAGGCACAAAAACAGCACAATAAAATCTAAGTACACATACATTTATACATTTTGAAGATAAGATATTATGGTTTTTATATTACATTTTTAATGTCAATATTTATAAAACATACCTAGATCTATGCACATTTGTGGTTGTGTCAGTTACAACTCAACTGAGTAGTATTTTCCTTAATTAATCAACTTGATTGCTCTCCCATACAAACACTTTATCTCCACACGCACTCAGTAAAATGGGCTCTGTAGGATGGAATGAGATTGAATGCACTGTTTTGCTTGTTTTGGAGTCCAGTTTTTCTAGAAGCTTGGCCTTAAAAAAATAATAATAAGGATATTAAAACTGATTATTAGCACTAGCTAGTTTTTAAAAAACTTTTAAAATTTTACTTATAACATTTTTCTGTTTATGCCTAGTGGAAATATTTTGTTAAATTATGTTATCTGAAAACAAGTCTTTGGAGTTAAAGTTCAAAATAAGTGTCTTAAAAACAGATCACCATCAAAGCAAGGAAATCAGTAAATATCCAGCAGAAAGGATTGTAATATATTTTAATACTAGTAAGAAATGACCAATGAGCATGGTTATTAGTTATTTTCTTTTATAAATTTTACATTTGTATAAATGTAACAATAAAAATAAATAAATGTACCCTTCAGCTTAAAAGACATAAAATTGAGAGAAGATAAAAAATAAATAAGCATCTCTTTTTCAACACTATATTGATATTTATAAATGAGAACATCTAAAATTACATCTAATAGATCCCATATGTAGATAGCACCATCTTCAGATCCACTAAGAACATGTGTGTCTTTATGGTTGAGGCAACAGTCTATTTTATAGTTTGAGTTCTTGTGACCAGAGTACCTATAAAAAAAATTGTTATTTCTTTTTAATTTTAAGTACAAAAATGTAAACAATTTTTAATGTTAATTTTTTAAAAATTGTCTTTTAACCATTTACAGCCCTGGCATAAACATTATTTAACTTCCAGTACGGCCAAACAAAAAAAAACAATGCATGATTTCAACCATTGCACTTTTAAAAATAATTATTTTAAAGTATCTACATAAGTTAAAAAAATAAAAACTTTATACAGGAAAATGTCCTAATTTTATTAATTATGAGAGAAATAGCTTGATAATTTACTAATAATTAATGAAACATTAAACCCCAACTTATAACATTATTTCAACAAACAAACAATTTTAATTGCTAAAAAAATCGTATGTAGCCACTGGAACTAATTGTGTTTTCAATATCACTGTCAAAGTTACAATATAAATAAAGCCTGATTCAAAAGCAGAGACATTTAATTTCACTAATTGTATTTCCCGTACTTTAAAAAGTGAATATTTTGATAAAATTTGTAGAAAATAAACTGCTAGTGAAAGAAAAATAAGAAAACAATGTAAATAAATCTTATTATTTCCCATTTCTGCCATTACCTTCAAAATCTTATTACCAGTGAGACTTCCATAACTACGCTTAAATAAATATAATATACATAGTTTGGACAAATGTGGTTGCATTTGACTGTGCTACAAAAGAAAAACCTCGGAAATAACTTCAACATGGAACTGTAAAGAGTTAAAGCAAAAGAAACAAAGACAATATTTATTTACTCATTAAGCATTTCTCCGCTATCTTTATCTAGAAGTTTAATGCTTGTATCTGTGGAGCCCACTAGTATGCACTGACCATCTCTGGTGAATCTCACACAAGATATAGCCTCTGAAACAACATAGTGTAATGTAAAAACTTAAAAGTCCTACATTATTTATGTTTTTAAAAAAGGCTCTATTGTTAAAAAAACAAAAATGCTAAATGTCAGCAGAATTATTACTTCACATATTCAAATAAACTAAGCAAAACATCTAAATAGCAAATAATTTTGTTGGGGACATAATGCTGACCATACTATCCCTTCTTATGCTTAGGTCGCAGAAACAGGCAAACTAATTCACTTGCCCCATGGACCACCAGATTTGAAAAGGGAACTCTCTTTTATTGGTTGTGCAAGAATAAATTATGATACATCATTTTAAAAATATTTTATAAATACTATTCTGTTATTAGAAACAAATCACACATCTAATATAAAAATAAGAACTAGTTTCAAAGAAATGAAAGATTTTTCTAATGCTGACTTATTTCCAACAAAACCAAAAAATAATATCTTACTAATAAACTACCTTGTCATAACTCATTAATACTTCTCAAGTGTAGCCATTTATGTTTAGATTTGGTGTGAGTCAATTGTTATGGTAAAGTATTATGGATGTTAATGTGTAAATGTCAATAAGGCAGGTCCGCAACTCGGTGTAGTCACCCATCAGGCAAAATTAATTTTTAAAAATCTTACTTCCAACAAAATCAGAAAACATTCTTCCAATTCTAAGGTCATATCTTCTAACTCTACAATCAGCAGAACCAGTAAGTATTTCGTGATCTGATACTTGAATTGATGTGACACTATCTTTGGCCTCATCTATCACCTGAGATAATTTATTTATGTATAAAGTTTGATTGTATTTTTGAGCTGAAAAAAATATATTTTTATGTAACTTGGGTTTCACCTAGAATCTATATAAAATTAAATAAAAGTATTTAACTTAAAATAAAATTAAGCTTTGTGTACCTGAATAGGCTGATTTTTTCGACTCCGTATATCCCATACTCTAACTGAACAATCTATGGAGCCTGATAAAATGACAGTAGATTCTTCATTAAAGCAAACAGTGTTGACAGTACCTGGAAAGAAATTTGCATTGATAATAAAAATAATGATACATATAATACAGTAAAGGCTAACTTAATAATGTAATAGTATAAGTGTCTGGGATAATTATGTTGAGCTAAAGCTTACTAGAGAAACTTCTCATGACTAATTCTAGCATTAAATAATTACACTATTAATTCTTTTGTTGAGTTAATTTGAAAACCTTTTAGGATGTGTAGTGCAGAAGCAGCTTTATTATTTGTAAATTACCTGCATGATCTCTAAATTTTCTGACTGCCTGTCCAGTTGATACATCAAAAAGAACAACACTTTTGTCCATTCCGCCAGAGCAAATATGAGAATTATCTCCAGAGCTTTGTGCATCAAGCACTTCATAACCATGGCCAATGTAAGTCTTAAGAAGCAAGTTTCTCAAGGGATTCCATAATTTGACACTTTTATCACTACCACATGTTATGCAATAGTTGCCATCAACTGATTAAAGAAATTAAAAACATTATTAATTCAAGTGGTTAAGGTAAGGGCTTGTTCATAAATGACATGGCTCTGAGATGAGAGGGGGGAGGTGGACATTTGTGATGTTAATGAGGGGGAATTTAAGAAAGTTTAGTTATACTTTTTCACTTTTATTAAAAAGTATTTTTTTAAAATTGAACAGCTGTTTCGCCTTTTTTTTTAGACTAGCTAAAAGCAATGGGCTCAAATTAACTACTATCAATAGCTGCGCAATGGGCTCAAATTATTCTTTTAGCCTTACTTGAGCAGTTGCGCTTCTGGCAGATCGTCAGGGGATGAGGGTTCATAGTAAAGTTATACTAGTTATAGTATATCTAGTAGACTAGTAGAGAATTCTAGTTCATAAGGATAATTTTTTGTATCAAATCTATTTAAATCACTATACTGTTTAAGTATTTATCATGTTAATCTCTGTCCCATCCAGACAACCAATACGCCTAAACAACAACATTTAGAATTAGATGACGAGAAAAACCAGGTTATTGTAGTGCTATGCACATGCGATTCTACTTCCGGCTGGAATCAGCTCTTAGTTTAGGTTAGGTTAATCAAAAGTTGTCTAATATCTGGAAAACTTCCTAAATGAATGAGTCAATATTAATCTATATATATAATTCTCTTCATGAAGGGACCATACGAGACAAGACGTTGACGCATGCCAAACCTCCTCCAGGCATGCTTAACAGACCATATCGCTACCACCCCCACCCCACCAGTCTGGTGAGTTGTTTACAATCGTAGAGCTGGGTCGAATTAGTGACGACTATTAGGAGCAGATAATTTGGTTTTAAACTATTTGAAACTAAGGGGAGTGTTGTGAATGGACTTGGTTGTATTGAATGAGTTTGAGAGTATGTGTGTAGTGGAATGTGTTTAATAAAAGATGTTGAGGGTTTGAGAGTATGTGTGTAGTTGGATTAATAAAAGATTCTAAATGCATGACAAAGCAAGTATTAGTAAGGGTGTGACATGGGAGAGTATGTGTTATTGTTAAAAAAAAATAGTTGAAGTCAGTCTTAGTCTTGTTGTGGTTTCTTGAGGTTGTAGAACTCGTCCTCCTGTCTGTTGTCGATGTAGCTGTGTGTATTGTACATAATAAATTATGGAAATATATCAATGCCGTCCTGTCTCATTTCTCTATTGGATCGTCATATGTTGTTCGTCAACTTCCAGCATCGACCCTGCTTGATCTTTTCATTGTCGTCTGTAAACTGTCGTCACAGGCGGCTGCTTTCAGGGGGGGGGAAGGAGTGGAAAGTGAGGGTGAGGATAATCGTCCTTCAGGAGCTACTGATTATAGTGTTTTAAAGCGTTGAATTCTAAATTATGAATTACTAAAAATAGAAAATAAAACAACTAAATAGAGGCGTATGTTATGTCGCGGGTCAGCTCGTAATAACTAATTTTAGTAGTTTAAGGCAGATTCTAGCCAGAAAAAATTAAAATATACATGTGCGATTGAGAGAAACAACTGTTTTCGATGGTACTGCTCATGCGTGCAAACAAACTGCAGAATCCTAACCCTACATAGCACAGCTATAAAGGTCAACAATCATACTATGAGACTAACCATTAAACTTCACGCATCTTACAGCTCCTTGTTTACAGTCCAAAGTTTCGGTCTTCTTGTCGGGCCATGCCATCATGATTAATGATTTTCATTTACTTTAACGGTTGAACAGCATGAAACTAGATTATACATTTTAAAAGTCATTTAGGCCTAACAACTTTAATAGATCTATTTATTCTACTATTACTAATAGATCTAGATCTAGATCTAGTACTAGCATTGTTCTATTTATCATGATCATACATAACACGGCAGTTTATTTTATATTTTTATGTTCCGTAGAGATCACTAATACCAGATCAAATTGTGGAAAACTTGCCAAATTTTGTTTAAAAAATAACTAACATTTTTGTGTGTGAAATATTTGTCATTTTTTTAAATTAATACTAATAGTTTCGCTGTCTGTCTATCTGACAAGAACGCTCTGTCTGACAAGAACGCTCTGTCTGACAAGAACGCTCTAGAGAAAACACAAGCAATTTAAAAACATGCACAGTAATTCGAAAAACGAAATATGACGTCGACACATTTAGCGTAGAGTAGAACATAATCTCAAACCAGAGAGTGCACACAGTAATGTAATGACGTCATTGATTCTCGCGTAAACATTGAAAAAAAGGAAATGTTGTCTAATCTAAATGGTTTGCGTGAAGAGTTTCTTGCATACAATTCTTCGGGTAGGGGCGAAGCCCCACCCCCCGCGTAAGAACGTCTGAGCCCCCCCCCCCCCTCCCCAACTCAAAAGAAATTTCCTCATCGATACTCTATAATAAAATTACCGCCTAATTAATGTGTCTAATCTAAAAAGTGGTTTTCTTGCAATGGGACGGTAGACATGTTTTTTTTTTTGGGGGGGGGGGGGTGGGGGGGGGGGTGGTGTGTGGGGGGGGGGGGAGGTTGGTTTCAGTGTTTCTTTCAGACTTTTTCCTCCCCGGAGAGGGGTGGGGGGTACTTGAAATTTTCGGGGGCGGGGGGTAGAATTTTCTGGGAGGGGGCGGACACTGGAAAAAGTATATAATTATATTTCGTTGAATGGGACGGTAGACATGTTTTTTTTGGGGGTGGGGGGTGGTGGAGGGGTGGGGGGGGGGGTGGTGTGTGTGTGGGGGGGGTGGTGTGTGGGAGGGGTGGGGGGTGGTGTGTGGGGGGTGGGTTGGTTTTAGTGTTTCTTTCAGACTTTTTCCTCCCCGGAGAGGGGTGGGGGTACTTGAAATTTTCGGGGGCGGGGGTAGAATTTTCTGGGAGGGGGCGGACACTGGAAAAAGTATATAATTATATTTCGTTGAATGGGACGGTAGACATGTTTTTTTTTTGGGGGGGGGGGGGGTGGGGGGTGGGGGGGCGGTGTTTGGAGGGGGTGGTGTGTGGGGGTGAGGGGTGGGGGTGGTGTGTGGGGGTGAGGGGTTGGGGTGGGGGTGGTGTGTGGTGGGGGGTGGGGGTGGTGTGTGGGGGTGAGGGGTTGGGGTGGGGGTGGTCTGTGGTGGGGGGTGGGGGGTGGTGTGTGGGGGTGGGGTGGGGGTGGTGTGTGGGGGGGTGGGTTGGTTTTAGTTTAGAGAAAAGAGACAGCACTATCAGCCTAGCGCCCGTTGTACCCTTCCTCAACGGGCCATTTTTCTCGTCTATAATAATAGTTTCGCTGTCTGTCTATCTGACAAGAACGCTCTGTCTGACAAGAACGCTCTGTCTGACAAGAACGCTCTAGAGAAAACACAAGCAATTTAAAAACATGCACAGTAATTCGAAAAACGAAATATGACGTCGACACATTTAGCGTAGAGTAGAACATAATCTCAAACCAGAGAGTGCACACAGTAATGTAATGACGTCATTGATTCTCGCGTAAGTAAACATTGAAAAAAAGGAAATGTTGTCTAATCTAAATGGTTTGCGTGAAGAGTTTCTTGCATACAATTCTTCGGGTAGGTGCGAAGCCCCACCCCCCGCGTAAGAACGTCTGAGCCCCCCCCCCCCCCAACTCAAAAGAAATTTCCTCATCGATACTCTATAATAAAATTACCGCCTAATTAATGTGTCTAATCTAAAAAGTGGTTTTCTTGCAATGGGACGGTAGACATGTTTTTTTTTTGGGGGGGGGGGGGGGGGGGAGTGGGGGGTGGGGGGGTGTGTGGGGGGGGGGGGTGTGGGGGTGGGGGGTGGGGGGTGGGGGGGGGGGGTGGTGTGTGGGGGGGTGGGTTGGTTTCAGTGTTTCTTTCAGACTTTTTCCTCCCCGGAGAGGGGTGGGGGGTACTTGAAATTTTCGGGGGCGGGGGTAGAATTTTCTGGGAGGGGGCGGACACTGGAAAAAGTTTATAATTATATTTCGTTGAATGGGACGGTAGACATGTTTTTTTTGGGGTGGGGGGTGGTGGAGGGGTGGGGAGGGGTGGTGGGGGGGTGGGGGTGGGGGGTGGTGTGTGGGGGGGGGGGGGGTGGGGTGGTGTGTGGGGGGGGGGGTGGTGAGTGTGGGGGGTGGGTTGGTTTCAGTGTTTCTTTCAGACTTTTTCCTCCCCAGAGAGGGGTGGGGGTACTTGAAATTTTCGGGGGCGGGGGGTAGAATTTTCTGGGAGGGGGCGGACACTGGAAAAAGTATATAATTATATTTCGTTGAATGGGACGGTAGACATGTTTTTTTTTGGGGGGGTGGGGGGTGGGGGGGCGGTGTGTGGAGGGGGTGGTGTGTGGGGGTGAGGGGTGGGGGTGGTGTGTGGTGGGGGGTGGGGTTGGGGGTGGTGTGTGGGGGTGGGGTGGGGGTGGTGTGTGGGGGGGTGGGTTGGTTTTAGTTTAGAGAAAAGAGACAGCACTATCAGCCTAGCGCCCGTTGTACCCTTCCTCAACGGGCCATTTTTCTCGTCTATAATAATTGTTTCGCTGTCTGACAAGAACGCTCTGTCTGACAAGAACGCTCTGTCTGACAAGAACGCTCTAGAGAAAACACAAGGAAATTAAAAACATGCATAGTATTTCGAAAAACGAAGTATGACGTCGACACATTTAGCATAGAGTTGAAAATAATCTCAAGGCGGAAAGTGCACACAGTAATATAATGACGTCATTGATTATCGCGTAAACATTGAATAAAAAGGAAATGTTGTCTAATCTAAATGGTTTGCGTGAAGAGTTTCTTGCATACAATTCTTCGGGTAGGGGCGAAGCCCCACCCCCCGCGTAAGAACGTCTGAGCCCCCCCCCCCCTCCCCAACTCAAAAGAAATTTCCTCATCGATACTCTATAATAAAATTACCGCCTAATTAATGTGTCTGATCTAAAAAGTGGTTTTCTTGCAATGGGACGGTAGACATGATTTTTTTTTTTGGGGGTGGGGGGGGGGGGGTGGGGGGGGGGGGGGGGTGTGTGGGGGTGGGGGGGGGGGGTGTGGGGGGGTGGTGTGTGGTGTGTGGGGGGGGGTGGGTTGGTTTCAGTGTTTCTTTCAGACTTTTTCCTCCCCGGAGAGGGGTGGGGGTACTTGAAATTTTCGGGGGCGGGGGTAGAATTTTCTGGGAGGGGGGCGGACACTGGAAAAAGTATATAATTATATTTCGTTGAATGGGACGGTAGACATGTTTTTTTTGGGAGTGGGGGGTGGGGGGGTGGGGGTGGGGGTGGTGTGTGTGGGGTGGGGGGTGGGGTGGGGTGGTTTCCTCATCGATACTCTATAATAAAATTACCGCCTAATTAATGTGTCTAATCTAAAAAGTGGTTTTCTCGCAATTTCTTTAATGCAATTCTTCGCGTAGTGGCTAAGCGCAACACCAGTGTTTCTTTCAGACTTTTTCCTCCCCGGAGAGGGGTGGGGGTACTTGAAATTTTCGGGGGCGGGGGTGGAATTTTCGGGGAGGGGGCGGACACTGGAAAAAGTATATAATTATATTTCGTTGAATGGGACGGTAGACATGTTTTTTTGGGGGGTGGGGGTGGGTGGGTGGGGCTGGGGTGGGGGTTGGGGTTGGGTGTGTGGGGTGGGTGGGGGGTGGGGTTGGGGGTTGGGGGTAGGTGTGTGTGGGGGATGGGTTGGTTTTAGTTTAGAGAAAAGAGACAGCACTATCAACCTAGCGCCCGGTGTATCCTTCCTCAACGGGCCATTTTTCTCGTCTATAATAATAGTTTCGCTGTCTGTCAAGAACGCTCTGTCTGACAAGAACGCTCTAGAGAAAAGACAAGCAATTTAAAAACATGCATAGTAATTCGAAAAACGAAGTATGACGTCGACACATTTAGCGCACAGAGTAGAAAATAATCTCACAGTAATATAATGACGTCATTGATTCTGGCGTAAATATTGAATAAAGAGGAAATGTTGTCTAATCTAAGTGGTTTGCGTGAAGAGTTTCTTGCATACAATTCTTCGGGTAGGGGCGAAGCCCCACCCCCCGCGTAAGAACGTCTGAGCCCCTCCCCCTCCCCAACTCAAAAGAAATTTCCTCATCGATACTCTATAATAAAATTACCGCCTAATTAATGTGTCTAATCTAAAAAGTGGTTTTCTTGCAATGGGACGGTAGACATGATTTTTTTTTGGGGGGGGGGGGGGGGGTGGAGGGGTTGGGGGGGGTGTGTGTGGGGGGGTGGTGTGTGTGGGTGGGGGGGGGGGGGGTGTGTGGGGGGGTGGTGTGTGTGGGTGGGGGGTGTGTGTGTGGGGGTGTGGTGTGTGTGGGTGGGGGGGGGTGTGGGGGGGGGGGTGGGTTGGTTTCAGTGTTTCTTTCAGACTTTTTCCTCCCCGGAGAGGGGTGGGGGTACTTGAAATTTTCGGGGGCGGGGGTAGAATTTTCTGGGAGGGGGCGGACACTGGAAAAAGTATATAATTATATTTCGTTGAATGGGACGGTAGACATGTTTTTTTTGGGGGGTGGGGGTGGGGTGAGGGTGGTGTGGGGGTGGGGGGGGTGGGGGGGGGGGGGTGGTGTGTGGGGTGGGGGATGGGGGTGGTGGGGGTGGTGTGTGTGTGTGGGGGGGTGGGTTGGTTTTAGTTTAGAGAAAAGAGACAGCACTATCAACCTAGCGCCCGGTGTATCCTTCCTCAACGGGCCATTTTTCTCGTTAATACTAATAGTTTCGCTGTCTGTCTATCTATCTATCTATCTATCTGACAAGAACGCTCTAGAGAAAACACAAGCAAAATAAAAACATGCACAGTAATTCGAAAAACGAAGTATGACGCGGTCACATTTAGCATAGAGTAGAAAATAATCTCAGTAATATGACGTCATTGTTTCTCGAGTAAATAAACATTGAATAAAAAGGCAATTTTGTCTAATCTAAATGGTTTGCGTGAAGAGTTTCTTTCATACAATTCTTCGGGTAGGGGCGAAACCCCACCCCCACGTAAGAACGTCTGAGCCCCCCCCCCCTCCCTAACTCAAAAGAAATTTCTTCATCGATACTCTATAATAAAATTACCGCCTAATTAATGTGTCTAATCTAAAAAGTGGTTTTCTTGCAATTTCTTTAATGCAATTCTTCGGGTAGTGGCTAAGCGCGACACCAGTGTTTCTTTCAGACTTTTTCCTCCCCGGAGAGGGGTGGGGGTACTTGAAATTTTCGGGGGCGGGGGTAGAATTTTTGGGGAGGGGGGCGGACACTGGAAAAAGTATATAATTATATTTCGTTGAATGGGACGGTAGACATGTTTTTTTTGGGGGGTGGGGGTGGGTGGGGGGCGGGTGGGGGTGTGGGTGGGGGGGGGGGGGGTGGTGTGTGGGGGTGGGGGTGGGGGGTGGGGGTGGGGGTGGTGTGGGGGGGTTGGTTTTAGTTTAGGAAAAGAGACAGCACTATCAGCCTAGCGCCCGTTGTATCCTTCCTCAACGGGCCATTTTTCTCGTGATAAAATATTTTGTTAAGCGCAATTTCACTTTTATAGTAACCATCTCTGGCTTCTGTAATCAATTTTTATCCTCCGAGTCACTATATACAGTCAAGTGGCTATCGCCTCTCCATGTGACCTTTGTTGATTTTGAAAAGGCGTTTGATAGTGTGGACAGAGATGTCGTTTTATATAAAACAAATATTAAAATTCTAATGTAAGAGGAGTTTTAATTTTTTTTTAAAGAAGGAAAAGGGCACCTATATACCTTGGTTATGATAACTTAATGGTAGCTACGCCGCTGAAAGCAAACTAGAGTTTGTAATCCTATCGCCTAAAGGGCTCCACTCCTGTTTGATTTCGGAGTTAGGTGATCCCCGGGAGTCTTCGTTGACATGTCATTTCCAGGGCCTGGATTCTTCTCTGGAGACCTGTGTTGAGAGTCCAAGCCTCGCACCCATAAAGAAAGACAGCCATGGCCAGTGTCCACACGAGTTAAACTTTTGAGCCAATGCCCAATGGAAGTCTTTTTGCCACGCCAACTGAATCTTAAATTATGCCTTTGCACGGCGAGCCTAACAACCGCCATTGTTCGGGAATTCATTAAGACGTAATTAACTGAGTGCTGTTTTTGTTGTTTGAGCATTTCTTGTATTACGTGCTTCGTGCCGTCATCAGTAATGGTATCTATGTCATCAGCGCAGCGTATTTAGGTAATAATCTGTGCGTCCATGTTGACTTAGTTGACATGGTATTCAAAGAGTCATAATACTTTTTTTTTTTTATTTTTAAACACATCGAAGAAGGTTCTGAAGTAACTTTAGGAATTTATTTTTAGGCCGGAGTCTGAAGAACTTAAAAAATTTATGGGCCTTATTATTGAAGCCAATTACAGTCTTGCCTTTACGATGTGTAGTTGGAAGATGTCAAAGGCGAGGCAAAGTATACTACCTGGTCAACCTAATGTAAATGGAGTTGACGCGACTAATTACGTTAGGACATTAGCTACAGCAACAAAACTGCTTAAGGACTTGCGGTAGTACATCTCCAAAACATTTTAAAGGATTTAAAAACACAAACATCTTATTTGTGTACTAGAAAACAGCGCTTTAGTTTTTCTCGTTTACCATTTACATCCGTGTATTTCTGTCAACTGTAAAAGTACACTTGAATTAAACAGGCTTCAATAGAAACAATTCTTTGTAAATCAAATAGAATTAAAAAACAAGGTTGTCCTTATCACTTATCGGGTTTATATCGTCCACTGAATTGCGAAAACAATAAGGCCCGCGCCTAAGCGATTCTACTACGAAAACACTTGTTGTGCTTTGATTTTTAAAAGCTTACATAGAATAATTTTTTTTTACCTATATGGCCATATGGGACCTCAAAGGCTTCTTATAGTAGGCTAATTGCGTTATTCTCGAGGTCATTGAAACAGATGAACAGTTTTCCTCATCTGCCCCATTGGACTTCGTCACGAACGGGAAAAGAGAAGAGATTGCGCTGTTCGTATTGAGGCTTAATAGTGCATTTTTTATGAGGCCTATAGGATTTGAAGCCTTATTTTAATTTTTAAAATTTCAAGGTATAAAGGCAAACAATGTTCTACGAGTTCCCTGGGAATACTAACCGTTTTCCTACATAATTAAGTCTGATAGCTTATATAGCCGCCCTAATATGTCGCATACGAATCAATTTCTTTCATGCATCCCTCCGCCCCCCGAACACGTCACACTATTGAAAATATAAAGATCTATGCCTACTTTAACCATTTAAGGAACTTTTTTTACTTTTAATTTTTCAAAAGCCTATAACTTGAGTACCTTTTTAGATAGATAAATGAAATTTCACATGTAAGTTAAAGATCTAATTCTCTGCCTTGTGTCGAATTTTGAGTAATTTCCGTTGACCGGAAAATGTAATTTACGCTATTTCCGATTTCTCAAAAAACACACCTGAATTTACAAAGTACTATTATGCACATTTTGCTTGGCGTTCGCTTGGTGCGCAATTCTTTTTTCTACGAGATTCTATTCTATTTTAAAAAGTTTAAGTATTAAAAATCATGTCTATATCCCGAGTTGCCATCCCCCGTAGTGTTGTATTACAATATTCGAGAAAGTTTAGGGGTGATCACTCCCGGTTTATTTCTACTCTTTGTCTCGCTTGCGATACCTAGGGATAGATTTTATGCATACCAAATCTAAAACTCTACCTGTTTACAGTTATAATCAATATACAATCGCCACGAAGAATATAGGCTAATGTTTTAGCTCTTCCCGGCAGTGTTTCTTCCAGGGGGAAGGGGGGAAGGGCGCGATGTCTACCCCCCCCCCCCCCCCCAACGAAATGGAATTTATATAGAAAATATATACTTTTAACTGTGTCCGCCTCCCCGGAAACTTTAGTCCGCCCCCCACCCCCGGAGAAAAAAGTCTGGAAGAAACACTGCCGGGAAGAGCTAAAACATTAGCCTATATCCTTCGTTATACCGAAATATGTTTAAAGTTATCATTTCGATAGAAAATTTGAAACACAAATTCTGTATGACTTTCTTGAGTCTACTAATAGGCAACTACAATAGTTTGCTTTAGAAAGAATTAAGAATTACACTTATTTGTTATGTCATCTAGCCTATTTAAGATTAACATTTAAAGTGTGTAATGGTCTTCTATATTACAAAAACGTTTTAAAAAATCCAAAGCAAACAGAATATTCATTCTTAAATTCTGACGTGAGATGTTTATTTATAGTAACTGGTCCGACGGGTTGGGTCCGCTGTATTCAGGTGTGGGCCGTGCTCCTCAGCAGAGTCGAATGTCGTGTTGTGAGGTGGGGTATCGAGCGGCGTCAATGCTTGCCTGTGTTACTAATGTTCAACTTGTGTGAAAAGAGAGAAACGCCTCTTCCTTCTTCGTATGTTTATCATAGTTTTGGCAGACCGAATGTGCGACCGCCTCGTATGAAGACTACTTAACTGTGTAGTGCCTATCGGACTAAACTTCTTCCTAGGCCTGCCACTAGGTGAAGTTGATACAGGACTTTCACCGCCGTCTTGTAGGGTAAATAACATTTAAAAATAATAATTTCACGCAATATAACGGAACAAACTCGCTACGAATGATTAAAGATCGTATTGATATGTCATGGTATGTTACGCCCTAATGTTTGTTACTCAGCTGGTGGAGAGTTTGAACAGCCAAGTATGTCCACGTCAATAAGGTAACCTCTATATACTCCTAGTCTAATACAGTTACACTTAATACAGTTGAGCGTATTTAAAACTTTTGGAAAATTACACGGAAAAGTGATTCTTTAATCTTTTTACTTTCTCGTATATACGAAGTATAGAGAAAGTCTTGTAATCGTGCAAAAAAAAAAAATCGAGATTTTTGCAAATCTCGACGTTTTACATCTCACTGATACGGAAAAACATAATTTTGCAATCTTGTCCGTATGTCTGTGTGTCTGTGTGTGTGTCTGTGTGTGTGTGTGTCCGTGTGTAAACACGATAACTTGAGTACCGTTACAGCTAGGTTGATGAAATTTCATATACAAGTATTTTATCAAAATCGTAGATCCGTATCAACTTTTGAGCGATTTCGGATAACCGGAAGTGGTACTTTTTCTACTTTGAATTTTTCAAAAGCCTATAACTTGAGTACTATTTCAGATAGATAAATGAAATTTGATATGTAAGTAAAAGATCTAATTCTCTACCTTCTGTCAAATTTTGAGAATTTTTCGTTGACTGGAAGTACTTATTTACGCTACTTCCGATTTCTCAAAAAACTAATGTAAATTTTAAAAGTACTAATAATATTGCGCACTATTATGCGCTTTTTTATTCGCGTTCACTTGGTGTGCAATTAATTTGTCTACGAGATTTTATTCTATTTTTAAAACTTTAAGTATTTAAAATGGATTAAAAATCATGTCTATAGCCCGAGTTCCCATCCCCTGTTATTTTATATAAGAATATTCGAGAAAGTTTAGGGGAGATCACTCCCGGTTTATTTCCGTATAGTTACAATACACCTAATTTAGGCTTATAGACCTAGACCTAGGTCCATATACAAATACTAATTTTGAATTAAAGTGTACGTTGCGTGGTTATATGAAAGCCTATAGTGAAAGTGTCTATCCTTAAAATACGTCACTCAAGTTTCGGCCCATTTATTTACCCGTTTTAAGGGCCGTATCTTGTTAAAAAGAAACCGGGAGCAGTGTTTCTTCCAGACTTTTTTCTCCGGGGGGGGGGGGGTACTTGAAATTTTCGGGGGGGGCGGTAGACTTTCTTCGGGGGGCGGACACTGTTAAAAGTATATATTTTCTATATAAATTATATAAATTTCATTTCGTTCGGGGGGGGGGGGGGGCGGTAAAATTTTTCGGGGGGGGGGGGGGGGCTTAGCCCCCCCTCCCCCCCCCCGAAGAGATGCCTGGAAGAAACTCTGACCGGGAGTGATCTCCCCTAAACTTTCTCGAATATTCTAACACTGCGGGGGATGGCAACTCAGAACATAGACAATAATTGTAATCCTGGTGGCCCTCGCCAAGAGATGCCTGAAAGAAACTCTGAGGTTTATCACAATTTTCTTCAATCGACATCTGAATCAAAACTCTAATTATGTCCCTTTTTTAAAGCGCCAATACATTTTACTCATTCATTTAGACTTTAGAATTTTTTTGTTGTTCCATTTGAAAAAAAAATATGTTCTTTAAAATCGTTATTAAAGGTCAACTTAGATATTTATTATAGACTCCGTTAATTATTTAAGGATACATGGATGTTATTTATTAAATAATGTAAGTAGTTTGTTTTACTTTGTTGATTGTTGTATATTTTACACTGTAGTTAAGCTTAAATGTATGATCATGTGTTTCCCTGTGTTTTCAGAAGGCAATCGAGTACATGAAAGTAAATGGCTACGTCAGATTTTATTCCAGTCCTGTCAAATCATCCGCCACCATCACCAACACCAGAGTGGTCATCAGAGCCAGTTCCCCTGAAAGAATTCTCCTCCAAACGACAAGTTCCTGGGTTCGCTAAAATCGTCAAAGGGAACTACATGACGCTAGGCTCCAACAAATTCTCCTTTCAAAAACAATACCACGAGGTGTTTATACATTCGGTCAAAGTTGGGGTCAAAGTTCTCGCGCATTGTCTGCGTCGTGTGGACGCCACAAGCATATCCCGGCGCGGCAACCACAACGTGTACACCACGACCAGACTTTACGCCGTCGACCAGCGACTGGCTATCCCCATCTCTTACCAGGGCTGGTTTGAGCTGTTGTCTGAGGATGGCAAGTCGGCCCGTCCAATCACCAGCGTCCATGAACTGGCCAGGATCAAACCAGACCGCTGTCTGGTGCGAGAAAACACCAAGGCTTACATCATGAGTGAGGATGAGAAGTTCACCTTTGATAAAACCAAAATCGTCATTGCCGGTGAGCAGCTCGTCCTGAATGGCGAAGTGTCACTCCCCGCCCCGGCTGAAAACAAAAAGATCAAATTGTTGCGTTGTTTTGATTCCAAGGGGGAGTTAATTTATCTGAGCTTCGACCAGAAAGCCACTTTCACGCCCATCGCTGGTGAAGAAGACTTTGTTGGCGTGTTCAACATTCGAGACATTGTGCGCCGTTTTCGACTTCCATTAACTGTCAAACTAGTCCAGGGAGTCCGGCCAAAGGTGGACCCGTCACGGTTTACCGGTCTCATTCGTTTAGATTGGGTGTACACAGACGAAACAGCTTTTGTGTGTCCTGTTGATAAAAATATCATCCGTCTGCTTCCCGTGCCAACAGATAGCAACTTGCAACTAGTATCAGCATTAAATCAACAAGCAATGAAGTCGACAGAGCTGTACAGGTCTATGATAGTCAAATGTAATCGCATGATCACGAATTACAACAACACACTCCATCTGATCGTACAAGTCCCTGACGCGGCCTCCAAAGGAAAAGGCAAATCCAACGCTAATGTCTTTTCTATGCAGCTGTCAGCGCCAGCATACCAGCCCTCGGGTGGTCGGACCAAGTCTCGAGAACATCTGCTCATGGACGAGATTGACGACCTGTACGCCTACGTCAGGGATGGAGGAGCTCCGCCTACCAAGTTCACCTACGATTCTGATGAAGAAAGCTACTGGGAAGAGCCGGCGTACGAACCGCTCGATGACTTCCGGGCCAGGCTTAAAGCGTTAGAAGCCGGCGAACGAGTCAGTTACCATGTTAAATATCAGCCTCAAGATCCCAGTCAACTCAAGCTGGATGTGGACAATGACTTGAGAAAAAGTACTGAAAATTTACTAGAGGGCAGGGATGGTTTACCCGATGTCCATCCGAACAAAACATCCCCAACCCCACCGGCTCTGCCCCCACGACCTCCAGATCTCCTGGCATACCCACACCCATCAGGCGAGCGGTTTAGCAGCAGTGAGCATACCAAGCCATTTAGCTCTTCCACGCAAATCATTCTGTCCAGAAACTCTCAGTCAGAACACAACGTGACGCGGGTGTCCAACTTGGGCATGGTGTCATCCAACCATTCCTCTCACAGTTCACAGGAATCCAAAAGTCCAGCCAAAATCTTCGCTCGTTCTAAAAGTGCAGCGGAAGTCCTTGCTCCGAAGAAAGAGCACCTCCTACCACCTCCCAGCACGGGAGCAAACTCCAGCTCGACCTCGGGTAGCAGCGGAAACGGCCACCGGAATCACATAGCTCGAGATTTTAAAGATTCGGACATTAGCTCGATGACACGAGGGGCATCTTCGGGTTCTTCCGGTGGACCCGCATCTAACATTCGGAAAAAAATGCAGACACTCTACTTGTGATCTGTGTTGATACTTCATTTTCGTCATCTCAAGTCATGTTTTTAAAATGTTAGTGTACTTTTCTGTTGTGCCTTTTATTTCAGTGATATTTAAAATGGGAACATCAAGCATTTATTATTTAAACGCACAGAATGTACCAGACCACAACTGGATTGAGTACCTCAAATATTTTCAAAGTCACCAAAACTAGGCCTAAAGGTATTGTACCTCTAAAGTAGGCCTTCATGTATAGTAACTCAAAAGTAGGCCTTCATGTATAGTAGCCTATACGATGTAGATATCAGTTTTTACACTTTTATTGTGACATTGCTTAGTTGTGATATTTTAAATTGCGTTGTATTATTTTAGTCACCCAACAAATGTTGTGCTATCTGCATAAAATGGCAATCAACGATAATTGTCTAATAAATTATTATGTAAACATGAAATGATTGTGTAACTGGCGCGGGAATGTATAAAATGTGAACCCTCCCTGGCCCATATTAGCAAAATAACAAATGTCTAGAATGCTTTACAAGATATTGGCTTATAATTTCGCCAGATTCCTACATTTGAAATGATTTTACAAGTGGTTTAATTCGTGTGTAGATTTAGTATGCACTTAAACCAATACAAGCAGTAATCAAACCGTACATGTATACATTTCTAGTTTAACAATAGGATTCACTCAATATATACTAGAAAGTAACAAAAAAAAAAAAAAAACTCGCAAAAACAGTAAGCAGTAGGTAGAGATGACACACAATAGCAAGCCATGTCCTGCGGCACTATAAACCTGTCTAAACACTTTTTATTCTTAAAGTAAACTTTAGGCTAAGGTCCACTTTAAAACACAAGGCTCGGATCTCTAGGAATATTCCAAACTGTACATTAAGGCTAAAATCGATTTTAAGTCTCACTTCTAAGATCACTAGGAAAATGCCTATTTCAAACATAAAAAAAAACCAACAAAGACCGTAAAGAGGGGTGAAGTACTATGCATCTTCAATCATTTTGACGTGTGTATGTGGGGGGGGGGGGGGGGGAAATATCTTTTGACGTGTGGGAGGTGGCGAGCTTGTATTATCTCCTTGACTTATGAGGTGAGGTGGCGAGCTTGTATCTCTTTGACTTGTGAGGTGAGGTGGCGAGCTTGTATCTCTTTGACTTGTGAGGTGAGGTGGCGAGCTTGTATCTCTTTAACTTGTGAGGTGAGGTGGCGAGCTTGTATCTCTTTGACTTGTGAGGTGAGGTGGCGAGCTTGTATCTCTTTGACTTGTGAGGTGAGGTGGCGAGCTTGTATCTCTTTGACTTGTGAGGTGAGGTGGCGAGCTTGTATCTCTTTGACTTGTGAGGTGAGGTGGCGAGCTTGTATCTCTTTGACTTGTGAGGTGAGGTGGCGAGCTTGTATCTCTTTGACTTGTGAGGTGAGGTGGCGAGCTTGTACCTCCTTGACTTGTGATGTGGCGAGCTTGTATCTCTTTGACTTGTGAGGTGAGGTGGCGAGCTTGTATAATCTCCTTGACTTGTGAGGTGGCGAGCTTGTATAATCTCCTTGACTTGTGAGGTGGCGAGCTTGTACCTCCTTGACTTGTGATGTGGCGAGCTTGTATCTCTTTGACTTGTGAGGTGAGGTGGCGAGCTTGTATAATCTCCTTGACTTGTGAGGTGGCGAGCTTGTATAATCTCCTTGACGTATGAGGTGAGGTGGCGAGCTTGTATCTCTTTGACTTGTGAGGTGAGGTGGCGAGCTTGTATAATCTCCTTGACGTATGAGGTGAGGTGGCGAGCTTGTATAATCTCCTTGACGTATGAGGTGAGGTGGCGAGCTTGTATCTCTTTGACTTGTGAGGTGAGGTGGCGAGCTTGTATAATCTCCTTGACTTGTGAGGTGAGGTGGCGAGCTTGTATAATCTCCTTGACTTGTGATGTGGCGAGCTTGTATCTCTTTGACTTGTGAGGTGAGGTGACGAGCTTGTATAATCTCCTTGACTTGTGAGGTGGCGAGCTTGTATAATCTCCTTGACGTATGAGGTGAGGTGGCGAGCTTGTATAATCTCCTTGACTTGTGAGGTGGCGAGCTTGTATCTTTTAAGACGTCTATTTCAATGAAAGACGGCCTACAGACTGGTGAGCTTGTGTCTTTCAATGAAAGACGGCCTACCGACGCAGAAAGATTTTCATAGCCAGGTTTCACCCATGTCGGCCACAGCACAGATTTCTTTTCCATTTAAAAGGCCTTAGATTGAAGGTGCCGCTATACATAGTATGTCGCCCCTAAAGGCATATACGCTGAAGTTCGATTCAAATCGGCTTTTTGATTTCTCGGCTTTCATTACGACACTGGGGCAAGATTGCAATGATCAACACAGCGAGGTAGAAGGTGAAGAACAGATATACAAGTCGTGTTTTGACTTGATTGGGCAATTACTTATGTGGGTGTCTGTTATGAGTGGTAACAAATCTAGATATTGTTATGGATTCTTTAGACGGCTAGTGAATGCTACTTGTTCTGATTCTTTAGACGGCTAATTCTTTAGACGGTTAGTGCATTCAACTTGTTCTGATTCTTTAGACAGCTAGTGCATGCAACTTTTTTTTTCAGCTCTCCTTGTATCATTTCAATAATAGACCCCCCCCTTCCCCGATGTTTCCAAAAAAAGCTCTGCGCATCATCGACCCGTTTAAAATTAGACTAGTTAAGTTAAAAGTTAAGTATGATGAAATAGACACGTGTACACGTCCTAGCTACTTTGGTGACAGCGCTACCAAAGAAATAACGAATGATATTTAAACATCTCATATACTCTGAGATTTCTTAAAATACCCGTTTGCGTTTACCGGCTAAGCCCAACATGGTTTTAATGCAACAGTTTTCCCAAACCGCTGATGACGAACTGACTTAATTAGTTACTGACGTGTGGTAAGCCTACATTACTAGACGTCCTGACAACAAGCACGTGTTTTAGACTGCTGATCAATACACTACACCTATAGAGCACACGGTGGTAATGAGATATTAACTTATTATAGCATCGAGAACCTTCTGCTTTTGACTAGGCCTAGGGTCTAATTTAACAAGCTTTAATGGCAGCTCTCTCTGGGAGCCGAGAAATCAATCCCTAGTGTTAGAAGCCTGGTTTCATATGACACAGTTGATGTGCTCATTAGGCCAGGAGTTGCCACCCTAGTGTTAGAAGCCTGGTTTCATTTGACACAGTTGATGTGCTCATTAGGCCAGGAGTTGCCACCCTAGTGTTAGAAGCCTGGTTTCATTTGACACAGTTGATGTGCTCATTAGGCCAGGAGTTGCCACCCTAGTGTTAGAAGCCTGGTTTCATTTGACACAGTTGATGTGCTCATTAGGCCAGGAGTTGCCACCCTAGTGTTACAAGCCTGGTTTCATTTGACACAGTTGATGTGCTCATTAGGCCAGGAGTTGCCACCCTAGTGTTAGAAGCCTGGTTTCATATGACACAGTTGATGTGCTCATTAGGCCAGGAGTTGCCACCCTAGTGTTAGAAGCCTGGTTTCATATGACACAGTTGATGTGCTCATTAGGCCAGGAGTTGCCACCCTAGTGTTAGAAGCCTGGTTTCATATGACACAGTTGATGTGCTCATTAGGCCAGGAGTTGCCAGTCACCAGCCACATGAAGTGACATTTACAAGTTACAACATATTACATAAATTCTGATAAATGTCACAACTGATGAAAGTGACTCTTTACATCGATGTAACTGTCAGTGGTGATGAAAGTTTACTCTTTACAATTACATAGCTGTATATAATATATCACTAGATGATGAAAGTAATGTTTTACATTGCTGTAAATGCCACAAGAGGAAGTCAAAAGACGACTAGTTTAAATTTAAAGTCAGCCATTTGAATCAAATCTATTAACCTATTTATACAGGCGAAAGTAGCACATTAGCGAGACACCATAATTATTTAAAGTAACTTGATTTGGAAGATTTTAGCAGTTTTAGCTCGAAAAAAAACCATTGATACTAATGTTTGCTGAAATAGGCTAAAAATGTAGCCGCTATTTGCATTGTCAGTTTCAAGAGTGTATAAAATATTCACGTAATGACAATTTAAGTTTAACCCTGGCATTTCATGTTTTCTGAAACAACTTCCATATCATTGCTTGCCGTAGAAGTTTAGACATACCAATAGTCATGTAGCATTGGCTGTGATGTAAAAAATGTAGTTGAGCATGGGGATATCATGGTCCAACTGTACATCACACCCATGTTGAGCATGGGGATATCATGGTCCAACTGTACATCACACCCATGTTGAGCATGGGGATATCATGGTCCAACTGTACATCACACCCATGTTAACCAGGTCAAGGGCCTAGTGTTTCTTTCAGGCATCTCTTCTTGCCTCCCCCCAAATGTTGGACGCCAGGGGATCATGACTATGGGCAAGAGAAATGTTAGATACCGGCTGCTGGAGCCGGGAATGCCCATGTTAATATGTGTGATGCAGATGGTTAAATCCTGGTGTTTTATTAATGTATATAACAAATACTGTAGCTTCCATTTATTAGTAGATCTAATGTCTAATTTTCTTATCATTTTTAGACAATCATAAAAAACCACATTGTGATGTTATAATAATACTGTTTTACCAATGTAAATAGATAATCTTTACTCAACAGAAGTAGTGCTTTTTAAAATATTTCATATAATGATTTTTAATAATGATTTGTGAAATAAATGGTTTCAATGATTTATAATTATTTTGTTTCATTTTAATTATTTCTTTTGCATTAGGGGTTGTCCATAAATGACATCACACTAGGAGGAGTCTAATTTTATGACCATGTGTGATGAGGGGAAGGGGTGCAGCTGTGGGCTGTCAAACAATTTACAATTTTAAAAAAAAGAGGGAGAGATCTCTACTCAACTTTCTCATATTTTCTTATATTTTAACAGTGCAATTGTGCAAAAATAAATATTTTTTAATAAGAAAGGTTTTTACTTTCTCGTATACAGAGTGTACAAAAAGAATTGTAATAGTGCAAAACTAAGTTTTTTCCGACTAAGGGAGGTGTAAAACATCAAGATTTGTCTAATTTTGATTTTTTCCTGAATACAATACTTCCTCTAAACTCTGTACACGAAAAAGTTAAAAGTAATGTTAGAAACTGAATTTTACACAACTATAGTTGCAACACATCTTCAAACGTACACATTCATCAAACTGTTATGTCTTTGATAGAGGAAACAAAACTCTCAAAGATAAAATGTATTTATGCAATAGTAAACAATAGTATAACAGGTAATTTATATGTGTTTAAGTAAATATTTTAATAAGATTTCAAAAATGGATTAAAAGTTAATGTCTCTAAGGAAGGGTCATATAAATTGTCAAATGAAAGTGGTAGAAATGGTATAAAACTTAGATTCCTTTTAAATGACCTCTATTTGATCAAATAAAACTTGCCCTGTAAAAAGCCATTAAAAATAAGCCTCTGAATTTGGTCCCTCAAATGCCATAGTTATCTTAGGTAGATGAATATATTTGAACACTTTGCCCCAATCCCTTCCTACCACAATATTGACCAACTCCTCTATTTACTCTATTGCAGCCAGTCTTACATATTACATGCATGGTGTATGCAGCCAATGCACATCTTTAGAAAACAAATTTACCCAGCTTAAACAGAGCTGAACTTAGGTGAACATTTTCAATTAACTTCAAGAACTACTCAGCAAAGATAAAATCTTTTACAGACAGGTAGGGAAGAACAGATCTAGGTTAGCCAATATAGAAAAGGTTCCAGTCACATTTGACAAGACATAATTACATGGATGGAAGAGGCTCAATAGTCCCCCTGAATGGCTACAATTTTATTTTAACTAATATAACATACATTAACTGCAAGAAACATTATAGAATTTCACACATTTTTACAATTTAAAGTAAAAAAATAAAGAGATGCAGGAGCAAGGGATAATGACGACCAAAAGAAGTTAATTAACATTTTCACAGCCAACTGAACTCTATTAATACTATTATGAAAATGTTTCCACAATATATAGTAACAAAAAACATTATTGAATAAGTTATTCAGTATGTGCACAGATCAATTGGCACAATTATTACAAAAAATAGTTTGTCAAAGAATAAATGCTGTTACAGAGTAAAATAAGTACCTAATAAACTTAAAATAGCATGTTGGCACATCTGTCTATGCTGAGATACTTGGTATAAAAGCCATTTAAGTAGAACCTTAAACAGGGGACAACTCTACAAAACAACTTGATGTATTTTTAAACAATTCGATTTTTGAATTTCCATGTCACATTCAGTCAGTTGTTTAGCAGCTCTGATCAGCATTCTCAACAAATTAATAAAAAATGTGTGTACATTTGTACATGAATTTTAAATAGGTAGTTAATATTAATCATGGATTTTGGTATTAAAATCTTAATTACTTCTATTTATGGTGTCATGATAAAAAAAAGTTAATTTTCATTGAGCAGATCCCATTATGTATTATGACTCATTTTAATTGTTAATATTATGGTCTTGAAATATTTTACTTAAAAGCAAAAAGTAAGGAATACATTAGGTAACAAACAAAATTAGCACTAAGGTAATTCTCATTATACAACAATAATAACAACTGAGCTAGTATGTTTACTGTACATGAAAGTGAAAGGGACTAGGTTGAGAGGGAAACCTCAGAACAAAATATTTCAATAATTTTGATGGATAAAAAGCAATTATTCACAGATTTTGTTATTTCTAAACTTGTCTAAAAAAAGCAGGAATGTTAACAATGGTCAATAAATATTGTATATTATTGTTTACACAAATAGTGAATAGTGATATAGTTGTACATGTATGTATGTGTGCATATTGCATTGCTTTCACAATAAATGTGATAAATCAGCAGTTAATTATTTTAATGTCGTTTAAGGATGAGAACAAACAAAATAGTTTGCAGAACATCTTTAAAATCTACAGGCATGTTAGGGTAGCTTGAGAAATTGGGTGCACGTTCCAAATTTGTATGTGTATTACAATTACAGAACTGAAGGATGGGATAATATCATTATTTTGAAATGAATTATTTGTCATTGTTGTATATTTTTTAACTTGGACTATACATTTGGATATTAAAAAAAAAACTAATAGTACAATACAATTTTAATTCATAATATATAATATGAGGTCAATAAATATTGTGCAATATATAAAATAACTTTGATATGCTGTATTAAAAATAAAAACAATGATATATACAGGTAAAACAAATATTCTACAAATCGACTTAATGCTATTTTGGCAATAGCAACGCATTTCAATAAAGTCACAACTTTCTTAGGAAAGACTATTTGGATACAGTGTCTTTTGTACCACATGCAACAAACCATCACAGATGATATCCAAAAATATAGTTTGAGTCAAACATTCATAACTGTTATGTATTGCTCCCAAAACTGTTCAAGCAGGGCTGACTATATATTTCAAAGCATTTTATTTTTAAATAGAAGTCAAAATAAGTAAACTTAAAGCTGAAACTGAGAAAATAAATAAATAAGATGTACTTAAAATATAGATTTGCAGATAAAATCAAACTAATTACTTAAGCCAGCACCAGTGATTCAATTGTGGAGAATAAAAATCATAATTTTGAATCTATAATGGCAAATCATTGCATTTGCTTGTTGAAATCAAATATCCAGAAATATGAGGTATCTCATCCAGAATGTTTTACGGTTCATCTTGGATGTTGTAAATGTTTTAGTTCAATATCGACTTAGTACACATATCTAAAATAAAGTTTTGTTATAAATAGAAGGTAATGTGATAAATTACCTTGGTCACATCAAAATAAAGCTTAGATGTCACAAGTTTGTTGCTCTATATTTTCCTAAGACAAGCAGCTTCCACTGATTTCAAGTAGTGTTGAATAAATATATTTAATTAGCTTGCTGCTTGCTTTGTGGTTTCATTTTTGGGCACTTGTATAATGGGTACAATATTTGCAGCTTTTGAAAGAGAGTAAGGGGAAGCAGGTGTTCCAATGATGATCACATGGTGGTTTTTCAGAAAAATCCTGGTCATGCCTTTATGAAAACCTCTGACATCAAGGTCCCAAATGTGGAAACACTTGGCTAACATGCTCCATGTGGTAAAGTCTGTTAATGTTTCCATTCTGATATACAGTGTTAACAGAGAACTCTGGAAATTTAAAATAAACTGTTCAGTAATTTGAAACAACAGGTTCTTGAAGGGAAGTAACACTGTGCTGTAACATCAGATAAGCACTGATTTCATTTGTTTGACTAAACATATAATATTAATTACACTCAAGTTTCAATGTTTCTTTTTATTATTGTGTGATACTAAAATTGAAACATAAATTTTAAAACAGAATGCTTACCTCAGCTAAATTAGCTGGGATGAAATCACTGCTACAAGGATTCAGAGTATGATCAACAGGCTGTGCTTGCGATATAAGTTCTTCAATCAGCTTTTCATACTCATCCTTCTTCATCCTACACCATTGACAAAATCATAGGAAATGAAGGATTAGAAGTAAAACAAAAACTTGATTAGTGAACAATATTGAGATGTTTTACCTGTCTACATCTCTGAGCTGAACTCCAGCTTCAGAAACCAATGCCCGTGCTTCAAAATAAACTTCCTGGAAGTAGGGATTAATGTTGAGCCCTTTAGAGCCAAAGTGGTAAGTACGGCTAACATCAGGAATAATACACTCCCTCTCTTTACGGATGCCAGCACTCCTCATCCATATATCCCAGTCCCATTGCTAGGTAAAAGAATGTTTACAGTTAATTTTTTTTCATAATGAATACTTAGATTTAACAAATATAAATTTTAGCAGTCTAACTTAAAAATGTAAGCATGTTGAACTTTAAATTAGAAATGTCATATTCAGCAAGGTAGAATCATACAATGCAAGTTTACAAAGACATAAAGTGAAGGAAATACATGACAAAAATAATCAGAACAAATCTAATATAGTGTTATATAAAAAATTCATTGTTTAAAGGAAAAGATGATACAGCCCACTTGTGAAAATATCTATACCCTCTACTTTATTGATGTGAGTCTGGTTTTGAAAGAATAAAATATTTACCCTTTTTAAAACATAAAATTTTAAACAAGGCTATGTTAAACATTAACATGCTCTTTACATAAAAATATAAGTAATTATCTAAAGTGATATAATAACCTTTTCTGGTGTGGGCCATTGTGGTTCCAGTTCGTCTTTGTAAAGTGAACGCTTTAACAACCAGCCTAAGCCTGGCATGGTCTCAACACGATACAACAAGCGGGGATCTTTACTTGAATGCTTGTAGCCCTGTATAAAAATAAAGTTGGTAGGGCTGGTAGTATTTATTACCAGAATATAATTTTTGAACAGTTATGATGATAAACAGATAACTTAAGTGTTGACTTACCTGATCATTCCATGCTGATATACAATATAAGGTAGGATCTTCATCTAAAAGATGCTTTGTTTGACTAAAATAACTGAAATAGATGATTAATATTCAAGTTTTCAAAACAATAATTGAGCCACATTTCTTAAATCAAGCTTTATCCCCCTACCCATTAATGTAATAATTAATAAAATGAAATTGAAACTTACTTAAAAAAGTCTGGCGAAACTTTAAGATCTTCTTCTATTACTATTGCATACTGAGCTTTCTAGAAAGGTAATAATAATAACAGATGAGCATATTTACATTCAGTTGCTGAAGAAACTCATTAATTACATAGCTACTGATAGACATGACATAGTCATGTTTAAAAGGGTAACAAAAAAAAGAAATAGAAAAGAGCTTACCGGGTACAGATTAAAAGTTGCAGTGAGGCTGGCTTTATAGTGCTGGGAGATGCGGGCATTCTTCACACCTAAGGGGGTGTGCTGAATACCCCTGAGACCAAATAACTTGGTTACTGCAAAAGGTTCCTATAGAGTTAAAAAGTAAATGATCAACAAAACAGTTACAATAATTTTGCTCTTATTTCTTCAGTTCCTGTTTCAAAAACTTCCAATGTTAATGATTTTGCCTGAATGTTTTCTTTAATATCATGTACAGCTTTCAAAATGTCATGTGTGTAGAGTTATCTGGTACTTTGGATGAAAAGTTTTAAGGTAAGTATTAAAAGTGAAGCTGAAGCTAATTTATTTTAGGCTTTGAAAGAAAATGTAATATCAGAAAAAGAGTTACAAATATTTTTACAACCAAAAAGTACCTCAAAGTAGCCATCAATAAAAACTGTCACCATCTTAGGGTTAGCACCTGGTATTGCTAACAAAGTCAATAGCATTCTAGATTTTGAAAATAAAATTTATTTTGTTAAAGCATAGACCAAGAAAGTATATATACTTATAGTCTTATTGTGGGTTTGGATCCACAAGCACTACTGGGTTTATATCCACTTTACCCACATTAACTTATATTATGTTTATTTTAATAAAATAATTTTTAAATTTTGATAACAGATTGATTGTAATTTGTAATAGTAACCGCTACTCTTTAAATGTACATTAAATATTATTTCTACTTTAAAACAACTAGAATTTTAAAATTTTATATGACAAAAAAAAATGCCACAATTTTGAGTTGTTTTTTTTACAAACATTCTATTACCTATATAAGTAATGTGGTCGATCACTCGCAATAACAGCAACAGGAATGTCAAAAATGTTATTATCGTCTAACTAGAGAAGACAAGAATAAAATAGTTTACAACATGTTAAATCTTAGATTCACAGGATTAGTATACTAAAGTGGCCTACTAAAATATTTAATGTTACCAAATTCTGTAGAGAAATCTTTATCATTTGGTATGATAATGTGATGAATACATTAAACAAAAGTAGGTTGAAATAGGTTTAGAGCTAACAAAATTTACTGGTGAAATTTTTTATTGCAAAAAAATTTTTAAATTAATTTTGAATTCAATAAATAAAGCTTACACTTTTTGGCTGAAAACTTATTGGGGCCGGTCCATCACAGCTACACACGCTACCATAACCTTCCACTTTGCTACAAAATGCTTTTCTTCTCTTCCCTTCCTCATTGTCAGGCCAGTTACAGACATTTTCTTCAAATGCAATCAAGATATTTCAATAACTATTTGATTTAAGGACACACAAAAAAGCTTAATATCTGTTATTAATTTAATAGTAATTAATAAAAAATGTACACAACTTGTAGTTATTCTTTAGCTACCCTAGAATAAAAAAACTGATTATCTTTAACAGAAACAACTTTCTTTTCACTACAAGCAGTTTTGTTTAACAGTTTTAAATTCTGGTTTGCATGACAACAAGAGCAGCTGATGCCATGAAACTTTTCATTTGGGGAGAGGGGGGAAGCATGTTAATCAAATCTCATCAATTAAAAAATACAATGATAACTAAAGGATCATTACCTTCAGATTGAAGGAGGGGAACGTCAACTCTCAGCTCTACTTTGTCTCCCCATGTGTTAAGGCTGGCAGCTTTGCTATGTTTTTCTCCTAGCTTCACACCTAAATATAAAGAACACTGTCAGATAGTTTCAAGACTATTACAAGTATTACATGATATTTAAAGATGGCACAGTACCTCCTTTGACAGCAACAAAAGCCCACATATCCCTGTAGCCTAGACTCTCAGAAAATTCGCTTCCTAAGGATTTCAACACTTCTCGAGCTGGGCTTTTCAACTGAAAAGACCCTTCATCCTAAAGAAGAAAAATGTTTTCTAAAATATTTTGAAAAAAAACCCACTCTTAAATAAATTAAATATATTTAAAATGTTACATATATTTAAAATCATGCTTAGTTTAATTTTTCCCAAAAGTAAAAAAATTACACTGAAAAAAAAAACCCAGTTATGCTTAATAACAATGTAATTATGTTTGTACCAAATTTTAAGACTGTACAGTGTTGCATCTGGAAGTGGCTAGTCTAATTTGAATAGGTTAAGTAACAAAAGTTCTTAATAGGCTACATCAGTATAGGTCAGTTTTTGGTTACTTTAGCCCTTTTGTTTTGCATAAAAATTATGAATTGTAATGAAACTCTAATGTTGTATCTGGTTTACTAGCATGTCCCATTGTAACTACCACTGTAGTACATTGTGATGTAATGACGTTTCATGCCTTAGAATAGCATTATCCCAAAAGTATGTTAATATTAAAAGTTAGTATGCAAAAGATAGTGTTTTTTTTGGGTAGTATTTTATCAGAATTTTTTTTTACATATCATAACACTTTTAAGGAGTGCAGAATAGAAAATACAAAAAATAAGGACAGCCCTAATGATATAGTAATCAAGTATATGTTCTACAAAACTTACCTTAATGGCAAACACTAGGATCCTTCCTTTAGAGACCATGTTAAGAAATAAAACCATAGCATCATCCTCCTGTTGACTGTAGGTATCAAATATGCGCTTGGCCATGACACTACCCTTTAAACAAATTCTAAATCCTCTTTATCTTTGATCAATATACATCATATATACAATATCATACACAGTTTAACATTTGAAGCAGTCTTCTACTTTATACTATATACCAAACAATATTGGTCCATTTAATGATGAAAACCTACTTAAGAGCCATATTTTACGACGCCTCTATAAAAGAAAAGATGTGATCTATATTTCTTAATTAATTAAAGTTTTTTAAAGTAATAAACTAAAAGGTTGCAATTTAGTGTGCAAAAAACCAAAAGAATAAATTCTTATTCAATTTTTTTAACAGAATAAGTATTTAGTTTTTTTGTTTTTTGCATGATATTTCAGAGAATAATTTAAATAATAAAATATTGCAATATTTTTCTTACAGTGGCTTGATTGAGTATAATAACATGGATCCCTCGATTACTCTTAAAGTCTTCATCCTGAAGAACCTGTAAAAACAAATGATTTATTCCATGAAATTAACTGATAAAAATAGGAACTAACATTTTGGAAACTTAAAAATGTAACTTATAATAAACAACTCACAGTTGTGCCATCAACAGCCACAAAAACAGTTTCTTTACTTGAAGCAACATCAACTGATATGGACTGAGCTTGTGAATGAGATGTCAATTGTTTCTCAGTATTAATCCCATACCTTTCCATTTCATTCACATCTAAAATATAATAGTGCAAAAATACAAGTTTTTAAACTATGTAACAAGCTTAATTACAAAGTAATGAGTAAAATGAAAAATGTGCACTCTTACTAGACAATTTTTTACTGGTGTCAAAGATGTATAAGAGATTGATAACAGCAGTAATCAACAAAACAGCAAGTAGTCCTGCCTAGAAAAGAAAAATCATAAAAAGTTTTCTAAGTATCCCAAGCTTAAACATAGCAAGTTCACAGGAATCATTATTTTACTTTAAAATAATGCAAAATAACGCTGAACTAATGGACAGTAGGCTCTAAGTAAAGAAGTGATAAAGTTTCAAGGTAAAAACATATAATTTTCATAGTGCAAAAGATCTGATTGCATTATCTTTCTTAAAATGACTGAACAAGCTTTTAAGCTGAACATGTCAGTGGTTACAAATTTGAAAAATAATATCAAATGTTTAAGGGTCATAACTTTAGTTCAAGAAAATACATGAAAAAAATAATAACCTTTAAAAATTTGCCTATGCATCTGCGGCCAGTAAGATCATGAACTGTCACTTTAGTTTTTTGACTAGATCTGTATTTACTATGTGGTACAAAGGGCTTTGCCCGTGGATTGGGCACCCAGCTCTCCATGATCACCTCATTCACACTTTGCTGTCTAAAATGTTACATTTTTAATAAAATTTATAACTTAATATTAAAACACAGAGCTACTAAAATGTTAATTATTAAAGAGTCTAAAAATAAAACGTATCAATGTATTAAAATAAAGTTAAAACATTAGAACACAGAACAAAGAAGAAACACTGTACTGGACAAATTTCATTTTTTTAGGACTGGGCCTCCTAGGCTCTAGTCCAGGGGTCTCCAAACTTTTCAGCACGAGGGCCGCATTAACTACCAAATTTCAGTTCGGGGGCCAGCTTCTTCCAGGCATGTCTTTGATTTTTCTGGGCAAAGTTCCTCAGCTATCACCAACAAATGATTTTTCCTTGGACAAAAAGACATCCGCGGGCCGGATCAGATGACTTCGCTGGCCGCATCCGGCCCGCGGGCCGTAGTTTGGAGACCCCTGCTCTAGTCCATGGGTTCCCAAAATTTTTCAAGTGCCAACCCAATTTTATAAAAGTAAGTGACTGGTGACTCCCATAAATTAAAAAGTCAAAGTTAGTAAGAAAATTACAAAACGTCGAAGTAAGATTTTCTAGTATAATTTTAATTAATTTTGATAACTGTTTAAATGCTGTTAACTAGCCTCAAAATTCATGGTTGAGTTTTTGTTTACGCCAACCTAATGTCATTCTCAAGATTTAATTTATTTCTTTGTTGTGTTTTTAATGCGAGAAGTGTTGAAAATCCACTCTCGCAAAGATATGTAGACACAAAAGGAACTATATTCCTGTGACTTTTTCCTGTGTTTTTTTTCTGTGACTTTTTTTCCTACAATCAGTTTTTCCCCACTGTGCATGTGTAGTTTGTTCTGGCTATAATCTGCTAAAAAAAATTGACACAGAAACAAAGCAAAACATGTTCTATCTATATATTTCTGAATAGCTTGCTAGACAGTAACATTTTTGTTTTTCTAGATTTACTTCCGGCCTAAAGTCAAGCTTTTTTATGATCCCCCCCCCCCCATCATGAAACTTTAGTACACTAACTAAGGGTAACCTCAACATATAGCATCTGAAATTATCCGGTGATGTTTGTTGAGCTTCGTAAACATTTGTTACTGTAAACCATACTTTATTTGACCGTTAAAATAAAAATAAAATTGAGTGTATTTAATTAATGTTTTAACTTTAATTTTAAGTTTATTAATTAACAGAAAATTAGCAATAGGGCCCTACTCAAAATGATTTGCAAAACAGTATTTAAAATGCATCTAAAAATCAATCTATCCAAATTTTTAAAACATTCTGTAGGGTAAAGCAGGGCACTAAGAGCCGTGTAGTATTAGGAACCAGTGAGCACCCCACTTCCACAAAACCCCCAATAAAACTACTAATCAACTTCTGAGGTAACAACCACTGCTGTTCTTTGATAACAGAGAAGTAGAGGATTCTGCTTATGTTATTTATGACCCACTTGGGCCAGCAATGAGAAGATGAAACAGGAATTAATCCCACTGCTCTTTCTTCAAAATTTCTTATCTTTATAAACCATTTTGTAAACTTGTTTCCAAAACAGACATAACTTATGAAACTTCACTTTATAATAAACCACATGACTTTTTCAAAGCCATTTTTTTATGACTTCAAGCATTGGTTGCTGTACATTTTAACATCATTTATATAACTATAGAATAGTTTTATTTTGGTGAATTTGTTTTGCACAGTGATAGTTGAATTGTAGGAAAAAGTCACAGGAGAAAATAAACCGTAAGTAATCTCCTCCAAACTTTCTCGAATATTCTTATATAACACAACTTGGGATGGCAACTCGGAATATAGACATGATTTTTAATTACTTAAACTTTAAAAAATAGAATAGAATCTCGTAGAAAAAAGAATTGCGCACCAAGCAAACGCCAAAAAAAATGTGCATAATAATGCCCAATACTATTAGTACTTATCGTGTTTACACACGGACACACACACACACAGACAGACAGACAGACACACAGACAAGATTGCAAAATTATGTTTTTCCGTATCAGTGAGATGTAAAATGTCGAGATTTCCAAAAATCTCAATTTTTTTTTTGCACGATTACAAAACTTTCTCTATACTTCGTATATACGAGAAAGTAAAAAACACAGGAAAAAAGTCACAAATAAGTATTTGTATGGAATTTGTTAATACTTTTATGAATTAAATATTCAGAAAGTGCAAATCAACTTACGTTTCAAATGTAATGTAAAGATTTTAGATATATGTGTGTATGTAGTATAGGTATGTGTGACACACATAAAAATATTTAGTATAAAGTATGTAGGTTTTAATTCAGATATCCTTATAATATTTAACAGAATGTTCAAACCTTTTCGGTTTTTATCATGTTTTTAAAATACTAAATTTAAATTAGCGTGAAGTGGCATATATGCATAGTTAATGTGACTTGCTGTCCTCATTTCATAGCAACAATAGTTTAACCACCTTTCGTGCACAGATTTATCGTGCTCATTACATAACAAAGCATGGGATCAACCAAGCCAACCAAGGAAAGGCCTACGGCAAAAAAATAAAACGCAAAACACAGTGATGTGCCTACATTTCTTTTATAAAAATTTCTACCGCTTGTTCAACTAAATACATAACAAAAGCGGAGATTGCCGTGCTAAATATTTTATAGTTTTTTTACTTATTGTTATAAACCATAATGCTTTTAAAGTTTATGATAATGATACAAAAAAAAAATACCCACAGTACCAAATATCCAAAATTTTATAATTTTCTACAATTAAATCAAAATATTTCTTATAAGATTTTTGTGACTTTTTTTCTGTGACTTCATTTCTGTGACATTTTTCCGATAAAATTTTTCCTTTTCTTTTTTTCTTTGACTTTCATCCTAGCAAAGTGACATTTTTTCCTAGCAAAAACTGAATTTTTTCCTGTTTTTTTTCTAGTGAATTTTTTTCGTTCACCAATTGTTGATGCCAAAACAAAATGACCGACATTTATCTGGTTTAACCATGCTATAAAGTTTTGATCATTCTCAGAGTAAAACTTCATTGATCAATATCAAAATTCTTTTATTTTTAGATAATAACTAACTAAATCTAGATTCTACATGAAGCTTGCATTTTCAGAAAAGTTATAACATTTATTGTTATGCGGCTCTTTTTGCCTTATGAGCATTGATTGAATTATTTTTTTAGGGGCAATAAAACCAAAATTGTCAGATTACCAACAGTATGACTACGAAGGAGACACTACTGACTACTACAGTCACACTTGAGGAGTATCACATAATCAGTGTAATATTTATTAATACAATAGTCGTAAAGTTCATAGAGTGACGTAGAGAGTAGAGTGAGAGTGCACTGGAGAAGGCAGGAGAAACTCCAGGAGTCCAGGAGAAAGTTAGTTATAGTTAGGCTAATCTGACTGGTGATCTGAGTTAATCAGATTAAAAATCATTAGGCCTAATCTAGATCTAGATATCTAGATCTACGGGGTTTAACGATGGGTAAAATCAAAATAAAATTATTTAGAATAGATCTAGATCTAGAATCTAGATCTACTAAATTTATATTTATAGGCTTATCATTAAACTAAAATACTCAAACACTCACTCAAACCAACAGCAATGTCACACATATTCTTGACTCTTTCGCAAAATTTATTCCATGTGTTTATTTTCATAAAATTTTTAAAATACAGATCAATATAGTTTATTGGCCGATTCTAGCCGGAATAAGATACGCATACGATACGCATGCGCAATGGAGAGAAACTACGACTTGCTTTTAATCGGCGATGTTTTCGATGGTACTGCGCATGCCTGTGTTTACAACCGCAGAACCCTAATCCTATCCTTAACCCTAGCCCTAATCCTACCCCTAACCCTCATTCTAGCCCTAACCCTAGCCATAGGTCACTGCGCATGCGCAGAACTATCTTTTGCCGACTAAGTGGAGACGTTGGGGAGAAAAATCTTCTTCCGAGTAGAAACTTCGTAGTTTATTTGGCACGAGATAACTAATTCAATTCAATCTCAGTCAGTCTTAAAGTTATTTAGTTAAAGAAGAGTGTAATCACCGTAAAGGACAAATTCTAAAAATCTAGATCAAATTGGCGATTGTAGATCTAAATCTAGTTACTGTAGTTAGTAATTATTCTAAAAGCCAGTAGATCTAGATCTAGAAGAGCTAGATCTAGTATAGTATTTACTTAGTAATAGTAGTAAGAAGAGTAATAGTAAAGTAATATGATGGGATCTTGAATGTGAACCAACTTTTCAGCTATAGAATCTAGTTCTGGCAGTGGCTTTACGTTTCTAAAATACCAATCACATAAACAGTTTTAACGCGCGCAAAAGAAACAACAAAAAAAAAAAACAACTAAAAAAACTAGGCTTCACTTATAAAAAGTGAGAAAATAGTGGAACTGATATCCTTACTCTTAACGTATTATTTTAATAAATTTAAAAATTAATAAAAATAGAGCTGGGACAGGGGCGGTCGCGCGTGGGGACCCAAGGCGCGGACAACCGAGGAAACATGATAATATAATTCGGCGGGGCTTTAAATTACATTGAAGTTTAGGAGGTAGGTTTTTTTTTTTAAATCGACTTTTTGTGGACGCGTATGGACTGGGGGCGGGGGGGGGGGGGGGGTTCAGGTCAATGTGGACGCCCACATGCGGAATAAAACCACAAAATACTTACATTTAATAATTAAAAAAATAAATTTAAAAATGCATATAAATGTAAATTATGCATTAAATCGGCAGTTCTCGAGGTAAATGTATCAGAAATGTAGCACGTACACTCACACGCCGTTTAGGGGTCATCCATAAATGACATCACACTCGTAGGGGGGAGGGGTCCGTAATTTTGTGAAGATGTGTGATGAGAGGGAGGGGGGGGGGGGGTTCAGATGTTGCGACGTCACACTTATGCATTATAAAAAAGCAATGTTAGAAAACGAATTTTAGACGTTATTTCGCGTTTTAGATAACTGTTTTAATAAATTGTAATAGTTTAGACAAGATTTTAGAAAAATATCGATGTTTAAAAAAAAATTCAACTGCAATTTTGAGGGGGGGGGTTGTAGGTTGAGGTGTGACGTCATTTTAGGGGGGGGGGGAGTCTGGCTTTTTGTGACGACGCGGAGGGGAGAGGGGGGGAGGTAAAAAATCGTACAAAAAAGCGTGACGTCATTTATGGATGACCCCTTATACGCCGTAGACTTACTTCTTGGAAAAGTGTAACTACCAATTATTATTTAGGCCTAGTAATAGATATTACCGAAAATATCGACTCCCTATATTACATTATCAGTTAATGTACACATTAAATGTAAATGAATTACTATTTTTGCAGCATGTTTTCAGAGGTCTACTAAATTTGTGTGGGCATCCACAAAGGGGGGGGGGGTGGTTCGTCGAAAGTGGACAAGTGTGGACGGGGGAGGGAAGGGGGGGTCTAAAATTCAAAATTTTTGTGGACGTCTTAAATGGATGACCCCTTGCCTTATTTTGAGATAGTTTGCAGACAGTAAACCATGCTACTCTTGTTACTGAAGCTTTGAGTGAGTTAGAGGTTACACTAAAAAAAGTTTTGTCTTGAATCTTTCGCTGGGCTCGGTAATTGGACAGTTCGCTTTTGTCACTGCGATGGCGGGTGTAACACTTTCAAACTCACTCGATCGTTCCGAATTGGAAACAATATCAAATGAAATACAGGAAAAAATTGAACATCTATTATTATCAAAAGTAGAAGAAATATCTAATTGGAAATCGAAGTATGAAAAACTCCGAGTAAATTCAGGTAGGCATAAGCAATAAGCGAATTTCAGTAAGGTCCACCGTTACCGGGTAAAAATCCATTTTAATGGACACCAGCGAGAAAAGTCTCAAAGGTAGATCTATTTGAGAGGTCCATAAATTAATTTTAAAATCTTGCACGGCGAAGATCTAGTTACAATTAATATGGTTATAAAATCCTGTCTGTCTGGTTTTTTTCGGACTTTACTAAAGATTGGATGTATTTGATAGGTTGAATTATGGGTAATCTATCGTTTTGGGTACGTAAAATCGCCCGCGATTTGTAATGTGAAAAACAGGTGACTCCTTAAATTTTAATAATTATTTCACATTTTGAGGAGGATTTATGTTTTAAAAAATTCAAAAATGTTTCCTTGATTCATTTATGGGTAAAACTCCATTTCAGCGTATTTTATTCTCCGTTGCTTGTTTACCTCCAGTTGAGCGTATTTTATTATAACAACCGAAACACACCAAAACATTAGGAAAACACGATTTATTTTTTGTATTGTATTTTTGTTTTAGCAAATTAATAAAAATGAATATTAAAAAAAAACACGACTTGTTTATTTGTATTGTATTTTTTAAAAAAAGGCATTTGTCTCATGGTGAAACTGATACACTGTTAATCATTCTGTTTTATATTTTTGTATTTATGCAATAAATGTACAAACTCTGTGTTTTTTAATTTGACAGTTTTGCTAAAACTGAAAAAAATATTTTACTATAGAGTTGTATGTTATTTAAATTCATAGTAAATCTACCATCCTTCCCTTTTTTGTATGAGTAAATTTCTGACTTTAAAAAAAAATTGATGTGGGGTCGTCCATAAATGACGTCACACTCGTAAGGGAGAGGGGGGTCAGCAATTTTGTGACGGTGTGTGATGAGGGGGAGGGGGGTGGGGTTTCAGATGGTGTGAGTGTGACGTCCCTTTTTTGCATTATAAAAAAGCAATATTAGAAAAACAAGTTTTAGCCGTTATTTCGCGTTTTAGAAAACGGTTTTAATAAATTGTAATATGAATTGACCAAAATACTCTATGTTGACAGAGTTCTGAGAAGATTTTGGAAAAATTATCGATGTTTTAAGAAAAATTCAACAGAAATTTTGAGGGGGGGGGGGGTTGTAGGCTGAGGTGTGACGTCATTTTAGGGGGGTCTGACTTTTTGTGACGACGTGTAACGGAGGGGAGGGGGAGGTAAAAATCGTAAAAAAAGCGTGTCGTCACAAAAAGCAAGACCCCCCCCAAATGACGTATCCCCATCTGAACCCCCCCTCATCACACACCGTCACAAAATTACCCCCCCCTCCCCCTACGAGTGTGACGTCATTTATGGACGACCTCTAACATTATTTTTTTTAAAATGACAACGTGAGTTGTCACACTTTCTCTAACACTCCAAGCCATCCCTCACCAAATTCCACCCCCCACCCCCCGTCCCACTTTCGGCAGCATCATTGTGCCTTTTAATACTTTTATTCAGTTTAGTTGAAATTGGAACACTTAATTGTACAAAGTGTACATCTCTATTTTTGTAACCAACAAACAAAGCACTTCAGTCAGTCTCTTTGTTGTTTTTTTATTCATTTGTTAAAACAAAAATACAATACAAATAAATAAGTCGTGTTTTTTAAACATTCATTTTATTCATTTGTGAAAACAGAAATACAATACAAAAAATAAATCGTGTTTTTCTAATGTTTTTGTGTGTTTCGGTTGTTATAATAAAATACGCTCAACTGGAGGTAAACAAGCAACGGAGAATAAAATACGCTGAAATGGAGTTTTACCCATTTATGTACCTGTTTTTAAACAATTGAATTAAAACTTTTCCGTAATTAATGAAGACTAGCGATGTTTCCAACAGATGCAACCATGCTCATTTACTACAGCAGCCATATTGTCTAAGTTTTATTTTCATAAGCTTTTAGCGCCAGATTCAGGGGGAAGCCACTCTATTTTACAAATGGCTGCTGTTTATATAGCAAATCTTGCTCGCAAACACTGCTATTTAAAGTTAATTTCTGGCCTATATCGATATATTTAGCCATTGATTTAGGTTTATTATTCATTTATCTATAATATTTGACACAAACATATGACAATATATTAAAATATAATTCTATTAAAGCCTTGACAATGAGGTAACGTTTTCGTACATAAATAGCCGCGGGCGATTTTACGTACCCAAAACGATAGATTACCGAATTATGGATTTTTTAAAATAAAATATTCTGTTATTTCAAATACACCATTAAGTTCCTTACCCCTTAAGAGAACATTTGACACCACATTTGAATATCTAGCTTACTCGGTTGACGAGAAAAGAGAGAATTTGAAATTTTTCCGATATTGGAAAATGAAAGACAAAACCGCGTTTTAGCCCCTCAACCGGCATAACATTACGTCGTGGACGTGTGTACACGAGCTATTAATTCCCGCCATGGTAATTGCGTCAGCTTAGGTTATTTACTCACCGGAAAATAACAAAAAGCAACTGAACAAAAAGCAACTGGTTGATAATAAAACTCGATCTAGTTATTTTATTATTTATTAAATTCTACTCTACATGTTATTCATACCATTTTATGAAATAATGAGCACCTGCATAAATCAAATGACCATAATAAATATTTTTATTTCAAATCCTAATTTTAAATAATATATGCATAAAATAATATGATAGTGTAATAGTTAAGATAGTTTATAAATAAAAATACATTTTACACTCAATCACTTTATATTGAGTCAACAGTGTGGCAGCTGAGGTTCATACATGGTATTAGTGTCTTTTTTTTTTTTACATTACATTTTTTTTCATCTTGAAAACATGACGTATGTGATTTTTTTTTTAAAATAAAATCTCCAAACATCGTCACTCGCGTGATTGCTTGCTTACGTTTACTATCCTGTGGATGAAAAATCCCACCACGGTCGCGGGTCACCGTGAGTTCAGCAGGCCTATAGTACACGTCATAGAATGAACACGCGTACACGAGATGGTCGGTGTCTTCACTTCTCTCTCTCTCTTCCCTCCCCCCCCCCTTCTTCAAGCAAATTGAAAAACAGACCTACTTCCCTACTTCTGGACATTTTTTTTTAAAGTTCGGTCATTTTTTTAAAAGTTCACATATCATTATCAGGCATGCTAGACAGCCAGCTGTATAAAAATTATTTTTTTAAAAACTAGATCTACGTCTAGCTTAAAAAAAAAATAAATAAATAAACGTTTAAAATGCCCGTAAACAGATTATTTAGCGCAAAAAAAAAGGCCGCTGAACGAGCATTTTTTAAAATACGCAGCAATGAAAAAGGCTAACGGCCGATCAATTAAGTCTAAAAATCGCCCGTAATTAGGCCTAGCTTTGAAAAAGGCCACTGAACGAGCATCACTGATTATATAAACGAATAGGCCACGCAGCGTTGACGGCGAGGTTAACCACAGGTCACGAATGCAGCAACTGTCGGCCCACAGTGAAGAAAAAAAATCAATATACTAATAAAATTACTAATACAATAATAATGTCCATAATTTTACTTTTTCCGCACATGCTACAATTGAATTATAATTAAAATACTAGATTTAACAGTTCATTCCGCAAAAAACAAAAACAGTTGTTTCTGTGAGGTAACTAGCGTAACAATGACGTCATGATACTAAAAATAGCGGATAGAAATGTCAGCGGGGGTACCTCATCCTCGAGTGAGATTTTGGAAAAAGTAATCAAAAATACTGAAAATATACATGATAAATATATCAATTATATATTAATGTACAGTTAGTTGAGCCGTTTTCCCCGTTAGTCGGTCGTTTTTGGCGGCGGTTCAGTTTTTACGGAGAGTGCTCCACTGGACATGCTCTCATTATTTACAACCACGAATCTTGCGATTTTTTCTGGCATTCTAAGGCATATTATCCATTTTATTAGCAATTTGCATTAAAATAATGATGAGAATTTGCGATATAAACAGTTTTTTCATTTGTCGTGGATGGGACCCCTAAAATAAACGTAAAACCCGTCAGAAAACGACGCGTGACGTTTCAGGGTCAGAGGTCAATCCTACCATCTAAGCAATGCGCCAGACTAGTATTTGATGTTTTTAACTCTTTAAGACCGTAACGACGCTCCCAGCGGTCGGTCTGCCGGCCTGCCATACCGTAACGACGCTCCCAGCGTTTGATAAAATTTTCTATATTTAATTCGTTGTTTTTCGGAATCCAAGTTTATAATCGTAAATGTAGGTCATGATAACGCTAGAGCGGCCATTTTTCGTTGTATTTACTTCTTGTAGTTTTCTCGTTAGATCGATTTTGTATTTTATAGAATTTTTTTTTTTGTAAACCAACTCGAAAAACAGCATTTTTTAACATTGCAAAATGCCGTTCAGCGGCCGCGTCTAAACGTTTACGCCGCCGCATTATAAAATTAACAAAAATTAAAGTATTTATACTAAGACTAATCCGATCCATGATTTTCGTAGATAAATGGACGTTCTTTCGTTTTCTATGAATAAGAATACATGAAAAGTTATTCTTATTATTAATTTTCCCGACAGAATTGTAAATTTTGCACAACTCTTTATTTTTTCTTCTTTAAAACTAAGTAATTATCTTTCTTCAATAAATAAATAATTCCTTAAAATTTATATCAGTGTGTAGGGTATTCAATTACGATTAATTTTTATCAATAATGTGTGGGTTTTAAATTAACAGGTAAAAAGATATGGGTCATTTAGCCGCAGGGGTACTGAAAAAAAAAACGAGGGAAAAAAAATAATTCCGTTAAAACGTGAAAATATTTACGGGCTTAAAGAGTAAATATTTTTGGTAACGAAATAAAAATTAAAAAAAAAGCAAAAACAATTTGGTTTTCACGTGTAATGGCAACATAAACAATGGCATCCTGCTATTCGATAGGTCGCCATAAATTTTATTGTACACATTGTAAGCTAAAAATAGAAAAACTAGGTCATGGTGTTTAAATTTGCATTGTTATTTAAAAACTTGATCTGCAAAGTAAACAAAATAACTATAAAGTGGGGCAGTCAGAAATCGAGTTCCTTTACAGCCAATCAATGTTTGTCTTACGAAAGTGAAACATCGGGGTTATAACTTCAGCTTGATGAAAATAAATAGAAATGTAGCCTTAAACTCAAAAAATTATTTTCAAGTTATCTGGATTTTCAACTTTAATAACATTGATTCTAAAAATATTAAATTTCTGAATTAATTTTAGGCTTTATTATTTATTTTTTACTGCTGCCATGAAGTCCGTATATATTAATAATTATCATTAAAAAAGTTTTTAAAAACCCACGTTTTCTGATTGAACTAAAAAGTAGAAAATAAATGCTATACATCACAATAATGCAAGCAATCACTCTACTATAAGCGATGAAAAACGTGGGGCGCCGAAGTAAAAGTTTTTTATCTGTCATTGTTAATATAAGATGTAAAAGTTATATTACTATTGATTAGATAATACTATTGACTTTTATTAGGGAGCTTGTAGAGAGTCAACAGTATTAGAAACTGTAAGAAAATCACGGCGCCCCACGTTTTTCATCGCTTATAGTAGAGTGATCGGTTGCATTATTGTGATGTATAGCATTTATTTTCTACTTTTTAGTTCAATCAGAAAACGTGGGTTTTTAAAAACTTTTTTAATGATAATTATTTTCTACTTTTTAGTCTTTGTCTGTTTGTTTGCATTCAAATCTTGCTATCGATTTTATCTTCTCGCATTCACTTTTTTTTTGGGTACACAAACACCGCGTGACCATTACTCAGCCAATCGCGTGCTCGCTCCTTCAGTAAGCCACAAGAAGGAAAGTACCGAACCTTGTTTTTATCAAATTACAATTACTAGGTTATGTCCCTTTTTTCGATCGCAAGATTTGATTGGAAAAACAGACGCGAAAGCAAGTTAAAGAAAACAGGAAAAAATGAATTTTATCCATGTCAACAATATTATAGGAGGATACTTGGGAACTCAGTGGCTTTCACTTAATTGACCGATTATAGAATCTAGCCAGAAGAAAATGCACATAGAATTAAATTTACCTGGTTTTTTAGTGTCATCTAAATGTTCTTTATTTATGCCTGTGTTGTTATAATAAATACTTAAATAGTGAATTTAAATAGGCTTTTAAAATAGATTAAAATTTTTTTAATAGGTCCTACTTAACTTATAGACAAACTCATTTCTAGAAATGGTGGAAAACAGATTTGTACAGAGCAATGCATATTTGATCTTCGCTGTTGATAATCTCCATAACGAGACGTTGTTTGGTGATTTTGTTGATATTGATTGATAGAACAATATCTTTGGAAGCTTTGTGGGCAATATTTATGCGGTATTAGTTTTTAACGATAATTTATGGTAAAGGACGCAAAGTATGCACTGCATAAACATAGTTTTTCAGCTGTCATTTTCTGATTGTAAATTTCAAAATTTATTTTTAAATTGTTTTTTTGTGTGTGTGTGTAGAACAACAGTATTTTGACATTGAAAAGCAGTTAATAACAAGCAATGGAAAGCTAGAAACAGAGACCTCTCATAGACAAATTCTTCAAGAGAAACTGACTGAGTTGGGTATGTATTATCATTAATGGATTTAATATTTTGTGTGTGAATCTCAAAAATGCTAATATTAGTTAATTAACTTTTAAATTGAGTGATTGCTGTTTTCAAAACAATTTTATTTATAGAGCTGATTATTTTAGTATTACCATTAACTATTATTGAAACCATTAAAAAAATTAAACTTAATAGTTTTTCTAGATTGAATAAGTAGAATGCAAACCAATGTATTACAAAACTAGATTACATATAACTTGAAACAAAGGTTGCAATTATAAATAAGAAATAATCGATAGAAACAAACAAATCTATTACAATTTTGCTTAAATGTACCTTTTCATGACTAGGCAGCAATATTTAAAATGCAAAATTTTTTGTTTTCAGAGTCGAAATATGCTGAGACTACCAAAAAGCTTCATGAGTTGCAAGAGAGCTGGGAAATTTTACAGTCGTCTGAAGTAAGTATCAACAGCTTAAGTTTATTTCATGCAGTTTTTAAACTTTTTTTTTACAAAATGTTGGTAACTACATAAAAATTGTTCCTTTGAAAAATTTTCTTCAGCATGAATACAAAAGTACTATTCAGCTGCTTGAAAATGAAAAGCGAGACTTGACAATTATTGCTAATAAGCGTAACAAAGAAATCGATAGATTAAATGGTAAGTAATATTTTAAGAAATTTATTATTATTCCATTAAAAACATTCTTAAAAAAAATTAAAAATAACAATGCTTTATTTAATTCAGAGGAATTAAATGAAATCAGCAAAAAGTTAACTTCAGCTAATAATGAAAAATGTGAAGCCCAAGCACGGCTAAGTGAAATTCAAGCCGAGGAAGTTTCTAGAGAGGTATTATTTGATTTATATTGCTTATATGTTGCATTTTATTCTTGAAAAATTGGTTGTCAGCCGAGATGTTTTAATTTCTGCTTCCAGTACAGAGAGAAAAGACTTGAAAAAGAAAAAGAACAGCTTGAAAAGCAAGTTGAATGGTTTAATGATCAACTTACCGAAAAAACGAATCAGCTGAGCAATGTGCGAAAAGAAAAGGTAAATTTTTAAAGTTATGTATTTAGAAAAGACTTTTTACTTAAGGAAATCATTAATTGTTTTTTTTTTTATGTACATTTTTATTAGACAAAAAGCTTACGGCTGAAAAGTAGATTTAAAAGCAAATACTTAAATACTTGGGTTGCTAGAATTTGAAAATAAAGTTTTTGAAAAGAATGTATAGAATGAAATTTATATTATTTACAGACTAGCCATTTACTTGAAATTCAATCACAGCTGGAGGAAAAGACACAAGAGGTAATTTAAAGTACAATCTTCCACTGTTTATTATGACCAGATTAACAACTTTAATTATGTACTCTAAAATGGCATTTTTTTTCTTCAGCTTTCACACTTCCAGACTCTTGTTAATACTCTCAAAGAGACAGCAGAGGAACAGAATACTAAAATGGATTCCCTAAATCAGAAACTCAAAGATGTAAATTGAATACTGTTTTTATTAATTTACTGAAATAATATAAATTGTAGCTATGTTTTACATATTTTTTCTGATGATTGGTATGATTTAAATTTTTTTAAATCAGGAGAGAGATGCACAAGTCCAGTTGGAAGAACAGTTTAGGCAAGAACTCGCTGTTCAAAAAAGGTTAACAGACCTTTACAAGGTATTGGCTAAAGATTCTGGTTTTCTGTGATGGTGGTAGCGGTTGTTAAAAAACTGTTTTAGCTAAGGATTTAATGCATTATCGCAAACCTATTGATCAAAAAGAAAAAGTTATAAAAAAATGATAAATGTAGGTATATGTGGGATATTTTTATTTAGTAATATTGTAATGATGACTTTATTAAGGTTTCAGCTGAAGAAAATGATGAAAAGGTAACAGAGTTAACTGGTGCTGTTGAAGAACTTCGCAAGCTTCTTAAAGAAGCCTCTTCTGGTAAGCTACAGTAATATGTCTCAAAAAATTGTTGGTACATTTTTTTTATCAGTTACCTTATACTAAAGCCATAACATTTAAACAAAAGGTTGACTGTTAGAATTATGTCAGTAAAAAAAAAATTTCTTGGCATTTTAAGTCATTTGGTAAAAATAAAATTGTTTCATACAAATACTCCAAGGAATAAGGTAATAAGTTATAAACTTTAAAACCAAATATATTTGAATATAAAGTGCAATTAGTTCTATTTTTTACACTTTTTGCAATCAGCTTATACTGAGCTAGAAACAGAAAAGTTGAAGGAAGTCAGTCAACAGGAAGCATTACTAAAAGAAAAAGGTAAAATTTCATCAGAATAATTTGACATATTTTTAATTTTTGTTTTTCTTGTTAAGTTTAAGGTTTCTTTGTAAAATTGACTGTTCATTTTAAGACATCTAATATATAAAGCTCAAATGGACCCTGGCTCTGTATGTATATTTGTGGAAGACATGCATATAGTAAAAAAAATTGACCCCCATTGTGTAATATTTTAAAGTATTCATTTTTGTACTACTATCTAAACTGAGGCCTAAAAATATCAATATTGATGGTTTCATTAAAAGTTTCATTTTCCAAACTTATCATATTGATTTCCGTAATGGCGAAAGAACAATATTCAATTAATATATATCCCCCTTCACAGAGATTCTAATTGTGTGTCTGAAAAAGTGTACAAATTGCTTCCCTTAGTACCAATAACATTCCTTGATAGATCACAAAAAAACATTACATCTGGAAAAAAATTTCTTTTTATTAGTTTGTTTTGGTGTTGGAAAAAGTTATATAATTAGCATGGATTGATAAAGTGAAATGTGCTAGGTAAAACAGGGGTAATTTAAATACTACCTTTTATTTATTTTATACACTGAATGTACTGTTTACTAATTATTATGTTTAATCAATAACAGTTAAGAAGCCATTCCTAAATGTCCTCTATTTTTATCTTTCCGTTTGCGGATAAGATGGGGTATTATAGTCATCTAAATTGAATCAGGTGCATCCGCTGGGCCCCCGGCAGAGTGCGATTTGTTGCCCGGCTATATTGTATTATGGTACATATGTTCATTTTGAACAGCACGATAGACTAAGGATAAGAAGGGTTACTATAGTTCTTCACTAAATTGAATCTAGGGTGCTATTTGGGGTGTTTTGGTTGGTTAGAGTTAGGTTTAGGGTTAAGTGTTATTTTCTCAAATGGCCATATTTGCTTATAGACATTTAATTGGAAAAATAATATCTTTTCTAAACCCGGGCAATCCCAGGTATATGTTGCTTAAGAAACACACAAGTTATGGTTTTTCACAGAAGCCTGGCAGAGATGGCTAGTACCTTAATAACATTAACTTTTTTTTTCAGATGACTTAATTTCAAAACTACAACAAGAATTAAAAAATGCTAATGATCTTATGTTAGCTCTTAAAAAAGGTATGTACAAATTCTAAACAATTATGTCTGCAATTTTAATAAGTGGTTGCTTTAATTAATATAAATTCCATCTGACAGGTGCTGTCACATTATCAGAAGAGGCAGTTGAATCACTGTCTCCATCAGCTGCTGCTACCAGCAAGCTGCTCAAATCAGGCATGTCTCTTACACAGGTAAATATTTTCTTCATGCTGGGTTATAAGTTCGGGTTGACATTTTAAACATATATGGAATTTAAAATATTTTCTTTCAGATTTATAATGAATATGTACAAGCAACAGATGAACTCAGTGAAGAAAGAGAAGAAAATAAAAGACTCAACTCTTACTTAGAGCAGATCCTCCAGGTTAGTAGATTACAGATATAACTAGCATGATATCTATTTTTTATTAGGGATGACTCTGAATTTCAGCAGTTTTTTTTTTAAATTTATAAATTTATCATTAAAGTTGAATTTTAGCCTCTAAGTGTCTGGATATTTTTTAGTTACATTTTTTAGAAAATAGGAAAGAAGTATTTTATAAAATCTTAGAGCCTGGTTTCTTTACCACTAATCTGTGTTGTAGGTATAATCTAGGTAAAGGTACTTATCTGGTTGTTCTTACTGCTAGTGTTAGATATTCCCTTTACCATTTCCCCCACTATGCTAGTTTTAATTTCTAAATCTCAAATATAATTTTAAAACCATGATTAATTAGCCCTTTACTAGTCTAACACCCCCCCCCCCCCTATCCCTCCCCTTGAATGAGCAATCGCTAAATTCTAGCCTACAATTACCCAGAGAACCTGTTTTATATTATGACATGCTATATGCCAGCTGATTTATAATTGTATGTAAACTCACAATGACTCCTTCGCATCTTGTTTTGGGAAACAGAAAAGCTATTTATAAACTATACTGATTTAGCTACTACCACAATGTTTATTTTTTTGTAAAATATTTTTGTATTTCCAATACATTATTGTAAGTAAATAATAGAACCAATAGATTTTAGCTATTTGTGCAAACTCATATATAAATTAAAAAGTTCATTATTGAGATTGTGCTTTTAAAGGGTTGGGAGGTTGACATTGGTGGTTAGAAGGAGAGGGGTGTCTTAACATAATAATATGATTAGGCTTATTAGATGGAATAAATAATCTTAAGAATAGACCTATGTTAAGTTATAATTCCATTAAGCTAATTAACAAGCTTCTCAGACTTCAGGAACTGTGTAAGCATTTTTATAATAATTTAATTGAAAGACAATAGATCATTAGCAGTTTCATATTAGTGAAATAAAATTAACTAATTAAAGGGAAAAATTACAGTTAAAAAGGACTATTAAAAAGGAGTCTTAAGCTATTATTTTGTAAAATAATGTGCTTTTTAAGTCAGTGCCTTATTAATTGCAATACATTAGAACTTCAAAAATCTGATCACATCACCTAGGCTGAATATAATCATGTTTTATTTTTAATTTTTAAGGAGATACAAGAGAAAGCTCCCCTACTCAAGAAGCAAAGAGAAGATTATGAAACAGCTCTTACCAGTATTGAACAGATGACCTCACAGTTAGATTCTACCATGTTGGTAAGATAATTTTTTTTTAAAGCTTAACCCTTTAACTCTTAGCTCCTGACCCTAAAATTTTGACAGGCTCTCAACAAATAAAATAAAGACCACAAAAATAACGAAGTTAGTTTAATTTTTTTAATGAATGTTTGTTCATGAAATATTGTCAATAATTGTACTTGGTATGTCAGTTCTCCCAGCATGTAGGTATGGACATGAGTAGATTGTAAATTGCAAAAGATAAACAGAACAAAAAAATTAGTTTATGGATGCAACCAAGACAGGAACTTACAAATTTCTCATTGTTACTCATTAACTAAATCAATTATTTCAGTCTGGCAGTGTGACATTTTTTTTAATATAACAAATTTTACTAATACATTTCATTTACACCTTCATTTTTTGCTTAATCAAATATTTGTATAACTTTTTGCAGGAATGTGAAAGATTAAGAACAGATGCTGATGATATGAGGAGTAGATATGGACACGTTCAGAGGGAATGTGTCAAGTATCAGCAGTCAGTCAGTGATCTGGGGAAACAGGTTTGACCTTTCTGAGATGTAACTCTTTTAAATAGCAGTTGTTCATGCCTTGAAATCTGCTATAGGCCTACTAATTTTTAAGCTTATGTGAACTCGGGAAACAATCAAGCGACTCAAGCGAAAAATAAATAGCATAAGGCTAGGGTAACAAACTGAACATCAATAATTTTTTTACCATCTTATATGTCAGGGCCCAATAGTTACAAATTTGCATTTAAATTATTTTTATTTCGCTTGAATAATCATGGAAATACCTTAACTGTTGGGGAATTTTAACTATTGTGTCATCCCTATCATACTTTTTGAAGATTTCTCCTCAATGGTCAGTTAGATCTCTGACTTTTAATGACAAGATAGCCCATGCACTATTTTTAAACACAAGTTTTGTATTTGGTAATTTATTAAGAAAGAAAAAAAGTTTTTGTTCTTAAATTGTAGGTGCGACATCTACTGAAAGAGGTGGAAGAACTTGGAGGGGGAAGAGTAATTAGAGATGAGATGGACGTGTCATCTTCTGAAGTCTCCAGTTCATCTAATATTATTACTGAAAAACTTGTCACATTTAGGTAAATAAAACTGTCAGGCATTTAAAATGAAATGTCAGTAGTATGATCTTTATGTATTCTCATTATTAATTGAATTTTTTGTTTGTTCTAGAAACATAGAAGAGTTACAGCAGCAAAACCAGCGCTTGATTGAAGTTTGTAGAGAGCTCAGTGATAAAAAGGAACAAGAAGAAAATGATGCAACAGCAGAAAAGTAATATTTTTTAACATGATTACTGTCAATAAAAGACTATATTAAATGTTTCTCTTTAAAATTAAATTTTTTTTTTATACAAATGCTTCTTAATTAAGATTCTGTAAAACACTAAAATATTAGTAAATTCAATTTCTTATTCATAGAAAACAAAAGTACATCCATCTTTGCTACAAAAATCATGGATTGGATTAGTATTAGCATAAATACTTTAATTTTTGTTAATTTTATTTCGTGGCAACGTGAATATCAGTGTTAAAAAAATTTCACTCTGTCGACTGTTGGGAGCATTGTTACAGTCTTAAAGAGTTAATGGTATTGGATCATCACCAGTGAAGGTTTAAAAAATAATTGAATATTTCATTGCTTTTCTGTCAGTCTCTGGTTTAACAGGAAAGTAAAACCATAGCTAGTAGACCTATCAACTTTACTATTTGCTAAATGGAAAATATGATTGAAAGAAAAAAGTTTTAAATTAAAAAAGGTTTTATGTTTTTTAGTGTCTAAGACTGTTTTATTTCAACGATATCAAAATATTATTCAACACTAGCATAGATGGGATAGTATTATTGCATCACATCAGTTTACTGATTCTAAATATTTCTAAATATTTCTGTTCATTTTAGCATTGTCACATGTTCTTTCTCACTATGTTTTGAGCTAATTCATCTTGACTTCTTCTCAGAACAAGGGAATTAAAAGAACAGCTTGATTTTACCATGACAGAGTTAGAACATTTAAAAGATGCACGTGCCAGACAAGCTGAACTGGTAAATTTTTTCATGACTATCTTACACCCAGTCCTCGTATTTTTGCCTTTGTCAATGCTTTTCATTGATAAATATTAACAATCAACAGGTGGAGTCCATTGTCAGACAAAGAGATATGTACAGAGTTCTTTTACAACAAAGTGGCACTTGTTCAGAGGTTTGTTCATGTGTTATTTAACATATTTTAATGTTCTAGAGTGTTGATCAAATTTGAGTGCTAACATTTCTGTATTTCTTTAGCTTCCTCATGCAGCCCTTGTTACATCAACACCAGTTTCCAGTATGTCTAAGGCTGTTGCGGCACAGGATATTAAATCTGACGACACTTCCAAAAAAGAACTTGAAGATACCAAAAATGCACTGAATGAGCTTAAAGCAGAGTTTGAAGCCTATAAAAAAGATAAAATGGAAAATGAAAAGTATGTTGCTTTTGGACCCATATTTCTTGGCTAACTCATTTACATATATATTTTCAGTAAAACTTATTTGCATGTCTCTTTTAAATTTATGACAGGATACAAAATGAGACTTTAGAAAAGATGCGTCAGAACCTTTCTGACATGCGAGTAGCAAACACTAAGCTCTCTACACAGGTATGTGCCTTGACTACAACAAAGGTCAGTTTAAACTTTAACAATACATTCATAGTAAAATAATGTTTCCAAAATGCTCTCATCCAGCTGGAATTTGCTACTGACCGCTACAAGATAGTCCAGAACAATGCAGCAGGTTATAAGAAAGAAATAGATCTGCTACAGGAGAGAAACCACCAGTCAGCTGCTACTATTTTAAGACATGAATCAGCAGTTGCTCATCTTAAAGAAGTAACTACTTTTAGACACATATTTTTTCTGTAATTTTGTATAATTCATTTAACTAATAATTTTTTAACAAATCTGAAATGTCTAGATAAAATACCCTAAAGAGTATGATTAAGAAAGATTTGCATGTATCAATACTGAAGATGGTCATTATCCTTAGTAATAAAAATTATTTATTTCCAGGAGTTGATGGCTGCCCAAGAAAATGTTGCTAGATGGCAAGTCCAGGTAGAAAATCTAAAAGCTGAAAAAGAATTACTGAAAAACCAAGAAAAACGTTTAAGGTTGGATTTGGAAAGTATTCGCAGGGAACAAACGTCACAGACTTTGTTGATGACCAGTTTACAGGCAATACAGGTAACTTGCATTCAGTCTCTATGCATTCATATTTCTTTAAATACAATGCTCATATATTTTGTTTGAAAAAAGATTTTAATTACTTTTAATATAATAAGAATAATCTTTTGTTGGAAGAATAACCAAGAGAGAGCAGAGTTTGAATCTCGTACCAGACATTCAAATCAGATAGAGGGGCTAGAGAGAGAGGTAGCCAATTTAAGAAGGCGACTAGAAACTTCATTAGAAGAAAAAACTCAGCAGGCTACAGCATGGGAAGTAAGTCACATTGGGTATCTTTGAATACATTCTTATAGTAAACTAAATTTATTTAGTGTAATTAAATATACATGTCTATTCAATCTAGGATATTGTAAAAACTGTACACTTAGAGCTGAAGCATGAGAAAGAGAAGCAGGCAACTCTACAGGCTAAAGCAGACAATGCTATCCTTGAATTGGAGACAGTAAAACAAGAGGTAGAAATATTACTTAGAATTTTATTATTCTCAATGGTATCTTTTCAACATGTCCCTAATTTTTTATATCCCTGTTGCAGCTTAGTACATGTGAAGCTAAACTTGTAGCAGCTGAATTAAAACTGGAGAATCTTTCTAAACAGCCCGGAGAAGGTGAGTTGTTCATAGATCTTTTTTTTTGGATGTATTTTTGACACAAAGCATGATATTCTTGAATAACCATTATCCAAAAGGTCCACTTTTATAAACATACTCATTAGTTTTCCCTTATTATTTTGTGGGAGCTATTGTACAGAAAGAACACAATTATCAAAGTCCTCTGAAACAAAATATTTATAATGTATAAACATTATACAAAGCTACTTGATGCTCTTAAGTTGAAAAATCCTGATGATTGGTGAAAACTTTGCTTTCTTTAGGTTTAAAGTACCCAAGTTTTATAAAGTACGAGACCACCTGTTATCCTTGGATAATTGTGGGTTTCTGGGTCATTAATAAATTACATCACGCTTGTTTGACACTTTTTATCTACCCCCTTCCCGCTGTTACACACTGTCACAAAAAGCTAAAAAAACATTAAAAGACATCTTACCTCAGCCAACATGCTTTTGTCTTTTAAAAACACTAAAATAGTTTAGTAAAGAAACTATTATTTATTGTGTTTTTGTACTTGTTTTTAATTTTAAGTAATTAATTTTGGTTTGGCCTACTTTCCTTTGACAGCATAATTCAGTAAATCTAGATAAATTTATTGTACACTCAAATTAGTAGAACTGTCAAGCGTATCCTATTGAAAATCGATAATCTTATTGTTAAAGCTATAGCCGACAGAAAATTTAGATTTATAATGCGTTAAACTTGAATGGACAACATGGTCTTCCAGATTTGTTGTGAGAATAAGTAAATAAAGTATTTGTTCTGAACTTTTATAGATAAAGGGATGTTTCTACAAATGAATATATCAATAAATTAATTATTGTTTACATAAATATGTGAACTTTACAGTTCTACACATAGTACAGATTTTCTGATCAAGCTGTACAGACAAACAAAAAATATAAAATATATAAACATCTGACTTTTTAACTAATTGGAAATATTTTTTGTTTAGAGGATGGAATATCAATTGTTGATTCTAGAGTTGAAACTGAGGCAGTGAAAGATCTTAAGAATCAATTAGCTCAGCAGAATATTCTTATTAAAAGTAAGTAAATTGATTAGGCCTATGTACAACTATATAATTGGTTTAGCATGAAGTAATATTTGGTAATTTAAAAATACTGTGGAAATGAAAGAGACAAGTGTGTATAATTTTATGGCTAACCTTTAGACCTAAGACAACAAGTTGAGGCTGCTAAAAAACATGCCAATCAATACAAGACTATTGCTGACAGTGTGGAGCAGAATCTGAAGGACCAGGCCAAGGTAATGGATTCATTAGTTAGATTTTTACAGTTTAACTTTGGATGGCAAAATATCTGAGCAAAATCTTGTTCAACCTGATAATTTAACATTTTGTATTGGATATTCTCTTGAAATCTTCCAACCATTGAGTACACAACATCATATTGACTGTTCGTGTAATTCTGTGTTGGTATAATAAATTTGTCTAAAACCAAAAAATCTATCACTCTTTTATTGACTGATAGGTAGTGCTTTTTGTCAGCACATTTCATTGAACCAGAAATATAATAAATACAATTTTAAACTCAATTTGTGCAACAAAATTTAATGTTTTCCTTAAAACTTAAATTAGGCCAGCAGAGAACTGCAGGAATCTTGTGAAAAGAAGGTTGAAGAAGCATGGCGAGAAAAAGAAATATTGGCTAAACGTTTGGAACTTTTGGAAAAGGATCATGAATCAGCAGTAGCAGAGAATGTTAGACTTTCAAGTGAAAGTGATTCACTAGTGAGTATTGTTTTTATTAATTTGTACATGAATTTTTTCCAGATATTTTAAAACATTTTTTGTTTTTGCAATGAATAGCATGGTGACTTGAGAAACCAACTAGCATCTCTAAGACATGAGCTTGAAGAAGCACTAAGCCATAAACAAACAGCTCTGAGCAACTGTGAGGCAGCTCAGGAAGATCTGAAGAATCAAGCTGATCTTGCATCTCAGGTAGTAGACATTTTCATTTAGAATCCTTCATCAGCTCTTAAGCAACAAAGCCTTTAAACTTTTTGAAACTATCTGCAGGCACAAGATAAATATGAAAGGGAGTTAATGCTACATGCAGCTGATGTTGAGGCCTTGGCAGCAGTGAGAAAACAGGTAAACTATTAACTTTTTTCTTTTCAACTCTACTTTTTTATAGTGACATGGCATTAGGACAATTACTAATGGAAAACTGTTGAAACTAGAGAAAAAAAAAATTAAAATTTATGACTAAATTTGTAACAACGTACATTTTATTATGTGGGTAGATCTCATAAAATCATCTGTACCAATAACTAAAATGTCAGTCTGTAACCATAAAATCCTCTGTGCAAAAACAACTTACTATTAACCCACCCAGTTAAGTGGTTTTTCTTATGTGGTTCTGGTTGATGCGCCAGAACTTTGTGAAGTGTAATACATTCCTAACAAATCAAACATTGGTCTAAAAATAGAATCACTGCCACTTCTTGTTTCACTGCCACTTCTTGGTATGAAATAAGTATTTAGAAACTTGTTTACAGTACCAATAGTTGACGTTGTCTACCAGTATGAGTGACTTCCTACAACTGTTGTTGTGAAAGGGATAATTTAGATAGTATCTCGAAATAAAGCTAATTAAACAATGTAAGTGGTTCCTATCTATTGTCAGAAACAAATTTTTAAATTTGGAAATATCTCCGTGTGTAAGGACTGCACTTGATACATTTAATGCTTTCTTTAACACCAAAAAATCTTCATTCTAATTGAACAACCATACTATTTTATTATCAAATTACCCCATTCAGCCTTTGAGTACGCAAATATATGATTTTGTAATGTTTGTGTAATTAAGTGCTGAAACATGAAATCTAGCCAAACATAAGCTCCTCAATTACTCTTTGATTGATGAAGCTGTCAAACCTTATGAGTTTGTCTACATATTTATCTGCTTATAAATTATCTTTCAATTTACATTTTCTTAGATTTAGTGCTAAAAATTCTAAACTTGCTAATGTTACAAAAAACTCTGTAATGATTTATTTACAGCTAGAAGACATCCAAGAACATCTGCAACAATCCCAGGAAGAAACAATTATGTACGAGAAGCAGTTCACTGAATCCAAGGTAAGCTGGTAATTTTGATGTAAGGTGAGCAGCTGTGCATGGCTGTTTAGTATATTTTGATTACGCATGGTGCTAGTATTGCAAATATATTGGCCGATGGATATATGAAGTATTACTATATTTATTCCAAAACTAGGACTGATTTAAAATGTTTTTTGCTGTATTAAGTATCATCAGAGTATCATTAAAACTGTGATTTCTTTATTTCTCTAGACCTCATGGTGTGAGCAGGAACGCATATACAAGGAAGAAATACAAATGTTGGAAACAAGGTGTGAAGAGCTGACCAAACAAAACTCAGTGCTACATGATCAGATGGCTAAAGTAAGTGCTGCAGTGGGTGCCTACCATAAGATTTCAAAGAATCCACTGTTTGCCCAAGAAAAAATATGCCTGTGGTAACTTTTGTTATATTTTGTCTCTAGCTGAGTTCTGAGGTTATCAACATACAGCAATCTGCACGTCGAGATTCTGGTCAAGGTATCAACACATCATTTAGTGATGAACAGGGCAAAACTTCAGATCAGTTGCTTGAAGTTATCAAGTAAAAATCTTTTTCTTTCATAAATGATTGAAATATGAACTAAAAATGTTTTGTCATGTTAAATTAATAAAATATGGATCACTCTATACAGATTCCTGCGGAGAGAAAAAGAAATAGCTGAAACTAAATTCCAGGTTGTGCAGACAGAATGTAACCGTGTCAATCAAAAGCTTGTGCATGTAGAAAAGCAACTTGAGGAATCAAATAAAGCTCTTGCGTCAGAAAGACAAAATGCTCAGGTAGGGTCAGAAATTGTAGTATATTCTATTTAGTTAAATTATTAAAGTGCTATGTTTCTAGTTTCTAGTTAGCTAAACATTACAAATAATGAATACATGAAACTGTTTTCTTTAGGTGAATGCTGAAACTGTTGCCAACCAAGTAGAATTAATGAGAAAAGTTAGCAATTTGAATGTCCTTACTGATAGCAATAAGCTATTGAGAGATGAGAGAGACCAACTTCTTAATGCTAAACAAGAGCTTGAAGCTAAGGTAACTACTAAACATTTAAATATTCACCATTCAGAGTTTTCTTAACTCTTGATAGTTGAACCTATTGGAATCTGAATGAAAAAAAGAAAAAGGCATGGCTACAATGATGAGTTTATTTCTAAACTTATATACTGATATCATGTAGTGACTAAGGTATCAACTGGTGATAATTTCACACAACTTAATCAGCAGAATATTAAGACAGTGTTTAGTAATAAATACCCAGCCAGTAATTTAATCTAGATGAGCTACAAGGCAAATATTTCTTTAAAAATAAAAGGATGAACAAAAATTCATACTAGGAACATTTCTGGGTAATAAAATTTCAAACTCACAAATTTGATTTAGGCAGATCCAAAAGCTTAACTACTTCTTTATCCACTGTAATCTAATACTATAATGGGCTACGTTCGCACATCTCTCTCTCTCTCTCTCTCTCTGTCCGCAAAAAATTTTCGCCGGACATCACGTCAGAAACGGCAGCGATATATGGAGAACTTTATACGGACTTTTGTTGAAAATAATATGTTAGATGTTTTAAATGTATAACCACAATTTTATTTAAAGAAGAAAAATAAAAAATCAAGGCGTATTCGAATATAGAGAAACAGTATTATTTATGCAACCGGAAAAGCATTAATAGATGTGTAAAAGAACGCATAAAACTGTGACGACACTATTGCTTACTAATGACGTCATCTGCCGTGTTTAAAATAAAAAAGAAATGAACTATTTCATTCAAATTTGATTTAGATCTACGTACACTATGAAATGTATACAATACAATTTTTCCGGCCTAAACTCATAACATTTATTTATACAAAATCTTTGTTTGGAACTGGCTAATTTGGGATAAAAAAATTAATTTGAAAGAATAGGCATATTCGCGTAAGTTAAGATTTTAAAATACGTCTTTCATTCTCTGTATTTTATAAGGTGCCTAAATAGCGGAGATGTTAGTGTACTATAAACCACGCAGGTGGTGCGGGTTCGAGACCCACCAAGTCAACTTGGTTAATGTATTTTTTTTTTTTATTTTGCTCAGACTAAACTTAAAAAAAAAAAATTCAATTAGGATTCTAGATCTAGATCTAGATTGTCGGGTGTCCGATAAGGCACTTCCCGGCGCCGCAGGCGCTTCAAATTTGGCAGGATCTTGCCTTGGGGCGACAGAGCACGGGGGCCGGTTGGCCGAAAAGTCTACGATGAGGGGGTCAAAACTGACCTCGACTGACCGGTACCTTATATGAGCTATAAATCGAAAAAAAAATGTCCACGGAGGAACCTCTTCATAACTCTTGAGGTCGTAGACCGACCCTATGGTGAATTAATTAAGCATTCACATTCTCAATGTTTTCGAAAGCCTAAGCGAAGCTGGGCAGCATGCCTAGTTAAAATGTAATGGTCCAATTGTTGTATTTGTACTATGGGCATATAACATATGTATCATGACAGAAAACTGGTAGATGATGCTGGGCGATATAGATTTCTACATACAATTTATAAATGTATAAACTTTGCAGTTGGAGCAATGATAATGCTCCTCTGTAGATGTCAAACAAATTGATTAACTTGATTATATTTGGTTTTACTGTGCTGTTTTCACTGTTTAAAATCCATAAAATATGGTGCTATATGTCTGTTGCCTATGCAAAAAACTCAACCTGTATAATATGTGCATTGACTATGGGTAATGATGTATATCAACATTAAACCACGATGGTCTGACAACCATGTTTTTATACATACACTAAGGCATACACATACTTAAATGTTTAATAGTTATTTTAAAACTAATTTTTTTTTATTGGTGTGACATACTCTGAAAATGGTCTCAATCAACAGATACATAAATTGGAGTCTGACATAGAACCTTTACAAAACAAATTGCGTGAATTTGAATCTGAAAAAGATACACTGACTGTTGAAAGGAATACCTTGAAAGATGAACTTGATCGTTGGAAGAATAGAACTACAAGTCTTATTGAACAAAGTCATAAAACAGATCCTGAAGAACATAAGCGGCTCATGTAAATACCAGCTAAATTATTTCTTAAGTTTTATTATAAGAAAATTATTTTTTTAATTTTTAAAAAATTGATTTTTTTCCAGTCAGGAAAAAGAAAACCTGAGAAAACAATTAGCTCAAGCCAGAGAGGAGAGCTTCAAGCATAAGTAAGATGTGTTCACCACTTGTCACTTGTTATAGCAGTATTGTTTTAGGATTATTTCTTGCTATTTGAGAACATAGATCTAGTTATATTTACATACTTATACTTTTATTTTAGGAATGAGCTGAGCAGATTAACAACTAGCAACAACTCACTTCAGTAAGTTTTCTCTTAAATATCACTGTACCAAAGCATCGACAATTAGTAACAATTCACTTCAGTAAGTTTTTTCTAAAATATCACTGTATTAAAGCATCAACAACTAGCAATAGCTCACTTCAATGATCAGTTGTTTTAAATTCATTTGTAATGTCTTTTTAAAATTATAAATACAATTTTTATATTACAGAACAGAGCTGAATAACATCAAGCAAGAATCTTCTAAAACAAGGTATTATATTCTTAACAAAGTAGTATAAATCTTTATAAAAACTGACATATTTTCTAAATAGCAAAAATGGTTACTTAGTAATATTAGTATTCATTTTGTTATTATTGGACTTTTAATTATAAAATAATTGTGTTACAGTCAAGAGGCTACAACATTAAAGAAACAACTTGAAGAAAAAACCAAAGAAGCTGAAGAAAAAACTACAACAATAAATCGTTTGAAACAAATTGGTCGCAAGTACAAGGAACAAGCAGAGAAAACGACAAAAGAGTTGGAAGATGTTAAGGCTAAAGCTGCGGGTCAGGAGACTGATAGAGTTACCTTGGCCTCACTTGAAAGTGTATGTTGAAGAGTTAACTCAAATATAAAAAATGTATTCATATTTAAAAAAGAAGATTGTGTTTTTATATAAACTATTTATGTGCAGACTATAGCTGAGCTGCGTCGCTTGAACTCTGAGAACAGTGAGACCATTGCTAACTTACAAACTAAGCTGACTGAGACTCAGAATGAGAACACTGCAGCTGCAATGAGAGCTGAACAAGCTGCTTCTGAGAATCTGGTCTTGAAAGAAAATATAAACTCTAAAGAAAAGGTAACAATTTTTATCAATGGTGATTCACCAGGAATAACTATTTTCGCTTTAATATGTATAAGTTGTAAAATATAAGCTGATATAAAGCCATATTCTAATGATGGGAAAATTATTGAAATATATTAAAAAAACTAACAATAAAAAATAAAAATTGTGTGTAATAAAAATCAACATATTTGGCCTATCATACAATAAACCTTGTTTAGTGGTTTGTGTGGCTACTGTAGACGATTTTTGTGTGTAAATGAAGTATACAAATTAATTTATAAAAAAAAATGATGTGCCTAGGAAATGGCTCAGATACAAGAGAAAAACACAAAGTTGAAAGATGAGCTAGATGAGTTTGGTAGGAGAGCTGCTGAAGCTGAGAAGAAACTCACTCAGTCAAGGCAAGTACTGCAGAATGCTAGAAATAAAATGATGGTCCAGAAGACACAGATGGAAAACCTTGAAGAGGAAAATAAGGCGCTGAAAGCAAAAACAGCTTCAGAACATGGCGGCTCGACAAGTGGTCAGTCCTATTTAACTTTTATACCATGGCAATTACCAGTGTAGTTAATTAAGGCTGATTGTTAAAAATAGTTAAGTAAATTAATTAGTCAATAAAAGTTGTGATTTAAATTACTAAAATATTCCTAGATACAAACCCGGAGGATTCAAAAAGTGCAACATCGGCATTAGAAACACAGCTAGAAAGAGTGGTGAAAGAAAATGCTGAGCTTCAGACCAAAGTATGTTTTTTCTAGTGTTAGATAGGTGGTTATTGTATGTTAATTTGTATTAAATAGATTTCAACAAATAAAAGCTCAAATTTGATGAATAAAATTGTTAATATCTCATAGGTACAACAACTTCAACGTCAACTTGAAGCTGCTCAGCACAAGCACTCACCACCTCAACAACCAGTAGCTGCAAGGCCTGCTAGCTCTGTTGGACCAAGGTTTGCTCCATATTGTAGTATTTACATACCAATTCTTTGTTCACTCTTTCTGTGATTCTGGATTGAAACATGTTTATTTATTTTTTGAAATATAGGCTTAAGCATTTTATTGTGGCTGTAACTTTAATTTGCTTTTTAATGTAAACACAACCAGCCATAATGTTTGTTGAAACCATAAATTGCCAAACTGTTTTTGATCACATTTTTATAGAATGATTGAGCTAGTTTTGTAAACATCATCTTTAAAATGCTGGTGTATGTTTAGTGTTAACTGGAAATAAAATGTTGTTTTGAAAGCACAACATGTAGTGATGCCCCCAAGACAGCCAACATCAAACCCATGACCACTGCAGCATCCAGCTCTAGACAACCTGTACCCATTACCTCTCACAGTCCAGCAGCCACCAAAGCTACAGCCAGTATAAGACCAATGGCTATTTCTCCCACGACCACACCCCTGCCACTATCTACTGGAACTCCTACAGCCACAGTAATGCCCACTACAGCCAATCAACATGATACATCTGATGGTAATAAGATACAAACTATGGAAAATTATTAGCTTCTCTTTATATTTTTAAATTAGTTATAATACCATTACATAGTTGTTACAATTAGGAACAATATTTCAGATAATATTACAGCTCCATCAAGTGGTCAAGGTACATCTTCAATCCCAGCAGCCTCCGTATCAGGTCGCATACAGATTGTTGAGCCACAGGTTGTAATGGAATGGACACCAGAATCATTAGGTTAATAAAGCCATTGTATTTAAATATAAATAATTCACAAATCAAGTACACCTAAAATGTAGTTGATGGTGATGTAGATAGACTATAGATAACTAAACTGTAGATTGGATATAGTACTCAACTGACAAAAGGACAGTATACATATGTAGACTTACTTGTTGATGCTTCCCATATTGCCACAGGTCCACCAGAGCAGATAGAAGAGAGTACAACCAATCAGGCTGTTGTTACCCCTAGCATTCAAGAAGCACATGTGTTTACCAATACACCATCCTCTAGCACGGAAGGTATACAGCCCCAGCAACACACTGCAGGAGTTGCACTGGGTAAAAGAATCAGAGAGGAAGAAAGGTAGCTGGTCATTACACATGTTCATCAACTTAAACTAACTTATAAATGTATTCTCAGTGCATTGGAACAAGCTTAACATGTATACTTTTCTATTTTATCAGTGCATTGAACAAACTTAACATGTTTACTTTTCCATTGTTTTTATCAGTGAATTGGAACTAGCTTAAAATGTATACTTTTCTATTGTTCTAGTTTTCCCTCAGAAGAAACAGATTCCAAACGCTCACGTATCAACACACAAGTACGTTTTTTTAATCCTCACCTCCATAAATATTTTGTCCAATTGTAATTGATTCACATTTACTTATTTTCTTATATCTTTATAAAAGATTAACATTAATGTACTAAACCCCCCCCCCCCCCCCCCCCATGTGTATAGGAACACCCGATCCCTATAATCACAGTGATAGATGAAAACCAACAGGTTGTAACCCAGATTCAGCCCACCCAACAGTTGCCTCAAGGGTTGGTCAAACCAGCAACTTCTGTCCCTGCCAGCTCACGACACCAGGATAGTGCTAAGGTTGATCATCTTTTCTTTATCTAGCCACACCATTCTCTAGTTTCATTTTAAATATTCAGATTCAGAAATTTTTCAGATTTAACTTAACTAACAACAATCTACTTCTGCATGTTCTATTTAAAAACAGTGAACAGGTTTATAAGTAATTTTCCCTCCAACTTGGCCGTTGTAAAAATTAAATACATTGAGTTCAGGTGAATCTAACGAAAAGAAATTGTATTGACTTCAAAATTTATTTTTAGATTTTTTTTTTTTTTTTGATTTACAGTATAGTTTAAAAAATGAGTTGTTTGCTAAATTCTTTATCTACCTAATTACCAGGAGCAGACAGAATCTCAGCGTGAAGAAAAACAGGTGAGGTCTTATTCCTGTGTACTTGCATATGTCTGACATTAAGAACATCATTGAATTTTAATCCTTCACAGGCCTATGTGCCCGCAGTCGCCTGAAAATTTTTGTATGTGCTGCAGTCCGGTGCGCCAGCGGTCGCCCTACTATGTGTAGTACCTTTAAGTACACGTAGTAGTGGACGTAAATTATTAAGCTGTTTAACTTCATGCATAATAAACTTGGGATCAGTTTTGTGTAGATTGCTTTTTATTTTATTTTTTAACTTAACTGTTATTTTTAAAAAAATATTTTAAAAAGTGCCGTTGTTGAAAAATGCATCTTCTTTTCGCCCGGCCATTGGCCCAGGCCAGTAAATGGTTAATATTGCAATCCTTTTCTCCTTTTCCTTTGTAGGCTGAGTCAAGACAACACAGCAGCGATGATGTTATAATGGTACTAAGTGATGAGGAGGACCAACAGGTAACAGACATTTCCATTAATGTTGGTTGGTTACATTAACTCATTTAGTTATATTAAATATTTATTTTATTACATCATTTATCATTTTTTGTTTTTACAATTGTTTTCTTTTAATAACCTCAACTAATTTTGCTTAAATCTGAATCCATTTCTGCAAAAAAACTTTTAAACAAAAGACTGGTAATGATCAACAATTGGAAGAGGAAGATGAAGAGGACTATGAAGATGATGAGGATGAAGATGATGATGATGATGACGATGATGTTGAAGAAGAAGCTGATGCAGATGATGTAGTTATTATTGGTCAGTTACTTTTGCGGGTCATTGCAATTAATATTGTGTTATATTCTAATTTTAAAAAGAAACCCATCTCAGTTGTGAACACACAATGCTGTCTATTCATTTAAGATATTTAAAAAATGTGTTATTTATTTGCATGTGGCTATGTATTGACATGATTAATATTTATTTCCCATTTGTGTTATCAGATATGGATGAGTCCCACCAACAACAATCCTCCTCAGGTGCCAGTCAGCTACAGTCAGCTCCTCGGCCACCCCCACCTCTCCAGCCCATTCCTCATGAGCGTCTACCTTCTGTTGGAAGGTCACAGCAGCTGACACCTTTTTTATTGGGGGTAAAACAAAGTAGCCTACTCTTTTAGAAACAGCGACATACAACCTCATATACCGCTACTTACACTTACAAAAATAGCCACATGAAAAAATCAAGTTTTATTGCAATGTGTGGGCATGTTTAGTGTACTGCTTTCTTCCATTTAGAATTTTAGCACCTTGAACCTTGACTTAAGTTGTCTCTAAGCTAGCTAAGTATAGCCATTGTCATAAAATTTCATATGCTATGAAATCTTAAAATTTAGTTTTTTAGGTGTACCATTTGACAAAAGCCCACACTGGTTTTTGAGGCTCGATTTAAAAATAAAGACAGTGTAGCAGAACTTAAAAATATTATTACAATAAATGTTTTTATCTTTTGTTTTTACTGACTTAGATTCAGAATATAATTATTGATGTTTTTATTTATATTTGACTGGTTTGATTTGGTGAATACAACATAGTAAATGATTGTCACTTTGATTAGGGCCAGGGTAATGTGTTTGATGATGATGATTGTACAGTACCCAGCACCCCAACTCTCTCCCAACCCAGACGAGGAGACGGATTTGCTGAGGCCCTTAAGTAAGTATTGCCTCCTAGCTCTTAGGGCTTTAGATTAAACCTTATGATAGCTTTGCGTAATAAGATGTATATTTCCACAGTTCACCTGCTGTTCCTCAGCGTTTTCTATTTGGTTCAGAAGGTAGCAGCAACCCTGACTTGGCACAACTAGAATCACAAAGAGGTAGCCATTTTCTTTAATGGAACATTTTAATGAAGCTTTAGTTTTACTTAAACCCTTAATTGTATGATGCACCAGTATGTGCCTGAACTATGTGTAGTACATTTCATTCTGTAGAATAATCTATATCTTCTGGTAGCAAGATTTAAAAGACTTGTTTTTCTTGGTGATCTATCACTAGTGCTAAATTTTCTACAATCTTTTTATATATATAAGCATTTTGTTTTTCTAAGTTACAGGCAATTAAAATTAAATTCCTCTGCTGTTGAATTTGCTTTTGTTTATAATATAACTAATATAGTGATCCAAAAAAAGAAATGAATTCTAATGACTGTAGAATATTTGTGTTAGATTTATAAATGACTTTTTTTTTATTGAAAGAGATTTTTTTTTAAACAAACCTAAATGCATTTTATTTTACTTTTTGTAGATATATTAAAATAATTTATATTATAATTGGCTGTACGGGAACAGTAAACAGATAGTAAAGGGTTAAAAATAGAATTTACTTCTTGAATAGCCAAGCAAAAGGCAACAGTTTTTTCAATCATACTTTTTAACAAAACTAAAATGAAAAGCTGTGTACAGAAAAATGAACCTAAGTAAATGTTTTAAATTTTAATAGTATTAATTTTTACAAGAAGAAAAAAATATAAAAGGATGTTAATGTAGTACATGTTTCTGTAAGTAGGCATGGATGATACACGCATGGACTTATCACAATTTGATGAAACAAGGAGTGTCCCAACCACACCATTACACACATCTAGCCATGGTAATTAAAGTATATTTTGTTTTGCTCGCACAAAGTTGAACACAATTATAAGATTGTTTTAAACATTATTTAATGACCACCTAATTACGGTACCTCAAGTGTATTTTTCATATAATTTTTAAAAAAATTAAACGAAAGATTTAGTTAACTATGAATAAACCGACTTATTTCATTATGAAGATTCCCACCAAGAAACTCCATCATTAGAGGAAACCGGTGATGAGGAAACTCAAACACAGGATCCTGCCAGGTGGGGCCTTAACTTAGTATACACAACTTAGTATACAGTCATGTAACTCAGTGGACAGCTGGAGTCATTTTATTGTTTTTGTTTACAGAGGAGAGGAAGCAGAGGAAGAAGATGCTCTTCTAGAGGCTGATGGGGAGACAGAAGAGACAGAGGAGACAGGAGGTGCAGGTGTTGGAGAAGAGGAGTACCAAGAAACATCTGCAGGTTCTTAAAACTAATCATCTTAAATTTGCCAGCACAGCTGATCAGTTTCATCTATGGTTTTAACTTTTCATGAAAAATTTCAAAACAGATTCCCATGCAGGAGGTGATGTGCGGCCAGGATCTAGTCGAGATGATGCAGATAGTGGCCAAGATAAATCTGAAGGTGCAGGTAAGATTTGGTGACTTAAATTATTTGAAATAAACTCAACTTTTGTTTCAATTGACTGATCCTAACCTTTGAAACCCATCTATAATTTAAAAAATTTTTTTTTTTGAATAATCAAAACACTTTTTCTCTCTACCAGCCAAACCTCAGATCAAGAAAATAGTCTGGGCAGACCCAGGCTCTTCTGGAGCTTCACCAGCCCCAGTCAACCCTATTGGAACAGTTGTGGGAGGGAGCATTAGCATTCCACCCTTGATACCCCAGCAGCAGCCAGCTAGGAGGGCTCATGGTCTGAGACGAGGTGGACCTAACCGTGGACGGGGGAATCAGTTCTGGCCTCCCACTACTCAGAGCAGAGGAACTGCTCAGTTTAGTCCCAGGAGCCGTGGTGCAAGGGCTGGTTTTAGAGGGTTTCACCCTTAAAACATTCTTCATTTATCTATGTAGAGAGGACGTGTCTTCTGATTTTTTTAAATAGCTGACTGACCAAATCAGACAGATACAGGTAACATTCACCAGGAACTTTGTATAAATGATTGTATGGGAATAATAAATAATTAAATACTTTTGTCATATATAAATTGTTTTATTATTCACAAGTTTCCAACAAACTGAACAGACTACATTCAATGCATCTGAAAGGCAGACACACAAACTTGTAAGATATAAAAACAGCACCAGATCAATCAAATATATTGGTCAACTTTTTCATTGACAGTTATTTCTTATAACCCTCTTTGCCTAACCAAATTCATGTAGCTAATCAATATTCTGTGCAGTCATACAAGAGAAGAATCTTTGTGTGGGACCTCTTGGTCCTCTGATAATTTGTTAAAAAATATATTCAAATATCATTTAACAGGATGCTAATACAAATTAAAAATAAACCATAAATACAATCAGTCAGAAATAAAGGTATAAAGTGAATATAATCTGAAACCATTATTTAATACTTTGTTGTGATGCTGGAATGTGCAACATCAATGATTGCAAAAACTTTAATATGAAAACTTTTCAAATCATTTTTAAAATTTGCAACTTGACATATTTTTTGAACTTTTATTTCAATCATTTTGAAATAGTTTTTATAAATATAAAGAATAGCAAATGGTATTCTACATTTTTTTAAAAAAACAGTGATTTTATTCTATTAATAAAAATAACAACAGGTAAATTGAAATTCAAAAAATTCCAAAATATAAAAGAATACAAGCATCTAGAAAGAATTATGGTTCTTAGTATACAATTTATAAAAACTTGACAAACATTAAAAATGTGCAGGTAGAATTCAGATGATTTAGAAGTTGAACATTTCAAGATACTTGTCAAGCCTAAAAAGATTTTCACTAAAAATGGTATTTGACACTGGTTGGAAAGTAAAATTTCTTGACATAAAAAATTATGAATTATTAGGAACTAAAAGAAAAAAAAGTTTCTAAACATAATAGTTTCATTATATATTGCACACTCAAAAACAAATATTTTTGAAATACGAAAACAAATATATAAGCATTTATAAAAAAAAAAATCAAAATAGTGATTACAATATGTCAAGGTGCAGTACATAAAAAACTGAAAACTTAAGCTAACATCTTAAAGATTTAAAAAATTAAATCTTGTAATGAACAAATAACTGAAGTAAATAAATATCACTGCATGGCTCATTTGGTCGGTTAAAAAAAGTAAAACAAAAATCAACAATAGGTCTACATTTCTTTATATAATAACGTGGTCTTTTGTCACCCACTCAACTGTTATTTAGCCTGTTATAGAAGTGATAACTACACTGTTATTTAGCCTGTCTGTTATAGAAGTGATCTCTACAATGTTGTGTGCCTGTTATATATAAACTCCCTGAGGTCTTCTTTGAAGGTTGTAACAGAATTTAAAAAAAAACAACTTTAAGCAGAAAACCATAGGTATTTATTGAATTTACTGAAAAAAATTAGGATTTAGGACATTATCTCCCCTCTTTTACCCTAGCTGTAACATTTAAAGTTACGATTAGGTTGATTTGTAATTGGCGGAGGTGTGAGGATGGGTGAAGGGGGTAAGGTCCTACAGTAGGGTTTTGGATGGCGTAACATACAGGGGGGGGGGGGGCGGGTATTTGTGCAGATGGCAGGAAAGTAACCAAGGGGTAATGTTGTGCTCCCAGAAATGATGAGGTGGCAGGTGTTGTATAATTGTGGGTCAACTAAAAGCTATCAGTCATTGTAAAAAAAAAGTTAAGTTCCCCTTTTGAGTTTGACAGTCTAAGCTGCAAGTGAAGTAAAGTTCACCTATTTTTGTGACCTCTGCATATGAAGGTTAGCACTGAGCCAGCTGCCTTTACTTTCCTTAACATGAGTCAGGTACTCATCACAGCTGGGTGGGCTTAGTCGTATGCTCTACCATCAAACCATGCTGTCCCATATCCATCATTGTAACTCGCATAATTATGGTGCAGTAAAACATTCAGTCATTGCTGCCTTTAGGTATCAGTCACAGTGACAGGAAGTCACCTGGGCAGAGAGGAGCAAATATCACAGATGGGCCATCTCTGAAGGCTAGAGAGAGTTGGATTAACATATTCATATGCCTGCACTAAACACAAAATATCAGGCCAATGATGAAATTAACATATTCATATGCCTGTGCTAAAACTAAATCAATACATCAGGCAAATAATGTGAGCAATATTTTAAGTTGGTCTCCTTAGATACAAAATAATTTTAAAAAAATGTTTTATAAAACCATGACCTACACAAGTGAACACCAAGAACACATTTTTTTCTGAGCTTGTAAAGATAAGGTACAAAAATAGATGGTAAAAGTATATTTGAATACAGAAACCCACACCCATCAACTTAAACAAAAAAGTAGAAAACAATGTGTTATTTAGTCCTGAAAACTGAACCTAGAGGTGAGATCATCAAAGTTAGCCACAGTGTCTGGTTACAAGTCTTAGTGACAATATATAAGTTTCAATTGTTTGAATTCATTTGCATATTCCCTAGCGCTCTAATGTAAATTAGAGTGATCAGTCTATTAATAAATGCAGATATACATTCAATACTTTGTAGATTTATTAACTTGGTGACATTTAGGACTTGGCCATTTTGGATAAATTTACACATAAAGTGCACACAGTCAGTAGAGATGTACACTTAAACTATGCCTACATACCCTGGGCCTTGGTTACCAACAGCCAGTCAACTAAATCAATATCTCGAGTTAGGAATACAAATGCCATTCAATTAAGAGCAATGTTTAAAAAATAAACTGTTACACAAAGTTTGAAATGTTTATCTTTAACGTTTGCTGTCTGAAGGTTGACTGGGCATGAAATGTTTTTTTTTTACTCAGAGGCTGAAGAGCTAATGCCGTCAAACTAAAAGTAGTTTCTTTCAGTGCTGTGGTGAATTAAAACGAGCTTGAATTACATTTACACCTGTTACAGGCACAGAGATGTGGCTGCCCACCTCTAACAATAGAAACAGGATGTACAGCTACATACTCAAAGGTTTTTCTCCACTGGGAAGATTTTTATAAATATTTCAGTTAAACAGGAAGTGAAAAAAATGTGGCTCTTATTGAACATTTTCTTAAAAAGAAATTTATTTTTACAAATAAAAATAGGAAAAAGTGACATTAGTGTGACTTCACTTGAAATTGGGGCCAACAAATTCCCAGCACGCAACTAGATGATCTGCACATCATTCACTAGATGATCTGCACATCATTCACTAGATGATCTGCACATCATTCACTAGATGATCTGCACATCATTCACTAGATGATCTGCACATCATTCACTAGATGATCTGCACATCATTCACTAGATGACATGCACATCATTCACTAATCTGCTCATCATTCACTAGATGATGTGCACATCATTCACTAGATGATCTGTACATCATCTATTAAGTAAAAAGATAGATTAACAAGTCAAGAAACACTAAAATTTTTAAAAATACTAATAAAAGTTGGTACTATGGCAGGATTATGGAGGATAACATATATGCTCAGTGTCATACATAGGTCACAGTCAATACAAAATGTCATTTCAGGTCATGGAAGGTTTCAATGCTGTTAAAAAAAGAAGCTGCTGTATAAAAAAAAATGTGTGTATAGTCAAATTGGATAGTGGTAGAGAATTTTCACAGAAAATACTTTACCAGTTGCTGTCAAAGTTGAAAATAAAAGCACAATTACCAATTTTGTTAAGGCAGAATCAAAGGCAGAGTAAGGTGTAGCCTAGTTTACATAACATTTGCATGTTTAGTACATAAAGGCATATCTTAATGGGATTTACACATCTCACACTTTTATTACATGAAACAGTTGAACTTAAATTACACTATACAAGATATGCAAGCTATATATGAACTTTACAAAACTAAGCATTAGCTTATACAGTATATTTACATGATGGAGAAAAAAGAAAGAACTATAATGCAGAAATTTAGTAACAATTTTTAAAATAATCAAAAACTATATTTATAGAAATGAAGAAATAATGCAATGGGGTCAATGCTTGTTTTAGTCAAAGTTCTATCACTAGATAATAGAACTATCAAAGTTCCCTTTATTAACTACTAATTTGCTACGGTTTGGATACATTGTTTAGTATAGTATATAAATATTTTAAAATACAACAATTTTCAAAAGAACACACAAAAATAAAAGTATAAAGTAGTAGACACCAACTGAGTGATGTCATTTATCCACATAATTCCATCAAGCTACATATTTAGTGGCTAAACTGATCTACTGGCTAATGAACACCTATGGTGGGCTTGAGCCAACTAGATGGACACATTTCTCTCTCTCAATATAAGCTTAGGTGTGTTTATGTGTGGGTGGGGGTGTGTACATACACACATAACCACACACAGATGAAATGGATATATAACAATAGATATGAATGAATGACTACATTGTTATTTTTACCCTGATATCTAACTTTTTTTTTGCAATACTTTAAAACAAAAATAAAATAAATGATAAAGTGAATAAATAGAAATTTCAGTTAAAAAGGGTAAGTGTATAATGGCATTTACAGAACAAACTGTTTATTAAATTAAGAAATATATACAGAATAAATAAACAACCAATTATTAAGAAAAGCTCACAGCATCAGTGGTTAGAAAAAATTTGACAAAAATTTCTTAAATAATGCAGCAAAATCACAATTAAAATAAAAAGATGATTTTATTTTGAATCAGCTCATCTTTTTTTTTTTTAAATAAAAATATTTGTAAACTTGAATTGTCCAAATTAACAAAGAGATTTAAAAAATGGTCTGTAATGACAGAAAAATGTTTTTAAATAACTTGTTTTTATAAAAGCTATGGTATTTAACACACACATAAAAAGAGATAGCAATGACAAGATACAAAGTTAAAACACTGTTAATGTTAGGGAAGTTTGCAAACAGTTCTCAAATCATATTACATTAACAACATATGAAATTCAAATTGAATGGTTTACCTTATTCCAGTCTCTTCTATTCCATCTTATCTTTCTGTTTTACACTTGTCTGAAACTTTCAATGATATTAAAACCCATGTGATGGATGTTTTAAGGTTACAAAATGACATATAGATGAACCCTGAGGTGATTAAGAGAGTTCTTTAAAAACATCTAGTAAAGTGTTGATGCCTAGTATAAAGCCATGATCTGCTCCTATATGTTTGACAGTGTCACCTTCAAAACCATCAAATGTTGCATGGGCAAAGTCCACAATACGCAGAATAACAGGACTGTGTGAACTTTGACCTCTGGGTTGTGGATTGAGTTGCTCATTGGGTTCACATCCTTCAACCTCACTGTCTTGTATCATCTCATTTTCTCTTTCAGTCAAATCAGTGTCTGCTACATGGGAATCTGATTGACATGTTTTCTCATTGTTGCTGTCTGACTGTACAGAATCAGAGTTACACTTGGAGATATGACAAGAGTCTGACTCACTGTGTACATGGCCATCATAGATAATGAGTAAAGAGCAGGAATAGAACCTGTACCCTTCTAGCTGTTCTATCACCTGCTTCAAGCTGTTCAGCTGGGATAAAATTGGCTTCACTAATTCTTGACGCAGTTTTTGACCATTGTCCAAAAAGTTAACTATTTCTAATTTTAGGTCATCATCTGAAAGCTGACGACCAAACATTTTATCTCGAGAAATGTACGCATTTTTTTCAACATTGAAAACCTGAAAATTTAAAACAAAGTTCTAGAAAATAATTGGAATGTGTTTCTGACACATTTAAACATGGTGAATAATTGACAAATAGGTTACCCAGCAGAGTTTTGACGGCCGACGATAAAGTTGTTCAACAGCTACATACGTTATGCACTAGACAATTTTAAGATCACAACTGAATATTTGTATAGATGTTTAAAAAATAAAAATCTCCCATTTATGGATGACTCCTTAAATAAAAATGTAATGTTAACGAATTCCAGACAAAAGTGTCGTAGACTATGCGTCAAATTTTACTTACCAAATGGTCCAAAACGTCACCTAGAAAGTAACGTGACAAATTAAACCCTAATATCACCTCTGTCATACCCCCCCCCTTATGAGTCTGGAGGAGAAAAATATGAGCTGACCTTCATCCCACACAGCCTGAGGCCCAGGGAATGGGATGTTGTTGTTCTGCACTTGTTCTCTTGGTAAATGACTTTTTCTGGGGGGGCGTCATCCCCATGTTGTCTCACACCCATCTTCAGATCCAGGACACAGGGGTGTTTGAAGTACGACATCAAGTCTTCTAGTAGCATGAAATCTTGACTAGTTAAGGAAACATTTTCAGATACACTGGGGTCTACAGAGTGGGGTCTGCAGGGTGGGGTCTACAGGGTGGGGTCTACAGGGTGGGGTCTACAGGGTGGGATCTACAGGGTGGGGGTCTACAGGGTGGGGTCTACAGGGTGGGGTCTACAGGGTGGGGTCTACAGGGGGGGGTCTAGAGGGTGGGGTCTACAGGGTGGGATCTACAGGGTGGGGGTCTACAGGGTGGGGTCTACAGGGTGGGGTCTACAGGGTGGGGTCTACAGGGTGGGATCTACAGGGTGGGGGTCTACAGGGTGGGGTCTACAGGGTGGGGTCTACAGGGTGGGGTCTACAGGGTGGGGTCTAGAGGGTGGGGTCTACAGGGTGGGGTCTACAGGGTGGGTCTACAGGGTGGGTCTACAGGGTGGGGTCTAGAGGGTGGGGTCTACAGGGTGGGATCTACAGGGTGGGGTCTACAGGGTGGGGTCTACAGGGTGGGTCTACAGGGTGGGTCTAGAGGGTGGGGTCTGCAGGGTGGGGTCTAGAGGGTGGGGTCTACAGGGTGGGGTCTACAGGGTGGGGTCTGCTGGGTGGGGTCTACAGGGTGGGGTCTACAGGGTGGGGTCTACTGGGTGGGTCTAGAGGGTGGGGTCTGCAGGGTGGTCTAGAGGGTGGGGTCTACAGGGTGGGGGTCTACAGGGTGGGGCCTACAGGGTGGGGTCTACAGGGTGGGGTCTAGAGGGTGGGGTCTGCTGGGGGGGCCTACAGGGTGGGGCCTACAGGGTGGGCCTACAGGGTGGGGTCTACAGGGTGGGTCTACAGGGTGGGGTCTGCTGGGTGGAATATACAGGGGGGGTCTACAGGGTGGGTCTACAGGGTGGGGTCTACAGGGTGGGGTCTACAGGGGGGGCCTACAGGGTGGGGTCTACAGGGTGGGGTCTAGAGGGTGGGGTCTACTGGGTGGGTCTAGAGGGTGGGGTCTGCAGGGTGGTCTAGAGGGTGGGGTCTACAGGGTGGGGTCTACAGGGTGGGGTCTACAGGGTGGGGTCTACAGGGTGGGGTCTACAGGGTGGGGTCTACAGGGTGGGGTCTACAGGGTGGGGTCTACAGGGTGGGGTCTACAGGGTGGGGTCTACAGGGGGGGCCTACAGGGTGGGCCTACAGGGTGGGGCCTACAGGGTGGAATATACAGAGGGGGGGTATAGAGGGTGGGGTCTACAGGGTGGGATCTGGAGGATGGTTAGCTGGATACTGTACTATTGTGGAGCTGTTAAAGGATACTGTAACAAACACCATTGCCATTGTGTGTGCAGCTAGTTTTGCTGAGAGCTCTGATACGGTCTGCATTCAGTGGCAGGGGTTCTGTTAAATCCTCCTCAGCATCTTCCTTCTGCTGCCAGCTGTCTGAAGTCTCGCTGCTAACATCACTCTCTTCTGAGCAGTCCCGGATCTTTAATGGGATTTGTGTCATTCCTGCAACACATATTAGAACAGCCAGCTTAAGTAAGGCACTCTCCTAGCTATTGTTTCTTGTTAGGTCAGAGTCAAGTCAAGATAAGTACAGGTTTCCATTCACATAAACCAGTCTAAGTACACAGACCACAGTCTAAGTACACAGACCACAGTCTAAGTACACAGACCACAGTCTGAGTACACATACCACTGTCTGAGTACACATACCACAGTCTAAGTACACAGACCACAGTCTCAGTACACAGACCACAACGTAAGTACACAGACCACAGTTTATGTACACAGACCACAGTGTAATAACTTTGACTACATGACGTATTTTCGGACATGCAGCAGTATTTTTCTTGTAGCATAGCCGCCCATATTCCTTACCAAAACATCTTCAATGTTTTAATACTCAACAGTGGTTGTTAACCTTTTTGGCGGTACCGAAACCCCACCCGTTTCATACGGACAAGAACAGAACCCTTCTTGATAGTTATATTGTCCGCACTGATATAATCCGATTGTGAATCATATGAGTCGGGAGTGTGTTTTGATATACGATGAACCCCTGAGACGGACACACCAAACCCTGAGATGGAACTACATGACATAATATGGTGGAACTACGGGACCTAACATGGTGGAACTACGGGACCTAACATGGTGGAACTACGGGACCTAATATGGTGGAACTACTTGACCTAACATGGCGGAACCACATAACATAATATCGCGGAATTACGGGACCTATTAGTGTCCCGCCCCCCTCGAACGAAATGGAATTTATATAGAAAATATATACTTTTAACAGTGTCCCTGTCCCTCTCCCCCAAGAAAAATGTCTGGAAAAAACACTCGACTACAAGACCGAACCTAGCGGGACTACATGAGATAACACGCTTTGTCTAACGGTGATGGCAATAAAGAGAGGCAAAAGCTTTTTCTAGTTAAGTGACAATTTTTATTTACGTTTCCATAGTGACCAGTAAACATGACAAAATCTATTTACACTTACAGCCAAATTTAATTATCTCTAGCATCCCACGCCATAGCACATGTATATTTTATACACGTTACCATGACAACAGTTTTAACAGACAAGCTGCCAATACACTAATTGTTCTATTCCCTAATGTAAGATCTGGTCGCTGTTAGGTGCCGAACATGACCCGATGTTAGCCAGATTGACGCAAGTACACTATTGCAGGACACACATTTACCTCAGTACACTCTACTAGAGGCCACAGATTTACCTCAGTACACTCTACAAGAGGCCACAGAGTTAATTCAGTACACTCTACTAGAGGCCACAGATTTACCTCAGTACACTCTACTAGAGGCCACAGAGTTAATTCAGTACACTCTACTAGAGGCTACAGATTTACCTCAGTACACTCTACTAGAGGCCACAGATTTACCTCAGTACACTCTACTAGAGGCCACAGATTTACCTCAGTACACTCTACTAGAGGCCACAGATTTACTTCAGTACACTCTAATAGAGGCCACAGATTTACCTCAGTACACTCTACTAGAGGCTACAGATTTACCTCAGTACACTCTACTAGAGGCTACAGATTTACCTCAGTACACTCTACTAGAGGCCACAGATTTACCTCAGTACACTCTACTAGAGGCTACAGATTTACCTCAGTACACTCTAGAGGCCACGGATTTACCTCAGTACACTCTACTAGAGGCCACAGATTTACCTCAGTACACTCTACTAGAGGCCACAGATTTACCTCAGTACACTCTACTAGAGGCTACAGATTAATCCCAATGATACCCAGAAGTGGTGTGTCTGATATCCCAATGTCTAGAGAAGTGATGTGTCTGATACCCCAATGTCTAGAGAAGTGGTGTGTCTGATATCCCAATGTCTATAGAAGTGGTGTGTCTGATATCCCAATGTCTATAGAAGTGATGTGTCTGATATCCCAATGTCTATAGAAGTGGTGTGTCTGATATCCCAATGTCTAGAGAAGTGGTGTGTCTGATATCCCAATGTCTAGAGAAGTGGTGTGTCTGATACCCCAATGTCTAGAGAAGTGGTGTGTCTGATACCCCAATGTCTAGAGAAGTGGTGTGTCTGATATCCCAATGTCTATAGAAGTGGTGTGTCTGATATCCCAATGTCTAGAGAAGTGGTGTGTCTGATATCCCAATGTCTAGAGAAGTGATGTGTTTGATATCCCAATGTCTAGAGAAGTGGCGTGTCTGAAATCCCAATGTCTATAGAAGTGATGTGTCTGATATCCCAATGTCTAGAGAAGTGGTGTGTCTGATATCCCAATGTCTATAGAAGTGATGTGTCTGATACCCCAATGTCTAGAGAAGTGGTGTGTCTGAAATCCCAATGTCTATAGAAGTGATGTGTCTGATATCCCAATGTCTAGAGAAGTGATGTGTCTGATACCCCAATGTCTAGAGAAGTGGTGTGTCTGAAATCCCAATGTGTATAGAAGTGATGTGTCTGATATCCCAATGTCTAGAGAAGTGATGTGTCTGATATCCCAATGTCTAGAGAAGTGGTGTGTCTGAAATCCCAATGTCTATAGAAGTGATGTGTCTGATATCCCAATGTCTAGAGAAGTGGTGTGTCTGATATCCCAATGTCTATAGAAGTGATGTGTCTGATACCCCAATGTCTAGAGAAGTGGTGTGTCTGAAATCCCAATGTCTATAGAAGTGATGTGTCTGATATCCCAATGTCTAGAGAAGTGGTGTGTCTGATACCCCAATGTCTAGAGAAGTGGTGTGTCTGATACCACAATGTCATGAGAAGTGGTGTGTCTGATACCCCAATGTCTATAGAAGTGATGTGTCTGATACCCCAATGTCTAGAGAAGTGATGTGTCTGATACCCCAATGTCTTGTGCTAGAAGTGGTGTGTCTGATACCCCAATATCTAGAGAAGTGGTGTGTCTGATACCCCAATGTCTAGAGAAGTGGTGTGTCTGATACCCCAATATCTAGAGAAGTGGTGTGTCTGATACCCCAATGTCTAGAGAAGTGGTGTGTTTGATACCCCAATGTCTAGAGAAGTGGTGTGTCTGATACCCCAATGTCTAGAGAAGTGATGTGTCTGATACCCCAATGTCTTGTGCTAGAAGTGGTGTGTCTGATACCCCAATGTCTTGTGCTAGAAGTGGTGTGTCTGATACCCCAATATCTAGAGAAGTGGTGTGTCTGATACCCCAATGTCTAGAGAAGTGGTGTGTCTGATACCCCAATGTCTAGAGAAGTGGTGTGTCTGATACCCCAATGTCTAGAGAAGTGGTGTGTCTGATACCCCAATGTCTAGAGAAGTGGTGTGTCTGATACCCCAATGTCTAGAGAAGTGGTGTGTCTGATACCCCAATGTCTTGTGCTAGAAGTGGTGTGTCTGATACCCCAATATCTAGAGAAGTGGTGTGTCTGATACCCCAATGTCTAAAGAAGTGGTGTGTCTGATACCCCAATGTCTAGAGAAGTGGTGTGTCTGATACCCCAATGTCTAGAGAAGTGGTGTGTCTGATACCCCAATGTCTAGAGAAGTGGTGTGTCTGATACCCCAATGTCTAGAGAAGTGGTGTGTCTGATACCCAAATGTCTAGAGAAGTGATGTGTCTGATACCCCAATGTCTAGAGAAGTGGTGTGTCTGATACCCCAATGTCTGGTGCTAGAAGTGGTGTGTCTGATACCCCAATGTCTAGAGAAGTGATGTGTCTGATACCCCAATGTCTAGAGAAGTGGTGTGTCTGATACTCCAATGTCTAGAGAAGTGGTGTGTCTGATACCCCAATGTCTAGAGAAGTGGTGAGTCTGATACCCCAATGTCTAGAGAAGTGGTGTGTCTGATACCCCAATATCTAGAGAAGTGATGTGTCTGATACCCCAATGTCTGGTGCTAGAAGTGGTGTGTCTGATACCCCAATGTCTAGAGAAGTGGTGTGTCTGATACCCCAATGTCTAGAGAAGTGGTGTGTCTGATACTCCAATGTCTGGTGCTAGAAGTGGTGTGTCTGATACTCCAATGTCTAGAGAAGTGGTGTGTTTGATACCCCAATGTCTAAAGAAGTGGTGTGTCTGATATCCCAATGTCTAGAGAAGTGATGTGTCTGATACCCCAATGTCTGGTGCTAGAAGTGGTGTGTCTGATATCCCAATGTCTAGAGAAGTGGTGTGTCTGATACCCCAATGTCTAGAGAAGTGGTGTGTCTGATACCCCAATGTCTGGTGCTAGAAGTGGTGTGTCTGATACCCCAATGTCTAGAGAAGTGGTGTGTCTGATACCCCAATGTCTAGAGAAGTGGTGTGTCTGATACCCCAATGTCTAGAGAAGTTGTGTGTCTGATACCCCAATGTCTAGAGAAGTGGTGTGTCTGATACCCCAATGTCTAGAGAAGTGGTGTGTCTGATACCCCAATGTCTAGAGAAGTGGTGTGTCTGATACCCCCAATGTCTAGAGAAGTGGTGTGTCTGATACCACATAGTCTAGAGAAGTGATGTGTCTGATACCCCAATGTCTAGAGAAGTGGTGTGTCTGATACCCCAATGTCTAGAGAAGTGGTGTGTCTGATACCCCAATATCTAGAGAAGTGGTGTGTCTGATACCCCAATGTCTAGAGAAGTGGTGTGTCTGATACCCCAATGTCTAGAGAAGTGGTGTGTCTGATACCCCAATGTCTAGAGAAGTGGTGTGTCTGATACCCCAATGTCTAGAGAAGTGGTGTGTCTGATACCCCAATGTCTGGTGCTAGAAGTGGTGTGTCTGATACCCCAATGTCTAGAGAAGTGGTGTGTCTGATACCCCAATGTCTAGAGAAGTGGTGTGTCTGATACCCCAATGTCTAGAGAAGTGATGTGTCTGATACCCCAATGTCTGGTGCTAGAAGTGGTGTGTCTGATACCCCAATGTCTAGAGAAGTGGTGTGTCTGATACCCCAATGTCTAGAGAAGTGGTGTGTCTGATACCCCAATGTCTAGAGAAGTGGTGTGTCTGATACCCCAATGTCTAGAGAAGTGGTGTGTCTGATACCCCAATGTCTAGAGAAGTGGTGTGTCTGATACCCCAATGTCTAGAGAAGTGGTGTGTCTGATACCCCAATGTCTAGAGAAGTGGTGTGTCTGATACCCCAATGTCTGGTGCTAGAAGTGGTGTGTCTGATACCCCAATGTCTAGAGAAGTGGTGTGTCTGATACCCCAATGTCTAGAGAAGTGGTGTGTCTGATACCTCAATGTCTAGAGAAGTGGTGTGTCTGATACCCCCAATGTCTAGAGAAGTGGTGTGACTGATATTTCTTGTACACTTAAATGACTTGATGCCAGTATTTATTATCGAACAGAAATGAACAATTTGAGTTTACCTTTCAACTGCGGCACGAATGGCTTCAAGATGTGGGGAAGGTTTGTGTAGAACTGGTATTCTCTGGGGATCATACATTTCCCGATGGTCTCCTCGTCCAGGCGGAGAATTAAAGACTGACCAGCCACCTGATGGTCAAACAGTTTAAAGCCGCGTTGTGTGGGCATTCTCGCTTTGATGAAATCAGTCTCTTGGATGCTGCTCATATCCTGTACAGATGAGAGAAGAACAACGCCCACCTTACTCACTGCGCACATGATGCAGTCTCTGCAGTATAAACAAACGATAATTTCTTGGAATATACACACTAGTGCTATTGAAAAGCAGATCAGTCCATTAAAAAAATGCGAAACGTTTTAAAACGATGCCTGCGGCCGTGCTAGAGGAAGACAAATGTCTATGTATTGTGCCAGACGCTACAGCCCAGTTTCTTCACTCTACGACTCTCTCCATGTAGTCCAACATATCAAAACAAACCTCGAGAATCAAAGGGCCAGAACTATCGATTTCACGTCCTGTGTCACATCATTCATAGCAGCCTAATAACAACAGTCACGATTTAACGCTAGTGAAATTCTGGGATCAATTCGCCATTCAACCAGTGGCCGTGTGTCTCTTGGCGCGTGCGTGTGTGTGTTGGGCGGGGTAGGGTGGGTTCACAACTTATGGAACATTTGTTTATTTACGGGACTACACACAGACGAAATGGCCTGACCTTGCCGTACTATTGATTTTATCCGACCTATAGTCTCGTTTCACAACACAGCTGAAAGCACCAGTGAAACCAATGGCTGTGTGCAAGGGCTTTTTACCAAAACATACAAGAAATAAACCAATCGATTCAACCAAAACATACGAGAAATAAACTTAAACCAATCGATTCAACCAAAACATACGAGAAATAAACTTAAACCAATCGATTCAACCAAAACACACGAGAAATAAACTTAACCAAATCGATTCAACCAAAACACACGAGAAATAAACTTAACCCAATCGATTCAACCAAAACACACGAGAAATAAACTTAACCAAATCGATTCAACCAAAATACACGAGAAATAAACTTAAACCAATCGATTCAACCAAAAACACACGAGAAATAAACTTAAACCAATCGATTCAACCAAAAACACACGAGAAATAAACTTAACCAAATCGATTCAACCAAAACACACGAGAAATAAACTTAAAACAATCTGTTCAACCAAAACACACGAGAAATAAACTTAAACCAATCGATTCAACCAAAACACACGAGAAATAAACTTAAACCAATCGATTCAACTAAAACACACGAGAAATAAACCAATCGATTCAACCAAAACACACGAGAAATAAACTTAAACCAATCGATTCAACCAAAACACACGAGAAATAAACTTAACCCAATCGATTCAACCAAAGCACACGAGAAATAAACTTAACCAAATCGATTCAACCAAAACACACGAGAAATAAACTTAACCCAATCGATTCAACCAAAACACACAAGAAATAAACTTAAACCAATCGATTCAACCAAAACACACGAGAAATAAACTTAAACCAATCGATTCAACCAAAACACACGAGAAATAAACTTAACCCAATCGGTTCAACCAAAACACACGAGAAATAAACCAATCGATTCAACCAAAACACACGAGAAATAAACTTAACCCAATCGATTCAACCAAAACACACGAGAAATAAACTTAACCCAATCGGTTCAACCAAAACACACGAGAAATAAACTTAACCCAATCGGTTCAACCAAAACACACGAGAAATAAACTTAACCCAATCGATTCAACCAAAACGCACGAGAAATAAACTTAAACCAATCGGTTTAACCAAAACACGAGTAATGAGCTTAACCCACTAATTAGATATCAAATCAGACGTTTTATTATTACACAACACTATTCGGTAATTAAAGTCGATTGAAAAATAAATGAACAGAATCAATTAATTTATAGAGAAAAAACGTATATATCCCGAAACAGCTTTAAAGCATTACATAATATATTTGTATTGCATTCTGGTATTAAAAGTGAAGCATAAGCAAGCCTGCAGTGTCAAATTATTCGACCAATCATTGTAAATTTTGATTATATAAAAATAAAGTAAAATGTAGTTATATAGCAGGATATATTTCTAGCCCCTCCCCCTCCCCGTAAAAAGCGATGACATACCCTCCCCGTAAAAAGCGATGACATAATTTAAAGAAATGTCAAACCACCCCTCCCCGACTCAAGTTGTAAATGATGTGCACTATCCCTTTATTTTCATGATGGTTGCAAGTAAGACGACCAAATGTAGCATATCAAGATGAAAATACCTGGTGTTTGATGATCGATTACTAAAACATCAAAGGTAATGAAGGCAGTCCTAATTTAAAAATTCAGTGTAAAAACTGCAGAAGAAATGAACACATCACTCGATCACATAACGAGTGTCTAGTCGTGTGTTGCTAACGACAGCAGCAACAAACCTTTAAAAAATCCGACGGGAAACACATTCACGAATAACCGTTACTATGATTGGTAAATCGTCCAATGCGCACACGTGACGAGAGCCAGTGTCGTCTGCGACCAACACGCCGCTGTTCGCCAGCTTGGTGGGTATTGTTGTCAATCAGGGGAAGACAACTCTTGTCTACAGGTCAGCCCGGTACTCTCACTACCAGGGCGTCTTGAAAAAAAATCGATTCACATCAGCCAGTTATTAGCATTAACTTGTGTCCTCACGAGTTATGTAATGCACTTCAAATTGTTTTTTTTTTAAATTAATACCAATGTATATTTTTGTAACAAAATTAAAAACCTGCTGCCTTAAATCAATCAGTTTTTACAAATGCATTGTCTACGTGCGAATAAAAAACCCTTTAGTTTGGGATTAAAGTTATTAAAGAAGGCAGGCTGTTACATCATTCATATAAAACGAAAGAGAGTAGGTTCAATGTTGCCTGACCCAGCATAATGCTTAACGTTTTTTCCCTTTAAAATATTTTCCATGTGATTTTGATGTTTATAACTCTCCCCCTCCCGCCACCATGGTGCGTCCGCTGATATATATATATATATATATATATATATATATATATATATATATATATATATATATATATATATATATATATATATATATATATATATATATATATATATATATATATATATATATACACTAGCTGCATACCCGTGCTCCGCCACGGTAAATCATTTTGGAATGTACCAACTTGGGAAACTTAGGAACAGAACAAAACTAAACACAACACAAACGCAACACAAACATATCACAAACACAACCACAACACAACACAAAAGAAAACACAAACGCAACACACAAAAAACGCTCATAAATTTGCATTCACATTTTGCTAATTATATTATTGCAACAATAATTCCTTGTTGGAGGTCCGTAGATTTTGCATTCACATTTTTTTTATTAGCGTGAGTTGAATTTATTTTTAAATTACCTCCCTTGGAAAATTACAAAACAGTTTAATTTATTCGTTTTTTCGACCCTAAAATGTATCCACTTTTTCTAGGAATCTAAACGAAAATTATATTTGATATTGATCCTTTTGATATCCTTTAGCAATGTGCGTGTATTTAATATTTTCTTTATTTTATGCAAAAGCGTAAAAACAGTGGCAACTATAAAATAAATTTAAGTCGTTATATAAACAAACCCTACTCTATTAGTTTTTTTCTAAAATCTATAGCGATGACGGAAGGAAGGACTGACACACTACCACTAGGCTACTCGATTTACTGCGTTATAATGCAATGTTTTAGCTATAACTTTAACAATAGTTTTTTAATTAGGTTTAATCCATATATCACATTTCAAATACATATCTTCAAATTCGATAATATGATGAAATTAATTAGACGGACGACTAGGACAATATTTTTTGTCCAAAAAAAAATAATAAAAAGATTCGTTGAAAAAAATTGATAACTGTTTTTTGACGGAATTATTTGACTTTGGCTTAATCCCTTGTGGAACATAGGGCTTCATCCATACTTCCATTTTTGTTAATATTCCATCTCGAAGCAAAGATACATATACCATAACTTAAAGGACAATCAAAGAAATACCGCACTCGGAACAAGCCGAGTACAGTTGTGGGGTAAGGGCGCATATATGTGCTCAAATACCGTTTGCCAGAAGGCGTTTTTTCCCGAATGGACGTTTGTCCAAATGGGACTTATGCCCCTAAAAGGACTAACTATTAATAAACAAAATAAAAACATAAGCAAAATCTACTGGAATATAAATATAGAAAAAAAAAGTACAACAAACTCTGCCTAAGCCACTGCATGTGCACACATAATACATTATATGTTAAAACAAGATGAGACCAGATAATATTCCTCAGTTCCGCTCACTGTGTTAATTCAGGGCATAGAAATTCAACCGTGCCCTACTTGGCCAGACACGCTCCACTAGTCAGTAGTTCACAGAACTAGGTGACATCCAACAGTTACATTGTGTTCCACTCGTCCATTTAACCGTAACCAGAGAACAATAGCACGGATACATACCGCTGTGGTTATAACGCAAAATTGTCTTGGGAAAATGATGGTTATAACACGTAACTGTCTTGGGAAAATGATGGTCATAACACGTAACTGTCTTGGGAAAATGATGGTCATAACACGTAACTGTCTTGGGAAAATGATGGTTATAACATGTAACTGTCTTGGGAAAATGATGGTCATAACGCACGTAATTGTCTTGGGAAAATGATATTTATAGCACTTGTCTTGGGAAAATGATGGTTATATCACTTAATTGTCTTGGGAAAATGATGGTTATAACACTTGATTGTCTTGGGAAAATGATGATCATAATACGTAACTGTCTTGGGAAAATGATTCGTTTTTGAGAAATCTGAAATAGCGTACATTACTACTTCCGGTCAACGGAAATTACTCAAAATTTGAAAGATGGCAGAGAATTAGATCTTTTACTTGTATGTAAAATTTCGTTTATATGTATCAAATAGTACTCAAGTTATAGGCTTTTGAAAAGCCAAAAGTAGAATAAGTTCCAATTCTGGTTACCGGAAATCACTGAACAGTTGATACAGATCTACACATTTGATATAATACTTATATATGAAATATCATCAACCTAGCTGTAACGGTAGTCAAGTTATCGTATTCACAGACATACACACAGACACAAGGAAAAAATTGCAAAACTATGTTTT